TGATTCTTTCACATGTTGCCGGCATATGCAGTTCGGCAGGAGTACAACTATTCGTTATGGTTGTCGTCGAAACTTCTACGAGAGGCACATACTTTAGCAAGAGAAAGACAAAACTATATCGTGCTTCCTGGGCTCAAAGAGCATCGCTGTTTGCATCGGTCGTTCAATAAACCTAACATCGAGCTATGATGCCTTGTTGCAAAAATTTCTGTCGACTTTACAACCCTCTTTGTTCACTTGTTTAGTAGTAATTTCAGTGTCTGCGTCAGTGACGGTGTCAGTGGCGGTGTCAGTGACTGCGAGCGAAAAATCCGCGTTTTTCATAAGCGAAAATTCGAAATACATGCAAATTACAAAAATAGGGTGAAGGGGGGGGGGGCTGCTAGCCGTAATCAAACCAATGCGTTTTGTGTGGCAAGCACCACAGAGCCATGCCAGAGCTTGCAACTGTTTATAAAAAAAAACTGTGCTGGTGTAGTGGGTTGAGAGAAATCGCGCTAAGTGATGCAAGATTGCGTCGCAGAAACGTCGTAAAATAGCGTCATCCATCTTAACATCACAATTTCACAACGAGTGGGAGGTTTAAAGCTGCTCACCTACTGCAAAGTGCTCAGCCATCATTGTTGCCATCAGTCACATCAACAAAGCACGTGATAATGTTTATGTTTAGAGACGTGTATTGTGTACCTCGTTGATTCGTAAATTGATGAATTGTGGCGTATTGGCACTACGCAACTGCACTTGCAGTGCGCATTTTAGGATAGTTTAAAAGCTGCGAAAAGCTGTTTTTTTCGCACACCGGGAAGTGAATTAGCTTGGCTAGGAAAGTAGAAGGTGACGCAAACATGGCCCGATTATGCTATCGCGTTCTACTTTTGACGGCAAAGCTCAAGCGAGATCCGAGTTTTTAAACAAGTAGCGCTAATCACAAGTCGCCAGAATTAACTCGGGTATAATCCGCTTTATACTAATGACGCCATCCGACAGAACTCGCATGTGCATGTCTATATAAAGACAAAATTCAGCCATGTCAGACGATGTACCCAGTTTTCTATATTTATGAATTTGCTTATCCGCCACGCGTGCGTTACTGCGCAAAGCCCTGCCTTGTAAACAAATAAAAATAAACACGGACAATGGTTTTTATCCTTTTCCGCTTCGCGGATCGGAAACGAAATTTTCTCTTGGCTCTCATGCTCATAGGAGAGTCCCACACATTAAGTCACGCTTCCGTGGCGTCGTTGCCGAAAATCACTCAACTATGAGACTCAGTCGCAGGTTCTGCGCGAATTCGCGCGCCTATTGTGGTTGCAGCCAGCACGCGAGTCAAAACGACACGATGCTGATTGATTGATTGGTTGATTGATTGATTGATTGATTGATTGATTGATTGATTGATTGATTGATTGATTGATTGATTGATTGAACGTCCCAAAACCACCATATGATTATGAGAGACGCCGTAGTGGAGGGCTCCGGAAATTTCGACCACCTGGGGTTCTTTAACGTGCGCCCAAATCTGAGCACACAGGCCTACAACATTTCCGCCTCCATCGGAAATGCAGCCGCCGCAGCCGGGATTTGATCCCGCGATCTGCGGGTCAGCAGCCGAGTGCCTTAGTCACTAGACCACCGCGGCGGGGCAAACGACACGATGCTATAGAACACGTTCGGCTCCGCAGCGATTGAACCGGGCTGTTGCTGAGCAATACAAAACAAGATCAAGCTACATAGACCCCCCCCACCCCCTCCCACCCCCCTGCAGTAAACGAGGTTCCCGTGCCATGCGTGCGAATGGCCTGTAAAGAGGATTCGTTCGTTCTCGAACTTCCAACTGTGAGGCGTGAGTGAGCACATGGGTAAGCCATGCAATTCCCCAAATTATCTAGCGCGCGTCGTGGCCATCTGGGTGCGATTTACATTTCTTTTGTTTCTGCGGCGCGTGCTTTGTAACACGCCATCGATGCATCACAACAACGACTCGATCACACTCTCTTTTATAGATTTCTTTTTCGTTTTTGAGAATTGGGGCGCTTGGCTTCAGTGAACGCGCTCTCAGCCTGACCGTGAATCGTCCGGCAGCATATCCGAGCAGAATATACCGCGCAATATATGAAGGTCGCGACAGAAAATAGACAAATAACAACACAGAAAAGGACGAGGGAGAAGAAACGCACATATAATATTTAAGGCAGGATTTATACGACATTTTAACCAACCTTCCTTGAGTACTCGTAAGAGTTGTATCGCTGAGAATACTTTCGTTTTTTTTTTTTTACTATAGGCGGCAGTTATAAATTAGACCAAGCCCTTTACACGAAAAACAATATCGGTGAATCAGAGTCGTGAAATGCTTGCCTGCTTTGTTTCATTTGCAACTTACTCTTGAGTCTTATATTCATATCGTGGTTTTTGGACGTTCCTCAAACAATTACTATTATCAGATATTCAACTTTTTGTTTCCAAGACGGTACAGGTCACAAGAAGGGGTGGCAGAAACAACTTCCCGAGAGTGGCCTTACCGCCCACATGCACTGTTTTATTGTTAGTATTAAAATTCGTTCAGCGCCAAAAGGACGTAGTTTACAATGTTCCACTTTCTTCAGGAAATGTATACGTAGGGGTAAACTTGGCGACGCTTTTAAGGGTGCCTAAGAGAACAAATTGAAAATAGTGTCAAGAATGGTTCCAACGGTCATCTCGCAATTCACTGCCTAAGATGCTTTCTATCTTTTTCCTTTCCCCTTTACCCCACCCAAGTGTAGGTTAGCCAACCGATCCAAGCTTGGTTAACCTCCCTGCCTTTCTATTTCTCTCTCTCCCTCTGAAATTTTATCAATGCACCGCCATAGCCCGCAACCATAATCACTCGGTGAGACTCGTAGTGGATGCCAAAACGATTTGGAAATGCGCAGAATGATGTGTAAGCATAGCTTAGTTGCAGTTATCTAAGAAAAAGATACAATTTTCGAATGTCCGGTAATTTGTAATGCGAAGGCCCTGCGTAACATGCTTCAGCATATGTATAGGATGCTTCCCTTTTTTTTTTCCCCTAATAAATAACTTAATGTAGTGTTACGGGTCTCCTGTCTTTTCTCTGTACGAGTCTTCAAAGTGCATCCACATCCTCGATATGTAGAACCGACTAGCCCAACCTGGTGCGCTGACAAGCTGTGGTTGCTGTTGCTGGAATTTCCGCTAAGCGAACTATTTCAACACTGTCACGTTAAAACACTGGCTCTCATGTGCACTTTTAAATACACGTGGACTAGTGCTTTAGCAGTGGCTACTTCCTCGATTCCGTATGGCGACAGAGCGGCACAGAGTGGATTAGCCGCTGTCACCGCAGCGTCCTCGACACAGTTAAACGCCAGCCGACTGGCATGACAGTTGTTTCCGTGAGACGCCGGAGCGCCTGTTTCCGCGATTTGCACACTTCCGCTCTTGGCCCCTCTGGCTATAGACATCTTGTCCCTGCACGGTCTGCCACATACGTTTCCAAACTTTTTTACTCTCGGCCACCTTCGCAGTGAAGGTCGAGTGGTTCCCGTTCGTTCTGAGCAATAGTGTTTCCTAAAGCACAATTCCTTATCGGCCAATAACAGAGATGTCAAAATCACTCGTAAAAACTAATTAATTGACCTTAATTAACGCGAAATGGCAGCGCTAGAACAAATACAAAAAACGAGATGAAGACACGACATGCGCTGTTCCTGTCTTGAGCGCGTGTCCTGTCTTTATCTAGTCATTTTACTTGGCCTTTCGACGCTGCCCTCTTTCTACTTTCCCTTCTTTTTCTCCTCATCTCATAACTTATATCCGATGCAAAGGATTGGCTGAGAAGTAGTTGAATTTTTTATATTTTCTTTACCATAGTACTTGTATAAGCTAGAATTACCTAATCATAATGAATCGAGGGGCGAATTTAAGCCCAAATGAAACGAAACCAACTCACACACCTATTTAATATTCCGTAAATTAATTAAAAATCAGTTGAGTTGCAGTGAGGTCACTTTAAATACCCAATTAATCTAGGTACCTAATACATTAGGCACTTAAATATCTTAAAGTTATAACAAAACTGGAGGATGCTTTAGGTGATCCTTCAAGAGTACGCCACGTCAACGTAATAAAACCGATGAGTGTGCACGCAACATTGGTTGTTTTAGAGTATCATTGAATACCCATAGTACAGTTGCTAAGTGCCCACTATTCCATAATTATTCTTTTTTCGAATCGGCGAAGGGCCCACTATGCTTTCGTATAGGGCAACACACGAACCTATATACCCAGCTGTTCACTTTGTTTATAGTTGTGCTGTTGATGATGATGAATAAACATGTCGAACTATTTTGTAATTGGTGGACCATTTTCTTTTTCGTCATGGAATGCAGACCGAAAAATTACCGCTACCAAAAATTACGCCAAAATTTATGCTCTTGACAACACTGTAATTTGTTGATTATGCTGGTGGTGCTGGTGTTACAGAAGGCGGCATTCTCCCAACTTACATATAGCTGGGAATTGTTCCGCTTGAGCATGTATATCGCGAATTTCATTGCACGCTTCGCCTCAGCTCTGCGCGCCCTTCAGGAAGAACGCATCTTCAAATGACCGGTACCGAAACGCCGAGAGAGAATAAAGTGCTTGTTTTCTTTGTTTTGTTTTTTTTTTGTATCTTCAGAACCTGTTTAGGGGCCTTTTGAAATTCGTTCTTCCGCAAAGGCGTGACGCCACGTGTCCTGAACTCGCGCTTATCTGAGTAATCAACAAAGACGTTTCCGCTCACGGCACGTTTTAATGGGCAATTTCCTTAACCTCCTGAAAAGTTCCCGAGCTGCGTTCGTGCAACTGGCTGCACGTTGCGAAGACCCGCGTAGCAGTCGTCCCACTTGTCATACGATTCCCCAGTGCACTGTGACCAGCTCGTGGAGTGACGTGCGATGCGAAGTAAGAATTCTATCGGCCATATTCCTTGACGCGTCAACGTGTTGCGAACTCTGGGCTCATCGTTAATAAAACACATCCCCTGATGTTTTTTAACTTGACGATTCGATCAACCCCACGAAAACAGAGGTCTAAGTTCGGGGAGAGGACGTTGCTGACCGGTACGTACATAATCAGCTACATATCGTAAAGAAGTAATAAGGAGGTTAAGGAACATGTGACATGCGGGAGCACCCAGGAAGAAGCGGTAGCTTCAGGGAACCTGCGGACAGTCCCCCTTTACGGCTGCGTCAGCGGCTAGGGCCGCACGGGTCTCCTTGACGACCTCGGGAAACAGCTCGCAGAAGACTTTGTCTTCGAGGTTGAAGCGGAGGCTCTCGCGCGCCAGCTTCTGCTTCTGCTCGACCGTGGTGTCCAGGCTTCCGAGCGTGGGCGTCTCGTCCACCATGAAACTGAGCAGTCCGGTCAGGATGGAGGACATGGACCAGGACGGATTCCAGGACTCCGGGTGGTAGTCGGATATGCTCAGGCAGAGCCGGGTGTTGCACTGGAAGCGTCCGTTGGGCGTGATCAGGTAGATGGACGGCGGCGAGAAGGGAAAGTCGGCGGGGAAGCGCAGTTTGCCGTGGTACACGCCGCCCTCGAGCGGCGTGCTCTCGGGTCCCTTGACGGCGAAGTGCCACTCGAGGATGTCGGCCGGCAGCGGGTGGGCCGACACGTACGGCACGGGCTCCCGGAGCAGCTTGGTGTACTCGAGTCGCAGGCGCTGCGTGGCCGTTCGGCTTCCTCGGCTCATGGCGGATGTCACGTGTGTGTGTAGGATCTGGTCCGCACTGCGCGCTTTGTCTTTCTCGCGCCTGCGTCTGAAACAAAAAGTAAGAAATCCAAATAAGGCAGAAGTCCAGGGGAAGATGAAAGCTTGCAGAGATAAAAGAGCCCTTGAAGAGTGAGTGCCACCGTATCCAGCGCTTCGGCTAGTGGTTTTGTCTTCAAGACATTGCCTTCTAGAAGAAGACAGTGCCACTTGTCAACACGTTGGTTACAGTGGCACCACGTGTTCATAGATTTTTCATCCATGCGAAGCGAGGAAGAGACACGCTGTATTTTTCTTGGAAGTCATAAGCAATTCGACTCTAATATATCAGGTTTTTCATAGTGACGTATAGTCTGCTAAAGCGTTACCGAACCGAAAAGGGACATAATGAAAGCAGTGCGGTATCGCGGTTGCTGACTAGTTTTATGTCGCTAGCTGGCTGGCGGACGCGATCATGTAAGCTGTTCGCATCGGCAGAGAAGTCTACATACAAACTAGTCGTGATGTATGACTTGTACTAACGCTTACGAATACGCACAAAAACTGCCGGAATCTAGTGGCCGGCAGTTTTCTTTTTTTTATGAATCTACCTCATCAGAAAACTTTGCTTTTAACTGTCAGTGCTTCGGAGATGATGTTGCGCGAGAAAGCCTTTCATAACGGCTCTCGATGTTTCTAGTGTATGTTAATGACATAGTAACATAACCTTGATATAATATATAAAATAGACATTTACAATGGAGTCCAATAGGTTTGACAGCTGGGCTAGTTGGTGAGATATTGTAACATGTGGTGTATAGTAGCGCAAATTCGATGTGGACTCAGAGGACAACACCTTGGTGTCCTCTGTGTCCCCGTTGAATTTGCGCTATACTACACCATATGTTAAAATTATTTATAATGGAATTTTAAAGTTGATAGGCCATATTAATGGTATCAGTAATATTTTTACATCGTAATTAATGAAATTAAAGCCAAGTGCTAAACGTGGACTGGGAGATTTCAAATTACTGAATGAATTGCTTATCCATTAGAAAAAGACAAAGAAGATAATAATGCCGACACGCGACTGTCATATGAAGGTACAACGGCAGCAAGCAAATAAAACGTATACTCACAGATTCTCCTTATTTCGGAGTGTCGTTAACTTCCGATCCAAGAGCTGCGCTGGAAGTTAAGCACGTACTTCGCAAAAGAGCGCCTCTTTAATCGTGCACCATGCCATAACGGTCTGCAAACAAAGAACGAAAAAGGGTAGCTCGTTTAGGAACATTGCTATTCGCGTTGCCTTCGTTAAACTTTAGTTGCGATTCGCCCCAGCAACGCTCTTACGCGGGGCTCCTCTTATTCTAACATCAGAAATCTGTGAACGGTTCCATCTGATGCGCCTTGGTGCGAAAAGCAGAAATAAAGGTACAAGCAAGGCGCTTTTGCGCGGAGCTGCGTTACTGCGGCGTCGCTTAATTCCAGCGGGGGACCAGGGCCGTTAGCACCGACGGCATTAAGTGTCTGCGAAACGTCTGGAATTCAATAAGCCTTTGCGCGTTTTGGGACGTCGAAATGGGAGTGATGCGGCGTCACAACTTAAATAGAGAAGCGAGGCGAGGTTTCTTACCGTGCACGATCGGCCGAGGATGCTTCTTGTTTGCGCAGAGCTCTGCGTTTTGTGCTCGCCGAGCGTGCGCCGCCTTCGACGAGAATTCGCTTCGTCTTTCTTTTCGCTTACTCCTTCGAGACAAACGGGCGCTCGCGCGCGCTTTGTTTGATGTTCTAGTTAAACTTGAAATCAAACCGGTGTTGGTGCATCGTTTGCAGGTGTTAATTCGGTTTTAGCTGCCGTATCTTTCGTGTTTCGTACCGGAAAGCGAGAACGAGTAGCTGCACATTAAACGTCCTTCTGTAAGATTGTAAGCCAAGAGAGCTGTCCAGATAAAATTCGTCTGTATTCCATTCTGATAAAACGTTTTATGTATAGTTGCGTGATGTCTTTTGATAGTATGCTCTCAAAGTGTCAACACTTTTTCGGTAGTAAACTTTTAATAGCAAGACTGTAGAATTTGGTGATGACGGTAATCTTGTGATTGTGACGCACATTTCGTAAGTGACACCAATAAAGAGCTAGATGGCGTGTGAAACGCATTAATAAATTACATTTAAAGAGGCATATAAAATTATAAATAAAAGGGGAAATCGGAGAATCGACACTATAAATCACTGATGCCGCAACAGTGGTGTATTTTTCTTTTTTCACGCTGTCTCTTTAGTCCTCGCGATAGAACATTTGCCCTTGATATATCGAGCGAACTACAATCGCCATCAAAGATTTCGTGACGTAACGCAACAATGTTGTATCGGCTCTTGGTTGGTGTGGCGTTTTCTAACATTGGCATGGGTGACCAAGTGCAATAACAGCAACTGTGTTGAGACTATTGACCATCCCTTGCGCACTGTCCCCAATATAAACAAGCTCGCCAGTCTTTCCGGTGTACCTTGAGGAGACTCTATGATCGGTCCTATACCCAAGAAAAGACCTTGGGGGCTTGATCTCACTGCACATCCGCGCAAAAAGCCACACGAGGCCTCCTGCAGTAAACTTGAAAGCAATGTCACTGACCGACCGGCTCTGAAACCCCGCACTTTGTGTGTGGTGTGTAAGGTGTCTCTCCTCTGTACCTCTTTTACTTTCTTTACTCATTCCTCCCTGCCCCTTTGTGTAGGGTAGTAAATGACGCAGTCAAGTTAACCTTCCTATATTTTCTATATTCCTTCTCCCCCTCCCTACCTCCCTCTTTCTCTCGTTCTAAGCCAACATGTTTTATTGTCCTCTCCCAGAAAGTGGCTATAAATATTAGTTTCCCTATATAGAAAATGCTGGTATATGTATGTGTCATAGTCTATTGCATATGGTCACACTGTCGTTTTCCTGGGCACAACTTTATATCATTAAGTCACTGTTTTAATGCCAGCGCTGGTGCGTGTAGTTATGCGTTGTCGTTTGACTATGTTTGCTCTTGGAGGGACAAAGCGTGGGCAGGCGAAATTTTTGGAGGGGCGACGGGCTGGACGCTACCCTACGCTAAAGTACAGTGGCTGGAGCTTAAGTTATTACATGCTCCCGTAGGGAGCATATACAGTAACTCTACCCCACGCCTCCCGCTTGCGCCGCCCCCGTTTCTACTCTAATGTAGCTCCGACTAAGTACATCCTCGTTTTCAGCGTTGAAAATTAAGAATTAGTTATACCATTAACTTCAACCATCATCACCATCCTTGAATTCGTTATGCGTGAATATAAATGCATTACTTTCGTACTTGTGCATATAATGCCCTATTCTTATAGTATGCTTTTTTCTTCTTTTCATTTTTTGGTGGAGTTATTCTTGCTAGCTGTGCTGCAGCATCGTGCGTGTTTGCTTCACTGCTATTCATTTTTTCCGCGTCAGCCTTATTGTAAACTTATCTTATTGAGAATTGAGACACTCATCTGCGTACTCTCTGCAAATAATTATTGTGTGATGACTTTATAATAAACTCAACCACTGTTCTCGAGATGCATGTCTCGTTTCAATCGTCAGTGTCATCAGGACAAGAACTACTGGTCTTGTTGCGAGGAATGACGATTGAGAATTTAGAGTTGCGAACAAGACGTTATCTGCTTCTGGTTCCGTGACCAAGAGTATAGGCATTCACAAGCCGTCCTATTCATGCCATTCGAGACAATAGTTGTGCGGTGCAAAGCACGCACCCTTACCTAAAAAAGATCTTGAAGGCAATTTGTTTTGCTGGAAGCAAGCGTGTAAACACTAAACGCCGCAGACATGTAATTATTCATGTTAGCTATATATTATTGCTGTAACAATACCTTGTTTAAACGTTGTATCACAATAACACATACATTGTGCTGCCGTAAGATTTCCCGGTTGTGGTTACGGTTTCGGTTACTTAATGCCCTTTTGGAGTTCTTTGTACCCATCGTCATCGCTACACAAGTATGGCGGCGTGCAACATTAAAATTTCCACGACAGCTGTATGATTGCTGTCTACTTCTTCTCTTGAGTTGCGTGTTTCTGACTTGATTACGTTGCTTGATCAACTGCTGTAAAGATGTCTTCATTCGCAAAAGCAGCGAAGGCAGGCCAGAGGATACACAAAGAGCGACAGCAGGTAAATATAGATTCTCGTTCCGCCTGTCTTACGGATGAAACATGAGTACTGAGCGTTGTACGTGATCCCCCTGCTTTACAGCCCGAGGCCAGGCGTCACCTTGGTGTGCTGGAGAAAAAGAAAGACTACAAGCTCAGAGCGAGGTAATCTTCTGGTTGATATCAGAGCCGTTATTGTCACCATCGCCTGTGCATAACGTGCGTCCCAACAACACGTGTGTTACATTTCCTCGTTCGCAGGGACTACCAGAATAAACAAAAGCGACTAAAGCGACTGCGCCAGCGAGCGCTCACGAGAAATCCGGATGAATTCTACTTTCACATGGTCAACGCCAAACTCGATGTAAGTTAGTGCACAAGACGATGCGTAGTCATTTCTGTCATAGTGCATGTCGTGACCCCTCGTTTAATTTTCAGGGAGGCGAGCACCACGACAGAGTGAAAGGGGAAGAATTCACGCCGGCTCAGCTCAAGCTTATGCAGACACAAGATGTCAACTACGTCACCACGAAACGTGTTACCGAAGCAAAAGTATGTCAATGATATCTCTGCAGGAATTTTAATCTTCAATACGGTTGTTTGCGGATGACTGTGTTGTGTACAGAAACATTTTCGATCCCGATGATGCAACAGAACTTCAGAAAGACTTATCACTGATTCATAGCTGGTGTATCAAATGGAAAATGAATTTGAGTATAACAAAGTGTGTGCATATTTCATTTACTAAAGAGATGAAACCATTTCAGTCACGGTATCATTTGAACAATGTACAGTTGAAGCAAGATAGTACATATAAGTATCTAGGTGTGGTACTATCATCTGAGTGTTCATAGAGGCCCCAGGTGGGCACTCTCATAGCAAAAGCTGGTAAGGCCTTAAATTTTATACAAAAAAACCTGCAATGTTCGCATGTGAATTTAAATTACATGACATACACTACTTGTATTAGACCTATCTTGGAATACAGTTGTGTCGTGTGGGATCCTGCCGAGGTAACCCTCATTGCTGTTCTTGAACAAATCCAGAATCGCGCTGCTAGGTTCGTCTTGGGACGGTATGGAAGGTGGGAGAGCTGTACTGCAATGAAGGCTGAGCTAGGATGGGAGTGTCTTTCTGACCGCCGCCATAAACAGAGATTTGAAGTTTCTTTATTTGATTTACAATAATAAAACTGGAACTATAGAGACATTTACCTACACAAACCTCATTACATATCAAAATGTTTTGATCATAGTTGCAAGATCCTGGAATACCAAGCTAAAACGAACATGTATGCCAATTCATTTTTTCCTTGTTTTCCTTGAACAATTAAACAGTGGAATAAGCTAACTGATAAGCAAGTACTGAGTGCGAATGAAGATGTATTTTTTTCAATGCTGTAATCTCGTGCTGTATGCTGAATGAAGATGTATTTATGTGTGAAAATAACCGTATTATGTGTGTGAACAAAGGTGTATTTCAGTTATTGATGTATTTTGTGTGCGTACGATGATGTACGTCATTGATTTATGTAACCCCCCGGGATAATGTTCTCGGGTGCTGCGGGGTATTTCATGAATAGAGAATAAAGTATATCTTTTCTACCTCTCTTTTCTGGGTACCAGGAATGGCTGCCACGTTTGTTCAGTATTGTTCGTGTTTTAATAGTTCGCTGTAGTCATCGGTTTGTTATGCTAACTAGTCTTGTTTACTTCTCTGTCTAGAAAATTGAAAGACTCAGAGCCAATCTCCATCTTCTCGATAATAGTGGCGGGCGTGTGAAGACCCACACATTTTTTGTGGACTCCAAAGAGGAAGGTACTGCAGACACTTTGTATTTAGGTATTTCGCTTTCTGCGATTGCGTTTGCAAATGTCATGAGCATACACATAGTGCTGGTTTGCACTTCATAGTGGTTCTAAAAGCACTGGGAAAGGTTTCACCTGAAGATTGCTTCTCATGGCTGCTACATGAGAATAAGCACTGAAATGGACATAGAATGAAATATATTAAAATATAATGGCAACATTTGTTAACTTGACATTTCAAAAGGCACACTTAAAAGGCTTCGCACACCATGGATTTCCGGGCTTAAGCCTTTGCATCAAGCCTTTGCAATGACAGAAACACTTGCTAATGGTCAAACATGCACCGTGCCTTAATAAAACGCCTTAGCGAGAAAGCCACATAATGTATTCTAACTGTTTCGGGTTTCACTGAGTTATTGCACGGAATGTCTGTTTGTCTACTCTTTTGCAGCTCAAAACTTTGATTTTGCCAAGAAGCTGGAAACTCACCCATCTTTGTTGGACCGAGCCTTCAATCGACCCAAATTGGAAACCCTTCACAAGGAATCCATTGCTGATATTCCGGAGGATGTGATTAAGGCAAGTTGGAGCTACTGTGTCATGTACTATTTTCGTACATCTGATTGGTCATTTCCAGGTGCTTTACATCCTGATCTGATCTGAATTGAGCACTCTGAACATATTTAGGTTTCTTCGTTCATCCAAAATAATCCAGACTCAATATAATTTAGTCACTTGGATCCTCTACTTTACTTTCCTCAAAGCGATTGAACATTCAACGATGGCAGGCTTTCTCCAGCGTCAATGTAATGAAGGCACAGAATCCAAAAATAAACTGTGCCCTTTTTCTCACTTTAGGTGAGTACCGAGTTTTATGTTCATAACATGCCAATCTACCCTAGAAGACACACTAAAATGAAATAAGAAAATCCACACATCCCCTTGAAATAAATAATGATGGGACTGCCATGGTGGATCAGCGGCTCTGCGTCTGACCCGAAGGTCGCAGGTTCCATCCCAGCCGTGGCGGTCGCATTCTGGTGGGGCTGAAAAGGTGCACATTTAAGAGCACCAGATGGTCAAAATTTCTGGAGCCCTCTATTACGGAGTTTCTCATAATCATATGGTGGTTTTGTGACGTAATACCCCAGATATTATTATTGAATGACGACAAGTGGGCGGAGCTCGGTCCTAAGGTCCATAATGTCTACATTGAAATCGCCGACTAGTATAAAGAGTTTGTTCTTCTAGGCGTTTCCTATTGTTTCATCACAATTATGATTGTTGCTAGTTTATCATGAAGTCTTTACACACACATATGTTTCGACTATAGCAACAGTTTTTTATACACCATGACAGTGGACAGTAATAACCGATGACAAGGCTAGGTCCTACGGTTCATAATGTGTACGTTGAAGTCGCTGACTAGATAGTATAAATGGTTTGTGCCTCCAGGTGTTTTACATTCCTCTGTCACAATTATGATTGGTATTAGTCTATTGTTAAACCACTTCGGTGTCTCACATCCACGTACTCCCTATGGCAGACACAAATGTGGATGGACAAGCCTCGACCCTAAGATTCTTCGCCCCTAAAAAGCAACGAGCAGCAAAGCAGAAACGGTGACGCACAGGTTGCTTTAGCCACCTCTGTGCCCTATTGGTCAAATGAGCTTCAAACTTGTATGTTCACACATGTTTTTTCACATTGAATAAAATTGCAAAACGGCTATTGTGCTCACATTTAAGTGCTTGTGGACAACTCCAAGTAGTCAGAATCAACCTAAAGCCCTTCGTTATAGAATGCGCCCTAGCACACTAAAATGTTAAAGCCCGATCATTCAATCAGTTCTTATGCTTTTCACATTTGTAGCCTACACCTTATTTTCAAGGGCTCTTTTCTTGTTTTCAGGAAGCAACCCATGAAATGAAGAAGAGCTACAGAGAGTTGACCAAGCGACTGGAGAGGCAAAAGGAGCTTAAAGTTGTCGAGCAGAAGATGATTGTGAAAAAGAAGCTCCTTGTAAGTTTCCTGCACCCGTATCATCATCTCAATCTACATATTTATGCTCACTTGTGTCTCTGCTCGTATCTGTTTCACCAGATCACAACTGACACTAATATTTGCAGCAATACTTGATAGACCAACTAAACTAATTCTTAATCCTTTCAAGACTAAAGAGAAACAGTGACCTGGTTTAGAATGACGAAGTACACTCTGAGAACTTTTATACCATTAGTTTCTCTATCATAAGTTCATTATTACCAGAGAAAATCAAGGTTTAAGTTTCATTTTTAATTTTATGCCGAAATATTCGCTACATTAGCTTGATAAAATTTTTTGAAACTTCCTTTGATAGATATATAGCACCCACAGATGACATTGTACTTCATTTTTATCGATTAGAACCTAGATAGGACCCAGTAGACCATTAGTGTCAGCGGAGGTGTGAAATAGGGGCACTTGCCCCCTTCAAGCTACGCGAGCAACCCCCCCAGTCATACCAGTGCGTGCCCTTCTCTCTCGCCATGATGCAACACTCAACGTTACTTGAACCAGGTCAGTTTCGCAGCTCCGCGCGCGTGCCGGCACGAGCGGCTGACGCGTGAACTACCGTAATTACTCAAATCTAACGCGCACCTTTTTTCCGGTTAAGCGAGTTCATAAATCGCATGCGCGTTAGAATCGAGTACGAACAAAAAATTACGGTCAATCTATTGCCATTGCAAATCCAAAATGGCCGCCCCCTACGTGCGTCGGCATGGTGCGTCGGCTATTTCTGCCTATGTGTTTACCATGTGCGGCACTTCGTACGTGTGCTGAGGAGTTCGTCATCTAGTAGTGCCTTAGCATCGACGACGTGAAAGGGCCGACTCCAAAAACTTAAGTGCACCACGATGCCGCTTTTAAAAGAAAAGTCATCGTGTGTGCGGAAACGGACGGAAGTCGGGCCGCATCGCGGTCGTTCCCGAAACGTGCGTGCGGGACCGGCGGAAACAAAAGCAGAAGATTGTCGACAGCAAAGCTTCACGCAAAGGCTTCAGTGAACCACAGCAGGGTCGGTTTCCGCAAATTAAAGAGCTGCTCCGCGAGTATGTGCTTGAGGAGCGAGCGGCACAGCGGCCCGTGACGACAGAACTGCTCCAAGTGCGGGCTATGCAATTAGTCTTAGAAAAAAGTCTAATGCGGAGCTAGTTTAAAGCGAGCAGGTGCTGGCTAATTAACTATATGAAGAGGAAAGGCTCTTCCCTTCGAAGGGGAACATGCATATGCGAAAACTTTTGCGGAGAAGTACGATGAAAAGCTTTACAGTTTTCAAAGGTTCGTCCTAAACTTGCGGCGCAACAACGGCTACCTGCTTGGGCAAATCTGGAATGCCGATCAGACGCCTCTTTACTTCGACATGCCTGGCACCACAACTGTCGAGAAGAAGGGGGCAAAGCAAGTTCGCTTGCTGACATCGGTCCACGGTAAAATTACAGTGACGGCAATGCTCTGTTACACGTCAGATGGGCACAACAATCCCGAAAGGAATCGTTTTTTCGAGTGGTGTGATCGTGCGGGCCAGCGAAAAAAAATGGGTGCGCGTTGCAATCGATGTCTTACGTTTTTTTTTTTTTTTTTTTTCGCGGTGGAAATCGGGTGCGCGTTACAATCGAGGGCGCGGTAGAATCGAGTAAATACGGTAATGGCGCTGCTGTTCCGTCTTGCTTCACATACCACGCCGCGCCTCGCGGCGCGCGTGTTGCCGCTTAGACACGACAACACGTTTTCGGCGCTTGGTTGCTTCTTCGCGTCATTATTTAGTGAACTGTCGTCTCTTACGAAAGAGTTCTAACATGTGATAAGAGCGCCAATAAACAATGCCTTATTGTTGTGCCCCGTGCCGCAAAAGCGGCTACGGAAATGACATTGATCATCATTTCTTTGAGCCACCCTGGGATCGCGATGAGTTTAAAAAAAGCCGCCCGCATGTTCCCGCGGAAAGAAGATAAGTAAAGGCGTCGCAGAGTGAGGAGGGGGGGTATCGCATGTATGTTGCGTAATTGGGTATTGTTATTTCATCTTATTTACGGAATGATGAAGAAGCGCGTCCTTCAACGAGTATTGGGAGGCTGATGTTGGGTTGTGCCCCACTACTGGTTGAAGGTACTGTTGCTTCCAGCGCATCTACTCGAGTCAAGCAAAGCGTAGCCAGAAATTTTTTTCGAGGGGGGAATTGGGCGGGGGGCACCTGCTTTATTTCGGGCAAGGCACCCCCTTGAAATGGTCATTTGTTATTCTCTATGCTATCGCGAAAAAAATTTCCTGGGGGGGGGGCACGGGCCCGGTGTGCTACCTCCTGGCTGTGTCTGGCATCGACACAAACTGCACTCTGTGTAACGAGCCGGAAACGGTTGAACATGCTGTGAGTGAGTGCTGGGATCCGATATTCTTTTGGGATGTGGTACAAAAGACCCTGAAGAAATATCTGCCGATAACACCTCATGGCTTACGTTATATATCAATACAGAATGAGGTTGGTGTTCCATATAATATGACGCAATTACTGGGCCTTTACAGTCTCTGGATAAAACGCATGGCCGTGAGCCACATGGATCTTAAAGCAAAATCAGCACGGGAAACTTCATTGAATGAGTAATATGTGCGCAAGATAGATCGAACGTTTATATAACCTCAAAATCGTATGCAGGTGTTTTATGAATTGGTGAAAATGAACCATTTTTAAACCGTCAAAGTGGTGCGAGTAGACCAATATGGTTTTTATGAATATGTATTTATTTATTTCTCAATAAAAAGGTTCTAAAATGCACACCCGTGCCTGTGTAGTAAAACTCCTGCTCTCCCCGCAAACTGCCCGGGTTCGACCCCCTACTCAGACCTAGAATTTTTTATATTTGCAGCTTTCTCAATTTTCCAGTTGCGCCCAAGATGATTATTTTTCACTCACAACCAACGAAACCGACGCCGACGCGAGAATTTCTGTGAAACGAACTCTTTAACGCTGTCGCGTTAAAAATGGGCCTAGATGCTGTGCCGCAAGGATGGGCGGCTGACTCACAAGTCCACTATATGTGAGTGACATTTTGAGGCGGACGATAATGTCAAATATCATAAGTACATTATAAATGGGAAATTAAATACTTCCACCTCGAGGAAAATGGGCGCTAGTGCCAAAGACATTACCTCGCTTTTTTTCCCGGTCTGCCAGAGTGCATATCGAAGGCACATGTGACTACAATAACAAGGAGGTCACACACACACGCACACGTGCTAGGGATGAGCTCATGCCAGAAAATGAAATAGGGAAGTCATGGTCATGGAGTCGGTCGAGTGATTTTAGCGACGACGCATCTCCGGGCAGATCAGACGTCTCGTCAGCTACACTGTTCGCGCTCAATGAAGCGATGAACTTCTCGTTGTCTTCCGCGTGCAGGAGCCAAAAATTAATCGATGATGCCGTGTCAGGGATGACGTGCGGTGTTTTTCTGCTGCAGAAATCTTGCACCAAGAGCTGCTACTACAAAAAACTGTTATTGTGGAACGAGGTGGTAGCTCTAGATTGTACCCACAACCATTAGTGTTCATCGTAAACACTGTACAGTGTTTACAAAGCGGCCTACTAGCTTTCTGAGGCCACTGCTAGTCAGAAAGCCTGCAAAGGTGGTGAAAGCCAGAAAACAAAAGGTCCGCAACCTCTCGGAGAGGTTTGCCCGTGCGGCTGCCTCAAAAACGAAGAAACGTAAGGAGATCCTGGCTCTTGAGCGAAAGCTTTCCGCAGTTTCGAATGAGAGAATCGAAAATACCCTTGCTGAGCTTCCTCATTTGCTAAGGCTTTCAATTATGACATCACTAATGTAACGAGTGTTCGGCAATAACCTAGAGAAATGATTCGAGAAAGATGGCTAATACTTTAGCCATCTTTCGCTCGAGAGTTAACATGATAACTACCATTTTTTATACCCCCATGATAGAATTCTCTCGCGAGAAAGATGGCTGATAACTACACAATATAAAAAAATGCCACCTTGAGCAAACTGTATTTCTAAAAAGTGTTTTTATTATAGCGCAGTCGACATTTAGCTGGGAAATTTTGCAGGCCGACGAACACTGGAAAGAATGTGAAAGATGCACAGCTGATTACAAAATAAACTACGCTTAAGATGAGCCACCAATATAGAAGGACGATCGCATACTAACAACTCGTGCTGTGTACTTCTATTCTGGCGTCTTGTGTTTCGCGCACTCTATTTTTATAATGTACCGCGAACTAGCGCCCAACACAAGCTTCTCGGGCACAGCCGATTCCGCCCGAAAACAGCGTTCCGGGCACTGTTTGTAAATAAATAAGTAAAAAAAAATAATAATTAGTTTTCTGATTGCAAAGGCTCCTGACATTTAGTGGTGATTATGAAACAGATGTTTTACAAATTTTCGTTTCTGAAGTGGTTGAGTTTACCGCTCAAGTGTCAATGGCGAATCTCGGTTATCACGACTGACGAGAGCGGCGACGAGAACGCGAATCACTAGCGCTGCAGCAGACGACGCGCGCGGCTTGAAGCAAAATGGCACATCAGTGCCACTAGTTCTCGCGTCGGCCACCACGGCCACTTCAGAGAGTGCGCGCCTACGGGGAGCTCCGAAACTGACCTAATTCTAGTAACGTTGGCAACACTGGTGGTTGCACCCCCCCCACCCCCTAAGACAAAATCCTGCCAACGCCCATGCAGTAGATGCCTTCAAAATCTATGACGTCAGTGTTTGTTGCTGCAATCTTCATTTGAATTTTTTTCTTGCTCGATTTCTCGCTTAACAAGCATCGTCTTGCGGTAATAGTGGTGTTTGGGGGATTTTTAAATAGTACTTTAATAATACACAAACAATCGTTTTTCTCTTTAGTGTCCCTTCAACTGTTAGGGCACAGTTGTACGATTCTCACCTCCCTATTTGGACCCAGCCATAGCAGCAGACTACCGAAGAGTTTAGTCCACATAGCTTTGTGTGCCTGTCAAAAAAAGCCCCATGTTAATATATCCGCTCGAAAATTTCTCATGACATGTGCGATGCTTTAGTTAACTAAACCTAATGAACCCAAGGAGTCAAGGTATATGATGCGAGTTGATTTATTTTAAAATTGGCTGTTCTTTGCATTTTCTGTAGACTCAAAAATGAATCAAGCGCTTAGGTAGACTCACTAAGCTAGTTAAAAAACTCTTAAGAAAATGTTCCAAGTATCCAACGTAGTAATGCACATTGTCTCCTGCTTTCGTACTGTCTTTTCTGATATATCGATTATGAGGCAGCCCACATGTGCGTCCTGAGTTCAGACACTAGTAGTCATATTGTCTTTATGATAGTGAATTGTACTCAGCGTCTTTAAGAACACCATTTTGTAGTCGAGCATGTCTGCTTATGATTTCCTTAAATACAGCGTACAGTACATCTTTTTGACTTTTCTTTTCACCTGCAGGTCATCTCTCCTTTCTTGAAGTGACTATACCTTATATCTAGTTGGCATTTTACCACCTTTTTCATTTGAATATATTGTGAGCATTATTCGTATACCTGTAGATGATCATCATCGCCGCTTGGGCCTGAGCAGCAGAGCTTAGACTCGAGTGTCAATAAAGAAGTGGCTTGCTGCCTGAATGTTCTCTCACAATATACCTAGTTGACTAGATTTTATGACATATGAACATGTTGTACAGCTTCGTACCATGTTCTTGAACGACATCTGATGCTACACTTTCAGAAATGAGGTGTGTCTGCCGTTTCATTCTCTTGTTCACATATTTACCTCTGACAGCATTATGAGTGAACAACACATCTTAGTGAAACTTTCTGACATTCCAGCTGATGTACCTTACACATAATGTCACTGATGTCATTTTTCATTCACACAGGACAAAAAGAACCCACCTGTGAAGAAAGTCAGAGAAGGTACAAAGGATTCTGCTCCAGTGTACTTGTGGAAAAAAGAAAGAAAGCGATGAGAGCTTAGGACCAAGCTGCACCGGGCCTAGCGTGAAGCATCCACTCAAAGAAAGCCGCGAAAAATGGACGAGTCAGGCAAAGCCGTATTCTCACATTTGTCTCCTGCGGTTTCACAACTACCCATCAGACTGCAAGTGTGCTTTTGTGAAATAAATATCTTCATAATTTACTGCTTTTGTGAAATAAATATCTTCATAATTTACTGGGATTCTTCCTGTACTGACAAATAGGAGAGGCAGAACATTGTATATGTACCCTTTAATTATAATTTTTTTTCTTTAATTATTAAACACTGTCAGCCATTTGCCACAATAGCTCAGTGATCATATTTTATGCTGCTGAGTAAAGATCCAGAGTTTGATGTTTGTCCATCAAGCACTACATGCAGGTTAAAAAAGTCTTAAGCAGTCGAAACCTATTCGGAGTGTTCTGGTACCATGTTTTCCTTAATGAAGTCATTGTTTTTGTTGTGTAAACCAAAGAACCGTTTAAAAACATGTGTCAAAGTAACATAGAACCATAAAAATGACTGAGCACTTGTATTTACTTACAGTGAACATTTGAGGAATAAAGCACATAAAAGGTACAATGACCTGTACCTCTTCTGGTAGCCCTGTAATCTCTTTCAATAATTCACTCCATTACACTTGGATTACTTGGTGGGAAGACAATGCATGGCCGCCAGGAAAGGTTTGCGAAATTCGCATGCGGCTGAGAGCAAAAAATCGGCATCACTTGAGAACCATTTAGCAGAGAGTAGAAAAGTGGGACCAAGCAGTAGTCTGATGCAGCTCTTTCCCTATTGGAACACTAGTGGGCCTATACGGGCGCACCAGGACGGGAAGCGACTTTGCTCCCCTCCCCACCTAGTCGCCTAAGTGGTGGGGCGAGGCGAAAAGCCTACCCCATACATATTTCGCGGGCATTATTTAAACCCGCGGCATGTGTGTTGCCGCGAAAAAAAAAATGAATGGGTTGTTTTGGCATGCCCGCCACAATGTCGAGTTTTCAGCTATATGTAGAATATGTGTAGCAGTATGCCTAAAATGTTTGAAATTTATTTAGTTGTTAGAATTCTGTACGTTTTAAGCCAAGCTCTTACTTTTTGCAGCCTTTGCGCACCTCGTTAGTACTGGATTTAGCTATATGTGTGTGCAGGTAGGGTGGTACAGGGAGGGGGAAGAGGTGCCTTAAAATAAGAACGCCCCCCCCCCCCACCTACCCTGTTAATAAGTTTTCTGGCTACGCCCCTGACTGAAAGTGTTAAAAGTTAAAACTTTCGTGTGGAAAGCTTCGAGCACTCTTCACCTTCTAGGGCGGAACGCGAGAGCGTAATCAGGCCCCATGCATGTCGCCTTCAACTGCGCCGCACGGAAAGGAACGTTTCAGGCCGTTTCAAACTGTCATAGAATGCCTACTGCAAGTCTGTAGTACCGTAGAAGTGTGGCAGCTTGGGCTAGTTGGTATGACATGACGATTGTTATAGCGCGAGAACAGAACGACGACACAGAGAAGAAGGACACGAGCGCTCGTGTCCTACTTGTCTCTGTGTCGTCGTTCTGTTCTCGCGCTATAACTATCGTCCGTAGTACCGTTGTGCAGTGCCCACTATACGCCATGACTGTTCATTTCGCGAATCAGGGAAGGGCCACTATATTGCGTCATTTCGTGCCAGGAGCACCTTCGCGCCGTAATGATTGGGCAGCTTTAAACTCGTCGCACTCGCTGTGACGCCTGGCGCTATTCTGTCATTCCGCCAGGCAATACTGCGTGCTGAGGAGACTCCTCCCAATACATATGACTTTCTTGTAAGGCGCTTTATATGAATACATGAGAATCGATTTCAAGCTGTAGCGTGGCTCCGTGATAGAACGCGCCCCGTGCTTGCAAGCAGTTCTTTGTTTGCATCTATCTCGAATAATCGCTCACAACCAATGACACCGGAATTTCTGCGAAGCGAGCTCTTTCACCCCATCGCGTTTGTGTGCATGACGGGGCAGAATCTTCTCTCGAGCACACCGCGCCGCCGGCATCCTTTCATCAACGGCCGGCGGCCCCGCGATGCACGGGAGATAAGCGTTGTCGATCATCCGCCGTAGCTTTTGGCCGCTGCTAGCGTTGGCCTGCGTCGCCCACCCAGTTTCCTCAGGCGCGCGACCGAGTGCGGCGCGAGCTCAGTCTCGTGTTCCGGCGTTCGGTTTGCCGCATGCTGCTGCTTCTTGCGCGCCTACCATGATGGCGTGACTGTTCTCACAGCCGGCGCTCCGCAGACAGCAACAGTTACCAGACACCACGGACACCGCCTGCACTTTGCAGCTATCGTCGGCGCGCGCCTTCGGCGAGCATCGAACACGACGCCGTGAGACGAAGAAACGTTTCCGTCGTAGCTGTCCTGCAGGGCACGTGCCTGACGCCTCGGCAACAGCGACCGCCGCACTATTTTAGCAGTGTCGCCGTTATGGATTTGGCCAAGGCTCTGGACCATATCGGCGAGTACGGCCGGTTCCAGTTCTACGTGCAGATGCTGGCCTGCCTGCCGCCCATTCTGAACGGAGCGCATCAGCTGGCGCACGTCTTTCTGGCGGCCACGCCCGACCACAGGTATGGTGCGTTGGCGGATTTCATCTCTCATCTGATGGAGCGTCACACGTGGGCTAAATATTACGTGATTGCATCTGAACTTGAACAGATGTCTTGGGTCTATGACGAACGACGTACTTTTCAATCGCCTGTGCGAGGTATTTAGTTCCAGCTTTTCGTGCCGATTCGATTCTTGCTGATGCATGCTGCGGTCTAGTGGAGAATGGTAACAGACGTGTTCATTTTCGTTGTCCTTGGTGCGCTTACAGATTTCAACCGTTGCTGCGCCGCGTATAAGTTGGATAGTGGGAGCGCAGTATATAAAACATTAGTGTGAATGTGGTACAATCTCGTACTCAGTGCCGTCCTATGATTATCATTATGATGTGTTCGCCACGTGATGTACCAACCAACTTGAATGAACAGTTTTCCCATTGTGTGTTCAAGCTTTAGATTTCGCTTCACCAAACGAGTTGAAGTAGCCGAAAAATAAAGCCGCTCTCCCGTGTTGTTTTGCTTTCTTTCGCGTATTGGTTTGCTTTTTTTTTTTTCTCTTCTGATGGATCACGTCGCATCGGAAGCACAAACCCACACGTTCGAAAATGCTGTGGATGTTTTCTTCAATGAACACTATTCCATTGGGAGATCATTGGCTGTTACAGCCTTGTAACAGCCGGTGAACATCCATACGGTTTTATTTATATCTAAGTCTAGTCTGCCCATGTTCTGACGTGTTTGAATATAGAGGAGAAAGCCGGAAAGGGAAGAGAGCAGAGAGTAACACGAGGTTCAACCATGTGCTTCCTTGTCTTTCCTGCGCGCCCCAAAGGGTTATAAGGGTGCCCCGGCTATCTTTACCCAGAGTTTTAAAATATGCCGACACATGTAATTACGACGCGGCCAAATGCATGTTGCTGATTTTTGCCTGTAGTTAGACTATTCCTTCGTGTTCTTAAAGAATGCTTAATTAGATCTGTTTAATTAACCAACTTTTTGATAACGAAGTTTGATAAAAAATTGCATTGAGGAATTTGTAGAGTTTGCAAAACGTCTGAAAAGGCAGTTTCGAACGTTGTATCTGTTTTATTGGTGTTTATTTGTTATCTAAAAATACCCGCGAAATACAAAAAAAAAGTACCACGTGACAAACCCACTGGCGCGCTACGCGCGCCGTAATTTTGGCGCTCTTTGACGTTCCGGGTACGAACAATACGCTTTCCTCGCACCGGTTAATGACGGCGATAAGCAGTCACAGCGGTTATCGCTTTTGCGGCCGATAGCAAAACGTGTATACATCGCAAGGCCACCACCATCGTTGTGGCCCAGTCGAGACAGCACAATCGGGCAAGTGCTATGGTCGTTGGTATATACGCGGAACGTTAGGGTGCACTAGAATCATCGTGCGCACTGGCGCGCGAGCGGGTTGGTCACGCGGTATTCTTTTTTTGTGTGTGTATTTCGCGGGTATTTGTAGTTAGCAGAAAAACGCTAATACTTGACAGATACAAAGTTCGAAAATGTCCAATCACTGGTTTTGCAAACCGATCTACAACTTTCTCATTGCAATTTTTTTATCCATCTTCGTTCCTTGAAAAGTTAGTTAATTAAACAGATCTAATCAAAGAAAATCTTAGAACACAGAAAAGTGCATATTAATGAGTTCGTAAAATGATTTCCCGTCTCCTTCCGCAGTCGAATTTCCTTTGCCAAATTTATATACATAGTGCGCAGCGCTCGAAGTTATATACACGCCGGAAACAACGCTAAAAAAAAGATTTTTCTTCGTGTGAGGGGCTTGGTCTGGTTATATATTGAGGAGCGGGGGCCCCTCCCCCATATTTATGAACATATGTGGCTACATAGCTAGCACACCATTATGATCGAACAAGGGAGGTTCAATTGCACCTTCCCCGCCCACAAATTTACATATCAGGGGAACACTTAATTTCGAAGCGACGAAAAATTCCTGGAACACGGGATGTCTCGGATTTCGACTAGGGGGTTCGTCTTCATCAAATCCACGTATCATAGATGATGACATTCAGGTTCAATGGGTGGGTCATCCAGGATTCGACCGGCGATCGTGGCACGACGGGAGAGAGACAGATTGGTCCTCTCGCACGGTGCGCACATTTTGCAACGTTTGTACGAAAAATCTATGAATGGGCTCTCGAAAGAAAACGTGAACAACCGCAGTTAGCGTGGCGAAATGAGGTGTTCCGTGCCTCTCTTAGACTGGATGACACTCGGAGGTATATAGTGTATAACTACGGCCGCTGGATCAAAGCGCACACATTTAATCCAGCGGCTGTGGCATAACGAATCGTTATGTCTTGGGAACTGCGCAAACAGGCTGCAGCTAAACACCCGACTACGAGAGCATGTGTATAATGGCTACTACTTGATCCCTCGATGGTTTTAAAAACACACAAGGATCAATGCGCCAGTGAGGTTTTCCAAGCCCTCGTAATTCACTCGTCACTCATCCGCAAGAATGGCGTCCACAGACTTGCTGAAGAAAGAGCACGGATATCGGCTGTAATCTTGGCGCATGTGGCAGTAATGGAATGCTGTCTTCGTTTTTTTTATTTTTTTTCTTCCCTGAGGGCATATTGCTACGGTGAAAAAAAATTGCCAGCGGCCCTGTCTTATCGCTTAGTCATTTTCTAGCTGTGCCCCGTACTAGACCCGTTTTCAAGTTTCGATATGTACCAACAAGCCTGCATCAACGCTGTTATTTTTGTTTGTTTTTTCTCTCCGAAGTGTCTTTTCGGGGCGGTTGTTTCTCGTGTGCGAGGGTTCTGTCGCTGCGTATCTAATTGCAAGCGGTCGCGCCACTATCTTCCTCATCTGCGAGATACTTTTTATTGCCGGATATTCTGCTGCGGGTGGCACTTCGAAAGCTTCGCCCACGTTGAGTATCGGCTTTGTTGCTAGGCTTTGGTTTTTGTGAGCTCGTGCGCAAGGGTCGCACTGTCGGGGGATTTGCGCGTTGATGACTCCGTAGATAACCTTTCCCTGATAGCGGGGAACATTAGCGCTTCATCCGTGGAGTCACTTCGACGGTATTACCGAAAGGGGTTCTTAGTGTTCAGTACAAGTAACTTTTAATGTTATTTACATTCTGCTTGGAATTTTGGTTAGAAATGAAGGGACCATGTTTATTTCATTGAATGTAGCACAAGCGCGTGCATGCGTCACAGCTTTTTTTCCACCATTTGTGCCACGCACGTATTTGAGACGCAGAAAAAAAAAAGTAACTAGGAATGACGCAGCAAACTGGAATTTTTTAAGCGTGATGTTCTGGAGTATGATGCAGGATTAGACGTCCTAATTTCTGCAGTTCGGTGTAATTAATTACCTACGCACAGGCTTTGTTTAGAGGCAAAAACGCCGATTGCCGCATCGAGATTTTCACAAAATTGGACCCTATATTTCAGCAAGATTATGTAATCGGCCAAAAATCACCGGTGATTGTGAAACTGAAGCGCTGATGAGCGCAACCAGCAGGCGACCAGAGTGATGTCGCTGTTCACAACAATGGTTATAGTGGTGTTAATTCCGTTGCGTTTCTTCAACTTGCGTGCGCCACGCGTTCCTTGGTGTAAGCGTGGCCCGCACACTTTGTGCCACGCGTTTCTTGATGTAAGCGTGGCCCGCACACTTGAAGGGACACTAAAGAGCAAAACGATATCACGGTTATTGGTAAAGTACAATGTCACAATTCCGAAAACACCACACTTACCGCGACATGACGCTTGGTAAGCTATAAAAAGCGCAAAAGGAAATGCTGGTGGAGACGCCACCGTGAGATTCGTGCACCAAACTCCCCGACATAGTAAATTTTGAAGGCGTCTACTATAGGTCCTACCAAGGGCCGCTTGATAAAAAAGCGCTCTTTCATACAGCGGCTGTGGTCCTACATAATGAAGTACATGTCACATGTGGGTGCCATAGACCTAGCTTACTAAGTTTTTATATTTCATCGAGCCAATGCTGCAAAAATACTGAAAATACATTTTGGGATTTACGCCACGCGCGAAGATTTCGGCACGAAATTTGAAAAGGAAATTTGAACCTTAATTTTATCCGCTAATAATAAGCTTATGACAATGAAACTTATGGCGTTAGAGTTCTCGAAGTGCAGTTTACACATCTAAACCAAGTCATTGTTTCTATTTAGTATAATCATATGGTGGTTTTGGGACGTTAAACCCCACATATCAATCAATCAATTGTATCAATCAATTTCTCTCTCGTGTCCCTTTAAGGCCTGACCGCACGTACGCGTTGCAGCGCGTCGGAGTGTGGCTTGTAGATTCGGCTTCGAGCCCTGAAGAGAGGGAGGGCGCGCCTGGCCTGACCACATGCGCGCGCTCTGCTTATTGGCTCGGCACCGCGCTCACTCCCAATGGACAGAGAGAGCGTGCGGTGTCGCCCTCTTCCCTCTATGGGGTGAGGGCGTGGCACCAAGTCTACATAAGGGCCTTTACACGCGCTTCCCGCACAGCCGCAACGCACGTGCCGGGACCCCTGCGGTAGGCAAGCGGAGGACAAATAAGCCAATTAGCGACGCTCTTTCACCACCCTCCGCAGCGTCGCCAATTGGCTTATTTGTCTCCCGCCTGCGTGTGGTAGGGGTCCCAGCACGTGCGTTGCGGCTGTGCGAGAAGCGCGTGGAAAGGCCCTAAAACCCTATTTAAGTCTACAAGCTACGCCCGGCAACGCGTGCGTGCGTGCTTTCAGGCATTTACGAAGTGAAGTGGATCTGTGGTTGGATATAACAACGCTTCCTCATTCTCGACATTTGGGAAGAACGTGCCTGTTGCACACTTCGGCGTTTCGGTTTGGCCAGCCTAGCATGGTCAGATTTCATCACTCTGAAAATTACCAATGGCCACGTTTTGGGAACCCGAAAACGCCAGAGCGCTTTTCGTAGGAAGAGCTCCGGCCGATTCAACAATATGACCCATCCGCAATGTTATTAAAAAGTTATTTGAAGAAAAATTTGTTCTGAGCGTAGCGAGCTAAAACAAGTATAGCATTTCCCTTGTATTTGAGACTTTTTCCGGCACATTTTTTTTGAAACAGGATGTACATGTGCGAACAAGTGGGCAAGTTTGATTCCTAGACGGAGCTGCCCGAAATCGCTCAAGAAGCGAGGGGGGGGGGGGTTGAAAACGCAACACGTATAGATCATGTAATTTCATGGAGTACCCTGAGGAGTACTCCAAGTTAATGGGGAGTCCCCAGAATGGTTGAATCAGTGATTGACCATTTGGCTATATTACAGGGAAGGGGGGGAGGGTGCGGCGGGTTTCACCAAAGCCGCCGCCCCCCTCCTCCCCTTGCTTTGGTCCCAAGTTTTTTCGAGAGTAAAAACAGTAAAGCAAGATAAGGCTCCTCGATTCACCATTTTCGTAACAATTGAGGCATGCTTTTGGCATATTTTGGCATAAGTAATCCTGCGTATTAAAAATTGCATGAGAGTTCCTATAAGTAAAAGTATGGTGGCTGAAGATTGGAGCCCCCCTTCACCTGAGTAGAAGGGGGGGGGAGAGCACTGACCTGACCCCCCTCTTCCTCTCTGTTGGTTCTGGCATGCGCTTCAATTCTGTTGTAAACTCCAGGATGTTCTTTCTCTTTCTGCAAGATGTTTCATCGACGGCTGCGACGGGAACGGCACAGAGTTCCTCGAGCCGTGGACGAGGTACGCCATCCCCGACGGGAGCATGGACGAAGCGCAGTGCTGCCGCTACGACCGCAACATCTCGGCGGCGGCGCAGAGCTGCACACCCCAGGACTTCTTGAACACATCGCAGCGGTGCAATCGCTGGCTCTACTCGAAAGTCGAGTTTGACAGCACTATTGTCACCGATGTGCGTGCCTTTCTATAGATTTATATTGTGTTGCTTTACGAATGTCAAGCGTTGTGGATAATTTAAAAAAACGCTACTCCTACTACTTCCCGGACAGACGGAATATATAATGTAGTGTGCTATATAGCGCTATGTAATTAGACGTGGCCTGTGTACTCAGATTTGGGTGCAGGTTAAAGAACCCCAGGTGGTCAAAATTTCCAGAGCCCTCCACTACGGCATCTCTCGTAATCAAATGGTGGTTTTGGGACGTTAAACCCCACAAATCAATCAATAATTAGACGTGTGTGACTTACCTAGCCAGCCCATGTACTCTACCATTTTCTGTGTTGTATACCATGTGCGGTACACATTAGGTATGACTATGTGAATACATCTCCTTGTTCGAGATAGGGCAAACCTGTACTAACGTACATGGGTCAGAAAGCACCACTTTTACGTCATATCTGTTTGCAATCTTCTTACTATGGGAGAATATGTGGATGTACGGTATAAACTGCAGTCTTTCGTTTATTTTCTATTTTCGTTGGTATGAACTAACGAAAGTATTGTGTATACTCTGACAGCCCCCCCTTCACCTCCTTCCCCCCCCCCCCCAAAAAAAAATGTTGAGCTATGTCCCTGTCATGACTAGTGTCATGACTTGCTCGGTTATTCAAGCATTCTTTTTAGCTGTTCAGGCAACATCACTGATTTGCTCTTCGATAACACTCGTAGTTGAACATTGTGCGCCCAGCAATCCAATGCATAACTATAGAACCACATTGTTATGCCCCTTATTTACTCATGGCCTAATTAATATGACACAGAATAGAGCAGACCACACTCTAAAGGCGAGTGCACTCATTGCGTGTGAATATTGCAGCAACAACCCAGCTCTGTTTCGTTACATGAAGATTATCACTCATGTGTTATTCGATCAGCCATCATCCGTAAACGCGCGCAATTTCGAGTCTCGCAAATTAGCGAAATACGGCAAACAATTCTTGTGTAAAATGATGTGCGAGTTTTTTACCTTGATATAAAGTGAAGCCACGATGATTATAGCACTGATGAACGAAGGTCATCAGACATTCATCCGCTATTTTACTTTATTCAGCTCCTCTCGCCCAATCATGGTATGAAGCACGTGTGCATGCATATGGACCTTGAAGCGCAAGTGCATCGTATGTGATGCGTTCTTTCGTTTTTTCCCTCTCTCTACACTGCCTTCCAGTTCGACCTAGTCTGCAAAGATGGTTGGTTAGCTAGCACATCGCAATCTCTATTTATGGTGGGCGTGATGGTTGCATCGGTGCTGTTTGGACATCTCTCTGACCGGCAAGTACAAATGCACATCAACTTTCTTTAGTATTGAGACTTGTATACTCATCTGCACAAATAAATCCTAGTGCGTTAATCAACCAGCGAGTCAGCTTAATTAATATTTTACTTTACTCAATTAATTGCTGCCATAATGTACATGCTTTGTACTTTGAAATAACCGCACTATTTTATTTAACCAACACACACTAGCCAGCAGCCAACAGGCAGCTAACAAAGTAACCAACGATCGACAGCACTAGACATTGTTTGACCATCTTTAGCACCACATGTTGAATATCGGAAAAACTGGGCCAGCAATTTCTGGCAATCCATCATGTTCGATCCTGTTTTGGCCTTATCTACTATTCAAGGTTATCTGATAGTATTCATAACATGAATGCACCACCACTATGGCCACTTTTGACATATAGGAAGGCCGAAAAGGCATTAGCGTTTAAAAAGTTATTGATAGAGAAATGCAGAACAGCGGCCATAGTAGATAGGTACTGTTGAAATGGCAATTGACTCCTCTGAGCTATCACCATGGAGGCTGTTTAATAGTTCCTCTTTAGCTTTTAGCATAGATCGCGCCTGTCTGGTAGTGTTATCGGGACTGGCGCTTTCAGATACGGACGCCGGATGTGCTTCCTGTTCATTCCGCCTGTGTTCCTGTTGACGTCGTGGGCCACCGTGTTCACCAAGAACTACCTTCAGTTTACGATGACGCGCATATTCACCTGCCATGGGATCAACCGCCCTTTACCAGGCATCTTTCGTCCTAGGTGAGGAAACACTATTTCTTCGTTTGTTCCAGGTATCTGTGTGAAAAATATTTGTGTACGACTCGCCATTTTTGGAATGAGCCTACTCGCATTGTGGCATGTGCTCTAACTTCTTTGCTTTAAGTTGTGAAAATTGCCTGCTGACCATTTTTTTTTAACAAAACTCGTATTCATAGCTGTAACAATCTCTCCTGCTTCGGGACCACTTCTTTTCAAAATTTTCCTGACTCGCAAATCCGTGGATTTTCATGTTATGTGAAAGCCAAATATGTGAGGTTTTTTTTTTTTTGTAGTCTAGACGAGACATTTTAGTTTTTCTTTTTTTGAACTCCTTAAATACTAAGCTGATGAAATAAAAAAATTAGCACACTTTTCAGCGTGTTTGCAGTCCAGTAAAACAAAGTATGCTATGCTAACGATATCGTCTCCGTGTATTTGTAAACTAATTGTTATCTTCAAGTTTACAGACTACAGGCGAGAAGTTTCCGCGGAGCTCGTTTTTCGCTAGACGCCTCATTGTCGACGGCAAGCTTGCTTCACCGCAAACACACTATTGATGCCGTGTAGCAATCTTGTAGTAGGCCTAGCACTAAGGTGATTTAATAGGAATATCGGGGGGCGCGGCGGCCGCTCGCCGCCACCGCAGGCCGGTAGCTGCAAGTTTAACGAAGGTTAAGTGCGTGCTCTAAGTGGTGCATTTTTGTCTTTTGCTATCGTTTACTGCTGCTTTTCAAATCTTCGCAAAGTGAACCGTTCACGGGATCAAAAGAGCGCTTCGGACGGTGCCCAAACCTGTTGCAGCCGTCGACCGTCGGTGGTGCCGAGTCGTCTCCAAGCGTTATGATGTTTTCTTTGACAGTGAGCAGCTGTGTACATGTGCCAACTTTGCTCACTATTTACCAGAAGTCGTTTGATTAAGGTTTGATCTACACAAAAAGTGAAATAATACTGCCGACAAATAATGATTGCTAAATTTTCACCTTTTTTCTGATGCAGCTGAAAAGAATGAACGTAGCTGAATGCTCCACTGTTTTGTGGGATGTGTTAGGGCAGTGTGTGAATAGCGCGCCCACTGCTGCTCTGCATACAGTAGTTTGACTGAGAAGAGGAAATGACATACACCTCTGTGTCATTTTTTTCTAACTTCTGCTACAAATGGCAGTTAACTCGTTGCCTTAGCTGTATCTTTCCAAAGATGCCAGATGGGTGAGAGGGGCTCACCTGTCACTTTCAGAATTTGTGGTCACATTTCGGTACGGGCAAACTGCAGAAAGTGCCTGTGTAGTTGAATTTATGTGCACACTGAAAGACTCCAGATGGATAAATATTAATAGGGAGCACTCTTCTATGGGGTGCCTCATGACTGTACTGCAGTTCTGGCACATAAAATTCAGAAGAGTTTTTATTTTTTGTTTTTTTATTTTTACATACAGCAACCTTAAAGAGGCTATTGAAGGAGTGGGTAAGCATGAAAACAGCAACAACAAACATTCTTGCACAGGCTTCTTCCAGAAATTCTTTAAGTGGTAAGGAATAAACACTTCCGAGCAACAAATTTCAGGCTTCTATGGTTGAAAAAAAAAAGATATATTCAAGCACTTCGTTGCAGGGCTGAAATATTGAAGGATAGTTTGTAAATTTGAAAGTGTGTTTGGCAAAAGTTAGTGGCCATTCAAATGACAATGCCTTGGCCTTTTTTTGTTGTTGCTGTTTTTTTTTTTTCTGATCTTTTTTTTTCGCTGTCGGCAATCGCGTGATTTATGGGGGAGAGGCCACAGCTGTGGATGTGCAAGTGTTGCTATGCATCACTGTACCATCACATGATTGCTGAGAGTGTGTGAGCTGGCACTGCTTCAGGGCACAGAGGGACAAATGGACAGATGCGAGTAGGAGCCACTAAAGGCTTTCAACTTAAAAGTTGCTTCTTGTAGATAAAGGTCAGGAGAAATTAAAATAGCTGTCTATAGTATTGAGGAAGGGAGAATTTATTAGAGTGTTAAGAAATTTCAGGCATTTAATTTGGCAATGCTTAACAAGTTTAGTGAGACCTAGCTGGGGAAGAAGATTTGATGGAAAAAGATCCCTATCATATGTATTGCATACAAAATTTGCACAGCTTTTTCATGAATTAATTTGTTTTTCACATCGCATTCCCCATAGGGCTTCCACATCGTGCAACCATATCCAAAACTGAGACAAATGAGAGTTTTGTAGGTAGGTAGGTAATTTGATAATTAGGTAATTGTAGTTTTGTTTCTGCAGCCGTGGAGTTGGTGGGGCCATCAAGGCGGCTGATCAGCGTCCTGCTCTTCCAGCTAGCCTTCCCTCTGGGCGAGATTCTGCTTGCGGTGGCTGCGTACATGCTGCCCGACTGGAGGCACCTCTCCATGGCCCTAGCGGCACCCACGATCCTGCTTTTGCCCTACTACTGGTACTTACATGAATAAGTTTTTGGCTCGGTAAAATATTGGTTTGTCCCTACCAGAATGATGGGAAAGGGTGGTGTGTTTGTGAAAGCATAATGCTAATGAATACACACTACAGGCTACACTGACTGACATCACACGACAACTAGCATGCCCCGTCGTGGTGGTCTAGTGGCTAAGGTACTCGGCTGCTGACACGCAGGTCGCGGGTTCGAATCCCGGCTGCGGCGGCTGCATTTCCGATGGAGGCGGAAATGTTGTAGGCTTGTGTGCTCAGATTTGGGTGCACGTTAAAGAGCCCCAGGTGGTTAAAATTTCCGGAGTCTTCCACTACGGCGTCTCTCATAATCATATGGTGGTTTTGGGACGTTAAACCCCACATATCAATCAATCAATCACAACTAGCAGTTTTATCATCTATGGTAACGCGAAGAAACAGGGCACAAGAAAGGCACGTGACGATACTTGCACAGCAGTTTGTGTGTGTCATGTGCCCTTCCTGTATACTGTTCCTTTGTGCTACCACACATTTGTATTGTTTCTTTGTGCTACCACACTCAGTATTAATAAAAATTATGTTACACGAGCAAGTTCACTTTGCAAGTTCAGTCGCTCTACTGGTTGCCATGTGTAATTCTGTGTAAGCTCTGCAGTGTACATGAATCTTTTCTATTTGTAAACTACTGTAATATATGATGTTCACGTCCTAATTTTCATAGTTTTGGCACTAGTTGGACATCGGTAACAAACATTATTTGGGTTCTTTTCTGCACAGTAGTCCTTCAGAGACTGCAAATAATTAACAATTTTTGTTTAGCTGTAAAATTAGGGTTCCTTAATGACTTACTCTGCTTCAATATGTTAGCACTTATGTTCAGTTTCTATAGCATGCCCTTGGGGTTGAAATTTGTCATAGTTCTTGATAAGAGTTTACTCCAGTGTACTGATGTTTTTTGCACAAGCCCGCCTCTTCATAAAGATTTCCTTCATGTATAGTCCAGTGTTTGCAATAAATCTGCATTATTTATTTAATTTGTCTTCATTTTCGTAGGCTTCTGCCTGAGAGCATAGCATGGTGTCTGCACAACAAAAAGGAAGCTGAAGCAATTGCCATTATAAATCGAGCTGCCAGATGGAACAACAGGACTCCGATTGCCAACTTGGTGAGTGTTAGTCGGAGAGCAGAGACTCGATGAGGGTGGTAGCTGTTAGGCAAAATTGAAAAAGAAAAGCAGGAAATCAAACTTGAAAGGATCTAGGCATGCATATAGTTTTCCCAGTATTTCAAATGATCACCTTGCATCGAATGTGTTGTAAATGTGGACCAAGCAGTCGAGGGGCTTAAAGTGTTAAAGTTGTCCCACTATTATTTAGTAGACTTAAAGCTATTGCAAAGACTGTTGACGAAAATGTGCAGAAATTTGTGGTCTAGAATGTGTATGCCAAAGTGTTCTATTCGATTTTCTCATGTTCTTCGTTGGAACATGCACCACTTGAAGGGACACTAAAGAGTAAAATGACTATTCTCATACTGGCAAAATAATATTTCACAATTCCGAAAGCATTGTGAAAATGGTTAGCAAGCGCAGGAATGGGTGGAACGAAATTACGAGTGGCCTCCCACATTGAGCAACATAGATTGCTGCAGTGCCTGCTAGGTCCTACAAAGATCCTGGTCAGCGAAAATGAAGTGTGCTATCCTCTGAGAAGACCATAGACTTTTACTTAGTTTCATAATGAGTTTGAAGAAATTTCATTGACCTATGTCACTAAAATACGAAAAATACATTTTGAAATCGGTGAAGTCGTGTGCATAGAGCTCTGCACGTGATGTCGTAGATTTAAGCAGGAAATTTAGAAATGATTTGGCCATAATTTTTTCCGACAACAAAAATATGGTGGTGCAGTTATCAACATCGTAGTTCTTGAAGTAGAATTTATGAATGTAAAGTGATACATTGCTTCTCTTGAGTATCTCTTTAACATTATCTTCGATATTAGCGAAGTAACTGTAAGGTGCCACATTTCCTACAGCTCGGCTCAGAAACACTGTGTTTGAGAGTTTTGAAGTGTTATTTGAAAAACCCAGTACATTGGACACATGTTACATACACATGAAATTCTAATCTGACCTGCAGGGCTCTGGCCATGCTTGCAATGGGTCCTGCACAGATCCATGCAGCCACAGCACGACGCAGACAAGCAGTGAACCATCATCTTCATCCCTGGTTGATCTGTTCAGGACTGCACGTCTTTGTTTCCGGACTCTCAACGTGAGCTTAAACTGGTGAGGCACTTTCAGTGTGTTCTGCTGATCATTCGTGTAGAATGCTACAGACTCTCATAACAGTTCACGGTGAAGGTAAGGGAGTACACAAGAAGCCGTTAGTTTGTTTGTGTGGTGTAATGTTCCAAAGTGACACAAGCTATGAGAGACATTGTAGTGATGGCATATTTACGAGATCTAACAAACAGTCATGCCAAGAAAAGTATAATAGATGTTATTAGAAGTAATTGTAGTATAAATGTGAAGGAAGAAAAGTAGACAAGAAGATAACTTGCCATGGGCGGGGACCAAACCAGCCACCTTCGAATAACGTGTCTGATGCCCAGCGAACCGAGTTATCATGGCGGCTATCCCCCCATCCACTTTATGGTGTGCGTGTGTGTGTGTGCATGTGTGTGTGTGTAAACGTGGGAGAATCGGGCAGCGCCGCCAGTAACCGCAGCAGTGAGTGTGGAACACTTTTTATGTCTTTTGGCATTGCGTAATGACAAAGAAAACGAGCTAAGTGTATACTTGGTCAGCTGCCAGTTCGCAATAAGTTCACGTGCTAGGTGACGTCGAAGCAGACAGGAAAAAGTGTTCCACACTCGCCGTCATGGCAACAGATGGCGCTGACTGACTCTCCCTCATTTAAATTCACATACATGCCCTGTAAAAGGAACGGGGGATGACCGCCACAGCAGCTCAGTGGTAAAGCATCGGATGAGTTATTCAAAGGTCACAACTTCGGATCCTGCCAGATACAAGTTTTCTTTTCGTACACATTTCTTTCTTTACATTTACATTACAATTACTTGTTATGACATACGCTATACTTTCTTGGCATTATTATCTGTTAGTTCACATTATTATCATGAGATGTTTTTGAAAATTGTTTGATGTACTTAGCGAGGACAACAATAGCAAAATGCCTCAAGCAATGGTAAACGTAGGATAGTTTCGTTGGAGCTACGTGTTGCACGAGTAGCACTTTATCTTTATATTCAAAATGTGTGCGTGCATGCTTTAGCCAATTTATGTCACAGTTTCTATGCTACAGTTAGACAATTAATGTCCCTTATACTTTTGTGGGCTTAATTATCTGTTGTATACATTTGGTTGCATCTAAGAAACAAACAAGCCGTCAAGAACTTCTCATCTTTCGTTAAACCAAACATATAAGTTCCAGGATTGTCGCTGAACACCCGGGCTCATGTTGTCTCAAATTTTTTTTTTTTAGGTTAGTAAATGCCATGGTCTACTATGGCCTAAGCCTCAGCGCGGACACACTCGGTGGCACGACGTTTCACAACTTCGGGCTCTTGTCACTGATCGAGATCCCGGGAGTGTTCCTGGCTGTCCTAGCACTGCAATACGGCGGCCGACGCATCATGCTTTCTGCCTTTATGCTGCTGGCTGGACTCTTCTGTGTCATCGTGCCTTTTATCCCAGAGGGTACAGAGGCTGATTTATATACTCTTCAGCATTCAAGCCACAGAATGTAGCATGCTGTCACGGATGAATAAGATGCAGTAAAAAATGTATAAATCAGAACTGGCAGCTACATTTTAGCATTGTCAGAATGCAAAATCCAGTCTTGTAAGATGGTGTGAATGATGTTTTGCACTGTAGGTGCAAGGCTAAAAAGACAGCGCAGCTGATGGGCAGCATTGTACTAGTGGTGCCAAGCCTTAAAGAAGTGTGAAGCTAGGCAGCCTTCTTTATTCTTCCGTTTCTTTCTTCACATCTTTCTTCTTTGTTATTGCTGTATTTTATGTTTTTTTCTTTCTCTTTTCACTTTCTTCTTCTTAATCTATCTCTATCTCTCACTTGTTTCTACTTTTTCTGTCTATTTCTTTCTTTCTCTTTCTTTGAGCCTCTTTTTCTCTATCTTTATATGCTACGCTTTGAGTCCCGTTGCCTCGTGATGAATTTTTTTTCTTCGCAAGGATTTCCTCTCTTCCCCTTTTTTTTCCTTTCTCTAATCCCCTTGCTGTACACCAGACGAATCGCCGCACAAGTAATGGGAGCGAAGCAGAACAGGACAAAGAGAGCACATGCCGGTTTATGACGATAGTTTTGAGCCACAAAAGACACTTTACATTGAAGCTGGAACAGCTTCGCTGTCAAAGCATTATCACCTATAATGTTCGTCCTGTTCGTTTGAGAGTGTGTTTAAATGAACAGCAGCTGGCAGAATGCAGAAGCGTGAATTCCTGGACAGGACGGAACACGAAGAGTTCACAAAAGGGCCAACTTGTAATCACTAGAACTTATTTTGTGCATACTGTGCACAGGTATAAGAATGCAAGGTTGTGCACGCCACAGTTCACATCACAGGTGTGTACAACTTTGCTTATATAAGCGAGCAGTGTGACTTGTAATGTGAACTTTAGTCACGAGTTAGCACTTCCCTTGGCATTTTCTTCATCCACCTGCCTTTCCCCAGTTTTGCATTCAACCACTGTGCATGTGTACGACCCAACTAGCACGGCTACACGTTTAGCTGCGTGCAGTGGCTACTTTTGGTGAAGAAAGGGTCCGTATGATTGTCATTCTCATATACATTTGGGACGTTTTCACAATATAGGTTACCAGAAAATGGTAGCGACGTCTTGCAAGGTTTCATCCAGGTGCAGTTACATACAATATTTTTTCTGTTAAAAACAAGTGCTCTTGCCAAAAAAGACTGTGAAGGCATGGCGTTCACAATTTTACAACTGCCATAAATTTATGTTAGCAGCAAAGTTACGGCGACAGTAGATGCATACATCTGGTTGAATTCATCTTTGCACAATGGCATCCGCGCACAATACGTTGACATTTGTAACTGTAATCTGCGAGCTTTAACAACTTTTCTGGCAAGCTAGAAACTTTCTAATGATACCTGCACTTAGCTGCATGAAAAGAAAGCTACAAGGTAATGCCCAGTGCTACTATCGGTGTCTGTCTTGCAAATCTGCTCATAAGTGTTCTCCTGCTAAGGGAGAACAAGTGGTAGTGAACTGCCCCTTTTTTTTTCCACTAGATTTGCCATGGCTGTCCACAACACTGGTCACAATCGGCAAGTGTTTCATCACGGCGTCCTTTGCCATCATCTACTTGTATTCGGCTGAAGTGTTCCCCACTTCTCATCGCAATACAGCCATCGGAATTGGAAGTATGAGTGCTCGCATAGGCACTATTGCATCTCCATTCATTGCATACGATCTGGTGAGCACGTTGATATTTCTATTTGTGAAGACGACTAATTCTCATGAAGTGAAACAAAATGCACCAATGCAATATATTACGAGAGTTATATCGCTGTGTACGCAAGCACTTGGAAACCCAAGAGCTTAAGTATGCACGGAGTTAAATATGCAAGCAGACATGCCTTGTAGTTGTGGGTACCCAAATGCAAGCCTTAAAAAGTTCACACGTGTTTGCAGCACTGTAGCGTCTTGTCACATATAGATTGGTTCGTCTTTTTTTTTACAACTTAAAATGTTAAAACAAGCATGGATGGTAACATGAAATGATTTGATTACAGTAAGGTGTCTTTCATTATAATGACAAAGTTATCAGCCCAAGACAAAAAAAGGTTTTTGTATGTGCCGAAGTTGCAACTCAAGGCAGTGAAAACAATCCAGAGAGCTGGTTCTAGTTTCACATCATACATGTAAAGAATTTGCAGCGGTTTGGTCGACGGCGTGTTTTCCTGCCTACTGTCCATTTTCATCTAGTATAGCTTTACATTGTGCTGCTTCACTGGAAGTGGCGTATTTGCTGTTCGTGGAGCCACGATGTTGTGAATTTGGTGCCTTCGTGCTCCGGTGTATTGATCATCTGGCCAGGTCCAGCTTGGCTCGCCGTGAGGGTAATGTGGTTGATGTCATGGGTAATGTGACATGCTAAGGACAGCTGATCTCGACTAGGAGCTCAGGGGTGGCAGCAATGTCCTTGTGGATGATTATGCTCGGCCGCAGCTACTCTGGCACACATGTGCTTGATGCTTCGCATATGCACTGGACGACTGCCCTAACACCTTGGGTACACAAGCCGCTTGGGTACCCAGCAATAAAATTATCTGCTGTCTTGGCTACAAACTGGGTGACATAAAAAATTCAGCTATGTTAATTTGGTGCCATTATATTAAACTGGCATTATGGCTACCACCTATTCCAGTTGTCGACACTGCTATATATTTTGCACTGTGCAGGCTTGCTTTTTCTGTGGCAATACCAAGTAGTGGATATACACCTTTGCATAATGGAAAATGACTATAGCCTATTAAAACTTGTTCTAGGGCTAGTTGATACAAGCTTACTGAAATAGAAAAAAAGAAGCACACCAACAAGGGAGAAAAAAGACAGAACACAAAATGGCAGCCAATGAAAAAAAAAAAAGCCCATATTTGTGCCATGCGTGCAGAAGGTCGTGCGAGAGGATCATCTCGACTAGGAGCTCAGTGGTGGCAGCATTGTTTTTGCAGATGCCTATGCTCGGCCGCAGCTACTCTGGCACACATGTGCTTGAGGCTTCTTCACATATGCGCCGGACCACTGCCCCAACATCTTGGGTACACAAGCCGCTTGGGTACCCAGCTGATCTCGACTAGGAGCTCAGTGGTGGCAGCAATGTTTTTGGCGATGGGTTACCGGAAAATGGTAGCGACGTCTTGCAAGGCTTCGTCCAGGTGCAGTTAGATACATCCTTGCACTGGAGGTGCAAGGATGTATCTAACTGAAACGCAAGGATGTATTGCGAAGCTGATGGTCAGCTTTGCAATAGTGGTGCCAAGCTTTAGGGAGGTGTGAAGCTAGGCAGCAATGAGTTTGGTTGCAAATGATTGCCTCAGTAGAAAAGACAACATTGTATCATCAAGCGATCAATTTCATGGGATTTACTGTGTCCATGAGCACATGCACATGACGTCATTCCAAACACTGTGCCAAGCTTGCCATTCTTGATTAGTGCCAAGAACTTTAATTGCTGTACATTCCAGTATGTCTTGCGCCTGCATGTGCTAAATCTAGCGAATGAACAGGCCCCCCTGAGTGACTGTTCAACGATACTACCCCTCTTCCCCCCCCCACCCTGTAAGCTTCCCGTCACAATTGGTTTCTGCAAAGGTATTTGAATTATATGCAAACAAATGAAAATAAAACTAAAGATGATAAAACTGAAAGGCAACCTCACGCCATAAGGTGTTATGCTATAAAATTTACCTTTCATTGTCTCATGCAAATCTCTATCATGAAAAGGAATATTTACAACCATTTTTTTTAGCCCACTTCAAGGAAATCCATGTGGTTTTTCACACCAAACAATCCATCATTGTGTATACATACAAATCTATGCAGTATGGATTACCATACGAGTTTGTACAGTAATCTTCTTTGCTTGCAACAACATTACTGCTGCTCCTCTCTGAATAGGGCAAGGTGCACCCTATTATGCCTATGATAGTTTTTGGAGTGCTGTCTCTTGTGACTGGCATCTTTACGTTGGCCTTGCCGGAAACGAAAGGCCTGAGGCTCCCAGAAACCATGCAGGAGGCGGAGAACCTTGGCACGTGAGTACCCAGTGCCCGCTATGGACACGGGCTTGCTTAGCTAAATCAAAGACCCGTGCACACCAGCTTCTCGCGGAAGTATTGCCACCACATTAATAGCATAAGGTTGCTTCGTTAGAAAAGGCTGTTTTGGATCGATTGTAGACAGCAACGAATTTAGTTGCAAATTGTTGCCTCAGTAGAAAAGACTGTTCTGGATCCGTCATAGACAGCACTATTCTTCAGTCATGTGACTGCAAGTTGCGGAACTTGTGAACTGGCAGGGTGTACAGGAACAGGATGTCTGCCTAATATAGGAGCCGATGTTGATCTGAGCAATAGCTTGAAAAGAGAGGCATTTTAGTGCGACAAATATTAGTTTTTTTATCTAAAGCCAATAAAAAGCAAAAGAAGTTCGTATCATGTTACTAAAGCAGGTTCTTATACTTCGCTTGGCACTTTGGCCTTCTCTTCCAAAACGTACCTACGGAAAACAAATCATTATTGGCCTTCACTGGTCTTCTTTAGCTAGCATCTCTGTGTAGCTCAGTTGCATAACAAAGTTAAATCAGATACTGCTTTTCAGCAACATTGTACAAATTCTTCAAGAATCTTAGTTGAATTCTGTAGGCATGTTAGGCAGCGACATTCACTTCAAGACTGAGAAATTGCCTTCATTCAAAGCAATACAATGAATGAGTTCCATGCATAATTCTTCTTATGCCTCTTTTTCAGACCTTACTATCTTAGCACGGAAGAAGAAAGGGAATCTCTCCTTGACCATTCGTCCTTCGACTGATTACTCCATCCATTTTTCTTATTGTGCTTTAATATTCCGTGAAGAATTGATTCATAATTTAAACGCTATCTTGTTCTTTGCCAGTGGCAAGACAACACTCACAACGTTTTGACATGTTCCTTTATTTCAGGGTGTGTGGCTACAATACACCTGATATTTCATGACGTTTTGCCAGAAGCATTGGCGCATGTGACATGGCAGTTTACTTAACACTGTACCATAGCAGTTTATTCGCTGAATTGTTCTGACACCAAGTGTTTTTGTTTGTTTGTCTTTTTTTTCTTCACTGGGGTTTGTGACTGTCTGGAAGTTGAGAGATGCAGATGGTCTGGTCCCAGCTGCAGTCTGCAATCTATAAAAAAATGGCACACGATTAGTGCGGCATGTATAGACATTCCTTGCCCACTGCAAATTAACGAATGCTATAATAAACCACATGCTGTAGAACTGCTCACAAGTGTCTTGTGTTTATGCCATCAGGATGAATCTTCTCAATTTGTAATGGACACGTTATTCATAACCACCTCGTAAAAATAATTATACATTGAGTAGTAATCGCTGTTGGTGCCAAGTCTACTATCTCATATGTCCAGTGTAATAAGGCTAATGTCGCATAAGTGATCCCGATTGATTGATATGTGGGGTTTAACGTCCCAAAACCACTATATGATTATGAGAGACGCCGTAGTGGAGGGCTCCGGAAATTACGACCACCTGGGGTTCTTCAACGTGCACCCAAATCTGAGCACACGGGCCTACAACATTTCCGCCTCCATCGGAAATGCAGCCGCCGCAGCCGGGATTCGAACCCGCGCCCTGCGGGTCAGCAGCCGAGTACCTTAGCCACTAGGCCACCGCGGCGGGGCATAAGTGATCCAGAGTGTGTTAATACCACAAAGAATGATTTTTCGTAATTGATGCACAGGTGTGCCCATAAGAGTTTCCTATAAGTACACTACAGGGAACTCTGGTGCTAGTGTCCATGGGAGCTGCAACGCACAGAGCTTCAGCCAGCGAGGCATGGGAATGACAGAACACAAATTTGTCTAATGTTTGTTCTTTCGGCACCGTTTGGCTTCGCCTGACCTGGAGCTACTTTAGTCACGATACCACAATCGGCAAACAGTTGCACCTCACTGCCTTGACCTTTTAGGCTTGCCAATTCAAATTGGGGCACGAAGTTCACAGCAGTCCGCCTTTTTATTTGAAGCAAAACCAGAAGACGGCAATAAACGAAGCCACAAGTGCGTTTGAATTGCATGCACAAAGACTAGGCGAATCCGTGTGCTACCCATGTTCACATGGTGGGTGAACAATCACACCGCCAGAGTCCTTTCTAGTTAACATTAAACCCTACGATGGTGCCGAGAATTGGCTGTGATAGCCATCTATTGTTTTAAGTATGCTGGAATGAACATGCTGATTTGTGTGCAACTTATTCGAAACAGAGGGAAATCGTAGAGTCAACTTGAAGAAAGTTTCAACCATGCAACACGGAAGCCTTAGCCCCACCACTGCTAAAATTTTTGCATTGTGCAGTGACCCATTTATCATTGGTACTAGTAACATGATTCAACCCAATACACTCTTGTTTTAGGCAGCTTGTCTTAAATTGTGATTAAAAGTGTGTTGCTTCCTTATGCGCACACTCCATCACGTCACAAACATTACTAGAAGCTTCGTGCCATTGAATTGTTGATATGGTCAGTACACAAATATTATGTGCTTAGTGCTTAAAAGAAAAACTTCAGAGACAGCATATCCTTAGAAGCGAACAGTGTTGCAGTCACCTTATCCTTACATAAAAAAAAAAAAATCAGTTAACTATAAACACGAGAATAAGGGCATAACATAACATGCTGTCCTGTTGAACCTACACCTTGAATACTTGTGTTGCCTTGTAGAATTCACATCCACATTACAGGCTCATTGCATGTGATCACATGCAATAGTTTACTGTAATTCATATGAACAGATAAAATACGGGCACAGCTGCGAAGTGACCACTATGCCATAATTCATCCTTCTGCAAATTGGCGAAGACCTACTTTGCATCTGTTAAGGCAACCCGCAAAGCTATGTGGCTCATCGCTTTTTTTTTTTTCATGTTTTTTTTCTGCCGCTGATGATGATTACATACGTCTGAGCATTTTGTAATGGGTGGGCCTTTAAAACACCCACTCATTGCACAATTCGCGTGTTTTGATTCCCGGTGCAGATTTTATGCTTCTGCCATGCATTATTACATGTGTTAAGGAGGCTTCTCTTAGTACACGACATTTGAACAGTGTTTTTCTCCGATGCAGCTTCAAGCGTTGACAAGGCTCTATGATAGAACCCGTGCTTGCCATGCAGATGGCCTGGTTCGATTCTCACTCAAACAAAAGATTATCGTTTATTTGCATTTTTCTCAATTTTCAGCTCGCAAACAATGCAGATTTTTTGCTCACAACCCCGTATACCAGAGTTTCTGCGAAAGATGCCCGCTAAAACCATTGCGTTAAAAATTATTACGGCTCATGGTTACGTCGCTACACTCAAAGTAGTTGTGCATACTGATGAATCATGTGGGCGGCTTTTCGACCCCTAACTGCTCCTACTCATTCAGTTTCCACATTCCACAGCACAAAAAAGGAAAAGTTTGGTTTATGCGATAACTCTGCTTTACACGCAAAGGATAAGAAAAAATTTTGCAAATGGAGATTCGCGAGGCAGCAGAATTCCAATTTAGTAAGGTCATTCTATGATAACCAAGAAAAGCATTATGGGGCCCCTCTGAACTTTTAAACCTCTTCCACTTCGCTCTATGGGCATAGATTCCAAGGGTGATCATTTTGCTTCCAGATTTGATTTAAAAGCTCAATGTGCCCAACATACTATCAAAGTGAGTAAAGCATTGGAATACATTAAACATCTGAACTGCAGTTTAAAAATTGGAATATATACATATATGCCCTTGAAACCATAAGCAGCTGCCCTTTTTTTTTTTTTTTTTTTTTTTGAGAGGTTCTCATTAGAAGCACAAAAGTAGCAGCTCGCCTCTCATTTCAGAGTGCTCTATGTATGCTTCTTGCAGAATCTTGTGCTAACAAAAGCCTCGTAGGGTTTTGGCTCACAGTCTTATAGCAACTACACACGCAGTGCAAAGAAAGTCCACTTTTTCAAGCCTTTTTTCCGAAAAAAACTATGCTTGCCCAACATGGAGATAGATGCCTTTATTCTGCTAGCACTACAACGCTGCTAAGGCCTTGGCATGGGTAACATTGCACAATTACTGAAGCAGAGAGAGTACGTTACCTGATTTTGTACATGGAGATTGAAGTCCAATCCATATGTGAACTCCTTGTGGTTCTTCAGAATAAGGAGGGCCTCAGTAGATTCCTTCCAGTCCCAAAGTCTAGCAAGATGAATTTAACAGCAGGTTTACATATATTGCAATAAAGCCAAAGTTGCAGAGAGCAGGCAAAGCAAAATGGTTTTCCACCTATTTACTTGTAACGGAATGTGCCTTTATTGAAATTTGGAAACATGCCATTCACAAAATGAAACTAGGAAGAAACTGCAGCCTCTGCACATGTTGGAAATTTGGCAATGTAGTAAAGTAGAGCATTTATTGAATGTTTAACATCTTTTGCGCACATTTATATAAACCTGCTCACAGCAAAAAGAGAGAAAATTATACCCAAACATTCTTGGTATGGCCCAAAACAAAGCGCATATTTAATAAACAGCATTCCAAAAAAAAATTTTTTTTACCTAGTATAGCAATGTGAATCCACGATTGCCTATTTTCCAGCTTACCTGGTTGAAAAGTCGTACGAAGCCGAAGCCAAGACCGATGCACTGTGTGGTGAAAACTGCAATGCATGCATGGCTGTCAATAGTACACATTGTACGGTGCAGTCAGACAACTTGCACAGTTCACAAGAATGTCTACACTTGAACAAACAAGAAGTTTGCAAACTCTGTTTAAAGGTGAACTCAATTCACTTGAAAGAAACTTGGTAGCATTGTTCCAACAATTTTCTGATGTATATGTACCTAGTACTTTTTTAATGAACTGCTTGTTGATTCAAATTGTTCGAACAATGGACATTACCCGACGTTGCTGTGTGCTTTAATTCCCCATTCATTATTAACAGCCTGGAAAAGGCTTACAGTATAGACAGAAATATAAACAAATATCTTGAGAAAATGCAGACTTTCCGACGTACCTTGACTTTCCGAACAGCATAGCCATGGCCACGGAGCTCGAATAACGGTCGGGCCGCATTTCGCAAGTCCCAACCCCGAATCAAGTTGTCAATGCCACCTGTTGCCAGGATGTGCTGTTGAGAAAAAAGTGTGGAGAGAAAAGATTGAAAAGGACACTGAGGGCAACCTTCAGGGTGTGCCCATTATAGAGTACACAAACTGAAGTGTCAAATTTATTATTACTTGCTACAGGCACCATCTTTGCAGTGCAGTCATGCTGGTATTTATTCCTCAAGATCTTGAAACCTGCTTTTTCGTTCATAATTTACCTGAATGCTAACTTTAGGAATTGACATTTAGGACTGTAGTAATACTTTTGGAAAGCTACAACACAGTAAACTATAAACTAAGCAAAACTGTACAAAGCCTAAAATATATTGGCTTGTGCACGAATTCCGTCAACTCCTTACCACGAGGAAACGCATGTTCATTGAGAACACAGTTGACAGCAGCAGTACATTTAATACAACATTGGCCACCAGCTTGCATTGTAAGAAATGGCACACATACACAAAAATCAAGACCATCGAAAGCACTTCTTTTATGGTACTGCTCGCTTTTACACAAAAAGCAAGTCGGGTTCGAACTACTTGGTTTTGTGCTTTCTGTTGTAACCCTCTCGTGCTCAACCAGCATAATTTTGGAAAACATCATAGCAGCATGATGCAAAAGTGAATGCCCCAATAGGCATGTAGTTTTGAAATAAAGATGGTTACAAAGGAAATGTGAAGCTATTTATACAAACAAACCATACAAAATGATAAAATAATGCCTTTTCAAGACTACCTGGTCATACTTGGACCAATCGCAACAGAGTATTTCACAACTGTGCGCCGGTATGGCAGCCAGGGGTGCAGGCTGCTGGAGATTCCACAGGCAGAGAGATCCATCTCCTGGACAAACGTGAGAATGCCAAAAGATATTAAAACATACACAACCTATTACTTTCGACTCGCCACGTAAAAACGAGCAAGGATTGACAAGTGAAGGCCAGAGGGTTTCTAGAATGAGGAAAACTCTTGCCTAAAGTGGAAGTGGGGTTAGTGCCGATGTACTGTTTCAAAATAAACATCCCTTTCTCCTCCTGAACAGGCAAGCTAACGAGCCCTACGACCCATGCTGCTGAAATATTTATCCATTTCTGTTTTACTTGTCAAAGAGAGTTGTACATAGACGTATCAAATTACAGTGCACACCTCAATGAAATACTGGTAAATAATAATAATACCACAAAAATAGTGTGCAACAACTTCTGGCGAATTCTTTAAAAGCTGTTTAAGCTATCTCTAACTTGTGCTTCTTAGTGCAAAACTCTCCAGGCGGGATGCGCCATAAGAAATGGGCAAGCCCTGCTAACGAGCGTACAGAGTACAGCAGGTGAAAGCGTAATTGAAAATTAAGCTTGGCAAAGTGGAGCATGTTAAAGAGATAGAAATGAAGAAAATATAGAAAGAGAAAGCAAGAAATAAAGAGAGAGTTATTGAGAAAAATAAAAAGACAAAAGAAATAAATTACAGAAAGAGATAAAAACAGACATGAAAAAGAGCAGGACAAAGAAGGAAGCAGATGGAAAGAAAGAGACACAAATATAAAGCAAGGCAGAGAGAGAGAGGGGGAAGAAAATAGGATAGCAAAATCGAGAGAGACAAGTAAATAGAACTAGATACAAAAAATACATAAAAGAAACAAATAAAATGAAGGGAAAAATAAAGAGAAACAAGGAGGCCCTGCTCTTCTTCCTTCGGGCTTTGCAACACTAGTGCCCCACCAGTGCAAAGCTGCCATAACTTTGGCGAGTCGCACTGGGTTGTACATTTTGAATGGGCAACTTGCTTGCACTCGGAACCATTGCAAGTTTTTTTCTGCCTCATGTCGGTTTTGCATTGCCCATGTAATGCATCTATAGGTGCTCTAGAGATCCAAATTAAGCATGTTGTTTTTATTTTGTTTCACCTGATGTGACAGAATGCAACTATACTGTTGCACAAGTGGCTATGCCAAAACTAATGTTGTTGTACATTCATTTCAATAGACAAACTACTTTAAATAGCAGACTACAGCAACACACAACTACAATTTTTGGGGCGATGCTAAAAAGTGTGGCTAGGCACCATGAAATGATCTGTAACAGCACTATGGTACCTACGTAACATTTCAATGCTGGTGTGTTGTTTTGTTTTATTTTTTTACCCGATTGACTTTAAACGAATTCCTTGCTTCTGCAATGTCCAACATTCCACATGAAACCAGATTGTGCAATGCACATGTAGCTTCGTGTGTTTGCTTTTCACTCCCAAACCTATACCGATGCTACGTGAAAAAACATTGCTATCTTTTAATGCTTTCGTTTTACTCAAAACACAAGGTAGAATTTCAACTGGTACAGCGAGTCTGTGATGAGAATGCCACCCAGCTCTGCACAGCAAGTCCTTGAGATCACAATCTTAATATTGTCACTTTGGTAGAGTAACTTTACAGGTAGGCAGCTCACCTGCAACAGACGCAAACAGTCCTGGAATGCGCGGAGACCAGGCTACAGCATAGACTTTGTTCGTATGACCAGTGAAAGTTGACAGCAGGTTGCCCGCTTCCGGGTCCCACTGCACGATTGAAGTTTCGGGCAAGCGCCAATTGATTACCGTCGCAGCGATCACGCCAAGAGGTGTTGGCATTTATTAAATATTTACCACTTTGACCAGATGATCCCAGGACCCTGACAAGAGAAGTTGTTCTTGACGTGTTTGACTCCAGTCGATGGAATACACCTGCAGAGGCGACATTTCGACTTAGTACACACAAGAAAAACGAAATGCAGGTGAGACTACGGCTGCAACTTACTTCTTTGGTGTGCCCTTTCAGTATTAGCCGAGGAACCTGCAACACACAAGGTTTTCCTTACATTATACGCGGACACCAGCCTCACCCTGAACGTCTCAAATAAAGCAATCTGCTCACGTTAGCTCGGTTCAGTGCGATGAATATTATGTTCCCGTCGGCGCCAGCTCCGATGACAACGTCTTCCTCCAACTCGCTCCAGGTTACGTCGTAAAGGCCGTACGGCCATTCGAAAGCTTTCACCAACCGAATCGGCGTTCCCGGCACATAATCGAGGATAAAGAGCGTCCCCTCGTCCTTATAAAAAAAGAAAAGCAAATCGTTTAAAATTTTGTAAAAAAAGCAGAGGCGCAATGCGGATAGTGACGGTGTCACTCTACCTTGAATGCCGTAGTTCTGCGCTGTCGCGCAGGCGAAGATGGTCGGGTTGAACGGCGAGTATCGCACGGAATAACCGTGGCGATTGGTCGTAGCGTACCTCTCTTGCTGGATCATTGCCGCGCGTTGCCTCCTCTTTAAGCGCGCACAGGACACGAGCCGTCGACTAACATCGCAAGGCGCGCGCTGATCTCGACAACAGCAGCAAGATGTGGAAGGGAGCGCGCTTTCTCGGCGACTTTTGCGATCGCGCACCGCAATGCGTTTCCAGCTGCTGCGTTGGGCAACAGAGAGGCGTTTTTTTTCTTGTCTCACACGACGTAGCGACCGGAATCCTTCCTAAACACTGTCCTGAACTACGCAGGGCGGGTACCCTTTCCTCGAAATTTGCTCGGAAACAGGTAAAAATTGCGATGGTGGTCGTTTACCTGTGTTTACTGTGCACGCCGCTAGAGGCATGCATGCTTTTGGCTGCTTCTGGCTCGCAGAGTGGATTGTGCACATCCGCTCATGCTTTTACGCGCGTTTCTATCCCAAGCACTCGTCCCGTTGTGCTTTCGGTTGATGTATGCGTGAAACATGCGAGTTTTGTTGATTTTGCGTCGTCGGTGACCTTCAGTTTGCTGAAATGTGGTGAGAACAGACACCTGGTTTCAACGTAATACCAAGCTGGCCCTTTAGTTAGCTTCCGATTGCTTACTAATCTCTTACAGCTCCTCGGCGTTGTCCCATCTGAGCACTTCTTATGTTTACATGTGGCGGAAACATAAGTTTTGTTGACCATTTGGTTATCTCCAAATGCTTCTGGTGTTGCTGTCATACGAGCTCCTAAATGAAATTAAGGGCACGCCGACGGTACAGCAGAATGTGTGCGCATGTGTGGTCGTATTTGTACGCTCTTAATCCGATCTTCACTATAAGCGTGCATTAAAGAGATAGCCCTGAAGCATATTCATCAAGTTCATCGCGTTTCCCATGGGCCAGGCTCTGTAATTTGTGAACGCACGTCGTAATCGGCGTCATTTCTTGTCCCACAGCAGGACGTGTGAGGTGTGATCAGCTGCTTTGGTCGTCGAGTTTTACGTGCCTCGGGCACGATAACGTCAGGCATCATGGACTACTTGATGCCATCTGAAGTTGCCCGCTTGGTTCTAGGTGGGTGGCATTCTATCGCAGGCATGTTTAGTGTCCACGTTTCGTATTGCACGCTGCTATGTTCTCTTTCTTTCGCAGGTTACCTGAAATCCACAGGGTGCCAAGCTACCTGGGAGACGTTTTTAAGAGAAAGTCCTGATTTAAAGGAATACGCCGAGTACGTGCGAAGGGGGAGAGAGTACCCAACGAGCATCGGTGGCAAAAACCTCATGCAACTTGTCGATGCTGGCTATCAAATTACTCAAACCCAAGGTATGTTGGTGACCTTGCCCATCTTCTTGCATCCATTACTGTTGCTTCGCATTATGGAATTATTCAGTGACATATAGCAAATGTTTGCCTCATTTTTAAATGCGAAGCATTTCTTGGCGAACTTCGGTGACTTTGAGCGTATCTATCTATCTAGCTAGCCGCCTACGACTTTTAGCTCTCCTGGCCGTTTGGATAATGGTATCGATACCAAACATGGTATAATATAACATGACTGTATGACGAACATGACTGACTAGCCATGTCATGAAAATCATGACATGTATGTCATAAATGTCATGATTTACATGTGATGGTCTTGCTGCTCTGTGGTCGTTTCATTCACATGATATGTTGCAAAACTGGTATGGTATGACATGACTGCATGGTGAACACAAGCGACAGACCCTAACATCAAAATTATGATATGCGTGTCATGTAACAACATGACTACATGCCACACTCATGATGTGCTCACGGCCGTTTCGCTAGCTTTGCATATACTGAATTTGGTATTACGGGACGTGAATGGATGACGAAGGTATGTGTCTGGTGCAAACATGATAATTATGATATGCATGTCATGAAACAACATGACTACATGCCATGCTCATGATTCACTTGTGGCCGTTTCGCTAGCTTCTCATGAACCAAATTCGGTATTACGGGACGTGAATAGATGACGAAGGTATGTTACTGGTGCAAACATGATAATCATGAGATCCTGTCATGTAAAAACATGACTACATGGCTACGCTCATGATGCGCTCACGGCCGTTTCGCTAGCTTCACATGTACCAAATTCGGTATTATGTGACGCGAACGGACGACATAGGTAAATGACACATCCAAACATGATGATCATGGCATGCAGATCATTGTAACAACATGACTGCGCCCAACACTCATGACGCGCTCGCGACCGTTTGACTACCTTCTCATGTGCCAAAAATTTGTATTACGTCACTTTGAATGAATGACGAAGGTATGTGACTGGTACAAACATGATAATCATGAGATGCGTGTTATGTAAAAACATTAATACATGCCACACTTAAAGCGCCAATACACTTCAACGTGAGCCAGCGCGTGCATGTAGCCGTTCGTTTTATTGCGTCATGCCGGCGATGCCACGCCAGGCGCCGATATCCCCCTAGTAGAGATTAGTGGATCTGCCCACTGACCTTCAGTGTGGATCTATATGCCATATCCTTGCAGGCGCGAGCCGCGCTGCATTGCTTTGACACATGCGCGTTCGAGCACACACATGCAATCTATCACGAAGAGAGGCAGACGCGGTGCTGTGTAAGTAACACTAGTCGCGTCGCTGTGCCCAGCCTGTGTGTGCATCAACGTTGCGTTGGAGTATATTGGGCCCTTCATGATGCACTCTCCGCAGTTGCTCTAGCTCCACATATACCAAATTTGGTATCACGGGAAAGTGAATAGTCGACGAAGGTAAATGACACGTCCAAACCTGATAATCATAAAATGCATTTCATGTAAAACATGACTACATGCTACGCTCATAGCGTTCTCGTGGCCGTTTCACTAGTTCCACATATACTAAATTTGGTATTACGTGACGTGAATAGACGATGAATGTAAGTGAAACGTCCAAACATGATAATCATGGCATGAAAGTCATGTACGGCATAATTTACCTCCGTCTCTTAACGTTGTGCTGATTTTAAAGTGACCTATCACCCTTCCTCATTCGTGCTTTGCATATCATCGATTCCCACTGTACGTGCAAATCGATATGTGAAGTGAAATTCCTCTCAAGTGAATCCTTATGGTTAACATGTATAGAATTTCGCATGTTTGTGTTACTGCGAGCACGATGTGCATGTTTTATTGCCATGGCAGCAGTCAGAACTATAGCACATATAAGAAGTAGATGTGCAAGTGGGATGTGAAAAAACTTAATTGATTTATGGTGTTTACCAATCTAACGTGGGGGCTTTGAAAAATAGTTATATTTATTTTGATGAGCTGTAGTTTCCTTGTATGTATGCATTGCTCCGTAGAAGCATAAAAAGGATTGTATTACACCTCCATCAGAAGAACATATGGTAAGAGTGTTAGTGATGTCACACTAGTAATCACATGTGACTTTCAAGCAAAATAAACAATAAAAAGATCAGCTGTCTCTCAGAAAATCTCCTTTTTGCAGCTTACGCTAGGTTTACTTGCACGGTTTCACTTCGAAGGGGTATGGTATGTGCTTCACCATTACCATAGACACCATATGGCTCCTAGTGGTAAGCCAATGTAATATTATGATCAGGGACAATGAAGAATGACCTTGCTTGGTCGTATGAGAGTAGTCTGGAATTCAATGCCTTAGTATATTGCGCACTGTTGTTGTACCTTTGCTTCTCTCCCTAAACATTATTGTATCCTCCACCCAGTTTTGGCTATACGTTGCTGTACAGCAGGATGTATTTATACTTGCTACTGTCAGCTAAACACATTTGTAATGAGCAACTAAAAAAGTGTTAAAACTTCAGCAGCTGCAACACTTTTATGGAGCACTTGTCGATCAGGACTGATTTCTGGCTTCTGAAAGGAAGGTACATTAGTGCATTACGTTGCTCTAACTGATGCTTTCATGCTATTTGCAGTGCATTGCTTCAGGACTTGTCAGAATGTAATGAATCTTTTTTAAACTATTGCCTAAAGAACTAGCCTTCACATGTCAAGCGTCATTTGTTAGTTCTCCAGGCTTTGTAAGCTGAAAATTTCAAGTACACTGAGATACAGACAGAGAATCTATATGGTGGGTTCAAACTCCCCGTAAAATTATTACATTTTGTGTGTGTATTATTGTGTGCACACATACATACACAACACACAAATATTTGTAAAAAGGCTGTTGACCCCCCCCCCCCCCCTAAAAAATTTTGTCTATGCCTCTACAAGCATAAGACAGGTATGGATGGGAAGTGTGTCTGACACTGCTAGAAGAGGGTGTGGCTCAGTGTTTCATTTTTAACTGCTGCATTTAAACACTTGTCCTGCTATTACAAACAATTTATAGTGCAACCATTTGTTTTTGTTAGAAACTATTAGCATGTTAATGGCTGCATTTGCACAAAGTTTTATGTATTTGCATATTTCTATGCCGATTCTTCAGTAAATTGTTGATGACTGTCACTTATCAGCTGCTTGAAGGATTGCTGAAATATAGTAACTACATGTGTGGCACACTCGAGTATATATATAACTGTTAATTGTGTTCCTTTCACTTTTGCTTTGCCTTTTTCTTTTTTCTTTAATCTACTTTTAGGTGGAAGTGCCTCTACGAACGATCTCTTGCCAAATCTTCAAAATTTATCGGCCCAATTGAATGACGTTTTAGCTCGTTTGCAGTCTACCCAACCAGAAAACAATGTGAGTGTTCCTTTTGTAGGTACATTTAGTACACATGAAATTCAAATCTATGCTTTGTTCACAATGTTGCAAAGAGCTACTGCGTCCACGTCATTTTGTTCTGTTATATCGTTGAGTCAGTGACACCCACACAATGCTGTGCCTATGCCAAGACAGATTTAGCTTTCAACTGAAAATCATTTGGGTAATCATCTCGTTCAAGCACGTGCCTTGCATTTTCCATACATTAACTGTTGTGTTGAAAGTTGCACTACTATCAAAGCAGGGTGTATGCAATCACATTCATTCCTTGCAGTTAATTAACTATGCATCTCTCAAATTCACAATATAGGTGACTCAAGACCTGGCATATTTTTGTTCGATTTGGGAAATGTGGGTACCTTACAAATCCTCCCCTACACTCCACATCCCCCCACCCTCCAGCTCTTACAGAAGTGATGATTAAATGAGTGGATTACCAAAGATAACTGGCTGCACTGAGTTTTTTCTTATTTTGGTTACAGCAAGTAAAGCAGCTTTAGTCACCAGCGGCACGACATTCGCAGATTTTTGAAAACACTAGTACGCTATTCATGGATTGAAACGGGACAATTTAAAGGCTAAGTAATTCACATGCCTTCTATGCCGCCGTCTTCAGTTTGGGACATGCTGGCGTAGTTCTGGCTTGGAACGCGCAAAGTATGGCCAACATTATCTTTAGAGACCAGATTCATCATGACATGACGTGGTCATCTTGAGCGATTGCGCACACTAGTCATTATGCCAAAAAAAATTTAGATCACATTTAGATCCGTATACTGTACATTAAAAGAACAACCAAGCAGCCTTAGTGCAAAAACAAAGCTTTGTCAAAAGAACTTTCACTCATTCTTTGCCCCTTTCATAGGCACCTGCCTCTGCCCCTACAAATGGAAATGAAGCCCACTCAAGCAGTAGTGAGTTAATCATCTTTTTTTTTTTTTCTGGCCTAAGGATTCCTACTTGATGCAATTTCCTTTTGCACTTTCAAATTACTACACTACTAAGCAGCATAAATGTTACACTTTTTTTTAAGTACCTATGTGTTAGAAGCATGAGTGCACATCTTGTAAAAATGTAAAGGTCTCTTCTGTCTGAATTTCGATGTACTACAATTTTGGCTGCGTTGCCCAAACCAATATAAGAACTTAGTATCGAGGAAATTATCTTTTTTCGTCTGCCTGCTCATGATTTTAATTTCTACCAAAAACTATAATAATGCCAGTCCCTGTATTCTTTTACCATAATTAGTTTATCTGTATAGGTATGAAACTCTTGTTGTATATGTGCACTGCTTTCACGAATTTGATGCCCCTCGTGCAATTCCTTACATTGAGTCTATACTTATCACTAAATGATCATTATTGCATTATTAGAGAGGATGTTTAAGTTGACCAGTAAGGACTCTAGGGTGGGTTGTAACAGATGAATGTTTAAAAATAATTTGAAGGGGCACTGAGACAAATATTTTCTTTTTTTCTTTCAAGCAAAAAGCTAGGCCTTCAAGAGCCTAGAAAATATTTCTGGTAAGCATGAGAGGGTCCTGAAAAATTAATTACATGTTTTTAAAAGCTAATTTTTGTTTCTACTAAACCCTGACGACACAACGTGGCATGAGCTTCTTTCACGTGCTCGTGCAAGATGTTGTGACGTTTTCATAGCCGCTCCACTCCTGCTTCCATTGGTGACATGAAAGCGGTCATTTGTATATTTTGGTACCTGATGTATGTTTTGGTGCAAGTTGAAGTATTGAAGCTTGATTAATTGATGCTACTGTTGATGTCAGTAGGCGGGCCATGCAAAAATTGACATCAAAATAAAATACATTATCAATATTTGCCGAATTTTCTACTTACTGTTATGCCGGGAGCGACATTCCTGGGCGGCTTAAAATTACAATAGTGGTGCGGTGAGTCTGCTCGGGCCCGCGGACCTAAAAACCCTTTCCACCCGACTACCCGGAGGGACCTTTGCAACTTGTGCTTCCGCCTCCTCCTTTGGGTGGTGCACCGAACAATGGGTCTCGCATGTGGACTTGTGCCAAGAGCACGCTTTCTACATTCCTGGACCAGCGACCGCGCCTTGGTGCATTGTGTTCGGGGCCTGCTAAGGAGCTAGCTAAGCCAGTGGTGCCGTATTGCTCTTCCTGTGACATCGGGTGTGCGTGTCCTTGCACTTTTCTAGAAACTGGTTCGGCGGACGAGTCTGCACCGGGTCGGAGTGGAGGAGGACAATCCTATCGGAGGGACCTGAACTGATTTGTCTTCCCTCGCAGTGAATCCTGGGAAGGCAGTATATAAAAACGCGAGCGCAGAGACGCACGGGTGTGCTTCATCTGTTCCATGCTGTTCTACGCTACTCTCAACATGTAAATATTGTACATAAATGTTTTCTTCTCATTTACACCGGCTCCTCGACTCTCGTCTTCTCCCGGCACTCGGATGGCTCCAGCCAGGACCACGCTACCCAAGGTCGCCACAGTCACAGGGCGTGGCGGCATGTCCCGACACCTCTTTCATAACAATACTCAGAACCGTCTTTTTATACAGGAGCTTTATTTGACACAGTAAACTCAGCTTCTAATTTGGTGTTCTTTTAACATTGTTTGGTATTATCCTTTCGGAAGCAGATGCATAAATTCGAAGCGAGAGTGCAGTTTGTGTCAATCGCGCAGGTACAAACGCATTGCCCCAGCAGCCATACCGCACCGACCAGCAATCAGCCCAGCCGTTGATGCTGACGACATCGAGTGGATACCCTCCACTGCACCACTCCTCAGCCTCGCCTCAACAGGAACGACGGCATCCCCATTCCGGTGGGGACACGTTGAGCTATCACGTTCACACGCACATCCCGCCCTTACCTCTCCTGCCGCCATCTATTGCCAGCGTGCTCAAGCACAATTCGCCCCCAAAGCAACTTCCCGGGGGCCTAGCAAGGTTCGAGCCTCCGGAGAAGGACCTGGGAGTGCGTAGTTCCTTTTGTTTCCTCAGATTTCTTTAACGCAAAAGTATTTTATGTTTGAGGTCTGCCAAGACTTCACTGATGTCATTTCCACCAATGAAGTGATGTTGGCAATATGTACACAAACAAATGACTAAGGCCTAAGAAACAGTTTGGTTCATTGGGATGACCTGGGAGTCGAACCCACTGCTCTATTGACACTCCTGCTAGAGGCTTCACAAATGCACCTTAGATCTCTCTCACAAGTGATGTAAGAGCCATAAATGCTGGTAGCGAAATGCCTTTTTGGGTTCTCTGCTTAAGAGGACCTTTCAACACTTTTTCAGCATGGTCAGAAAGTACCGCTGATCGGTAGTCGAGAGTTCCGAGAAAACGCAAGCTAAACGTCGTAGCGTAGCATAGTATGGCCTGGAAATTGCTAGAATTCTTAAAGTTAGCAGGAAATTGCTCCCTCTTAGGAAAGGTGCCATATACCCAAATTACCGCACAATATACCAAAGTTCATCGCCGTTGACTCATTTCAGCTTGGTGTGTCGTGACCGGCATGGGATGCTGCCGTGCGCCTGCATGGGCACTCATGATCATACTGAAAGTAAGCCATGCGCTTGAAGAAAAAAAAATGAAAAGTGTTCAAAGTCATGACTCACGCTGATATAGGGTTGCATTTTCTTGCTTTCTCATCATCTCCCTCTCATTGTCGCTTTTAGTGCGCTAGGTGTTGCACAAAAAAAAAAAGAAATAGGAAGCCCTTGAAGCTTGGGGTAAATCCCTGCAATTCTGCTTATACTAAACAAATTCTCAAAATTTTCGCGGCAGTCACTTCGTGGGGCAATAAGCTCTTTTAGTGAAGCCACGAGACGATTACTTGAAAAAGTATGGCAGTGCCCCTCTAAGGTACAAACTCTGCCTTGCACCTCTTGTGTTCCTGAAGCACTGTGTTGTATGTGCGTGAGTGCAGGCAAAGGTTACCCTAATAACAGGGGAGCACACACCTTGGCATTTCTTTCATATTAAACAACTAGGCTTTGAATGAATGATGTTATTGATGGTAGCAGCCTTGCACAAGATGTAGTATTTGCCGGTGTAAGTCGACTAGAGTAGGCTGTCATAAATAGGACCTGAAGGGACTAGGAAAATTTGTTTTAGCAGGAGTTTTATTTACTGGGAGGTGAGCAGGGCTGCAGAATTCAAGTACAGAGCTGATCAAAGTGAGGCACTTGTTCCACTTGCTGAACTAAAGTGATGTTTCATGTTCAGTTTATTGGTGCATAGCAGCGTGTGCAGTTGCCGTTTCTTTTGTTACTGCCAACTTGTTTGCTTCTCGGTGATTTTTTTTTGGTGGCGATTCCATTTAAGAGACATCTGTTTACTGAGAGTCCACTACACTTCAGCTACCGCAAGGGTTAAATCTTAATTATAGATAGTCGTCTGAATGGAGATGTGCCTCTTGGCATCAGCATGGGTGCATTCACGTGAAACAGTGCTATAGCTGTCAAGCACCACTAGACATTCTGCGAGCCCTCATACATAAACTTGCAATAAACAGTCAACTACGCCTGTGAAGAGACTGTTCACTTTCGTGTTATACTGATTCCTATGATGGAGGGATGAGCCACGTTTTTTTAATTTATTTATTTGCTTATTCAAATTCCCTGCAGTGCCTGAAGGCAATATTGCAAGGTAGCAAAAATACGTAGCATTCAAAAAAAAAGAATTAGCAAGAGCGAACAAGTTGGCACTAACAAAATAAATGGCAACTGCACACGCTGCTATGCACCAGTAAAAAGAGCATGAAACATCACTTTAATTCAACACTCTGTTTATGTTCTGTGCTTGCTAAATAGTTACCATCCCTTTCTATCATTAAGAGTAATGACACTTAAAGTAAAGTTCTTATTAGCGACCAATTGAGCTGTGTGGCTATTGCTTAGGTTCGTTGCTCTAAGAGATACAAACTGAAAGGAATTGGAGTGATGGCGCAGTGCCAAGTACTACAGTATTCACTTTTACTTTTATTGCAAATGCATGTGCTGTTCGGAACTAACGTTTAATGGCTAGCATAAGAACTGCCACTTTCAGCCCTTTGTGGTTTCTTTCATCTTTTTTTGTTTAGTGCTAGAAAAATAGAAATCTTGTATCTTGAGGAGATCTGGACAAAGTATAAAGCATGTCACCTCTTAGTGTAGGATGCCCCTTGCACAGCTCATCTTCAGTCATTGTGACGTTACGTTGTATTAGTGCTACCAAGTAGTAGTGCCTGCTCATTGTTGACTGGCAGATTGAATTCATTGCTGGTATTCCCTTTCAGGTTCTCAATCACCTTTTTTTTTTTTTTTGCACCTAGCACATTGTTAATATGTATATAAAACGATTTGTCAAAACTAAAAATTTGCTTAGGTTGCAAGCCTCATTTTAAGTGCTGCCTTTTTAACGCTGCTGCTTTTGCTTGCTTCTTCTCCCTCTCCCCTCCGCCTTATGTTCATATGTTTCAGGCGGCACCTCACCATTCTAACTCAGCAAAGTCCACAGCACTGGGTTGTTACTACCCTCCGCCACCAGGACACATTGCCCCTTCACAGCTTCCAGGATTCGACGACCCTTTTCTGACTTATCTGAACCCTTTTCCAAGACCGCTGTATCCCAGGCACCCCTACATCAGCGACGAGGAGCCTGTGAGAGACACGGGCATCGACCTTCGCAAACGGCCGCAAGAAGCGAGCAGCGACAGCCATTCCTCAGCTGCAAGGCCATTAAGTCCCATAAACAACGAGATGTGCAGCCCTGTTGAGAAAAACAGCCACATGCACGAACCCCACTCCGATCCTTCGTGTAACGCAGCGGACGGACAAGGATGGCCATCATGAGGATCAGTGCGACGATGAGCCGGCAGACGAGCCCGTGCACTGTGTGGAGCCTATGAGCGAAGGCTTTGAAGTTTCGCCGGATGCAGGGGCAGAAACCCAGACGGAAGTCAGTGAGGAAATTGACGTAGACGGAAGTTCGCGAGGGCCGTCGCCGGCAAACGAGGAAGCAGCCATAGTTGGTGCAGTGTCAGGTTGTGCTGTGTCAGCATCTTGTGTGATCGGAAGTTCATCGGCACCCGCTTCGACAATGACGTCAGCTGTCTCGTCTCCAAGAACAACAGCAGCGTCTTTAGCGCAACATACACCAGTAAGAACTATTTTTCTATAATTTCTTGAATCATGAAAAAGATGTGCAAATCTTGAAAAACAATCACATCAACATGTTTGTAAGCAGTGTCCACAGCCCTCTGACATATAACACATGAATAAACAGCGCTTTCATGCAGCCGAGAAACTTGTGGGCAGTCACGCCACCTTTCTCTTTGATAATCGTGTCAGTGGTTGGTTCTAGTTGCACCGCCAAAAGCCACCTGTGCAATTAATTGGGGCAGTTATCAACACGTTTTATTGTCACCACCAATCACGCTAGATGCGCTCAAACCTCATTATAACTAAGTTGCATCTTACACAAAAATCAGTACGTTATATCTGAAAATTCGTTATAAAGGTTTATTCCTATAACTATATCTCTTGCAAGACTATTTTTTGTTTACTACATTATAGCCAATATTTCGTTACATCCAGGTTTGTTATATCGAGGTTTCATTATATTTCAAACTTAACTATATCCACGAAGTGATCCTTCGTTGAAACAGTTGTATTCGCTTCTTGCGAGGGGCCTCGCTGCTAAAACAAGAGTGCCCCTTTTTGATCGCCGTTTGGTGACTCTCTCTTTACATCTCCCGCCGTGGCGGTGGGAGCTTATAGACTGCGATGTGTTTTTCATAGAAGTTACAAAAAAATGCACCTACTGCATATATTTGTACATACTTCCTTTAACTCCAGCGCTAGTACAGTTGTACAGAATTTTTAAAAGAGGCCTCAAAGTTTTGCACTTCTGTGCCACACACAGCGGTCGGACCATCTTTTTCAGATGTCAGTGCTCTGCACCCCCAATAAAAACATTTTCAGAGCAGAGGTTTATACGAAATTCGCAGCCATTAAATGCATTAAAGAAATTAAAACTGCAAAGTGCAGTAATATAAAACTGTAAGGGCAGTTTGCACACTCAAATAGCATGTTGAAATGTGCTGGGTGCCATGGCACTGCAAGATACGAGGAAACGTGTCGGCAGACCAGCTAGCTGCATTTGCTTTTAAAAACGCTGCTGTCAATACATCTACAGTCGATCCCGGATATATCGAATTCAAAGGTGATCGCGAAATAGTTCGATATATCGAAAATTTGAAATACAAGACATGCATATGTAAGACCTAAATTGAAGAATTTCAAGCCTCAGAAGTCATTACAAGAGCTAACCTAAGGGTTCGCTCAAAAACAAGGTGCGAACTTAAGGTTACCACCCTTTATTTAGTCCGTAAACTTGTCTTGCTTCTTGCACGTCGTCAAGTTCCAGTGATCCAGTATCATTGAAGTTTTTCAAATAAGCGAACTTAGCTCCTTCAGCCACAACGTTGATTGACGCAGAACGCCGATGCAAGCTTTGTATCACGGCAAAAGCTTGGTTAGCGGTGGAAGCGAAGGCGTTGGCACATTCATAACCGCACGGCTGCATTTCTGTGGCACCACCAACGGCAGCCGAAATCTCAGCAATGATGTAGTCAGAAACGTCGTCATCTGTACCAATGAAGTTGTTACTGTCCGAGATGGTGCCTGGAAACGCTGATAAGTCGCAGAATTCGCTGAGGCATCGTATGCCATTTTCAGTGGCCATGACGCACTCGAAGTCTTCACCTGGCCCGCAAGGAATGTTTACGACGGTGTTTTACTTGATGTCACTCCAAGTCCCGGTCATAATTTTTATCGCTATGTGCGGGTCAACGTTCACTTCAACTCCTGAATAAGGATTTATCGGGAACGAGGCGAGAAGGCCACAAGGTAAAGACGCAACGCCGAGTTCGTCGGAGTTCTCACTGTCGACATGTTGGCGATATCGATGTCACTGTGGCTTTGTAGCTGGCAGCCGCTGCTTTTAGCGGCTTTGATGCGAAATGATAAAAAGAAAAGCGTAGCCTCCGAGACTCGCGTTCTGAAATCGAAAACACTAAAAAGATACGTCACAAGGTTGCACATCTCGAAGGCCATGTTTTTCAGGCTCGCATGCCATTGTGTGCTAACAAACAAGGAAGAGAATTCAAATCACATGCGAACATTGCTCTGAGATCACCGAGTCACTTCGCATTCTCTTTCAGGGCCTTGGCAATCGGTCTTTTGTAAAACACTATGCTCGCGTGCTAAGACCTGCAGATCGCGCATCAAACGTACTGATGTACTTGCAAGTGCCGCGCAACGAACCAGATCGGCGCGATGAAATGACACTGTTTTTTCGTCGCCTGGGCGCAAAAAAGGATCGGAATTTGTTAGAACGTGGCCTAAAATTGATCAATATTCCCTAGGAAAAATGCACTTTCTGGGCTTCGGCACGGCGCAGCGTTTGATATAGTGGTGATCCCGCTGTATGGGAGTTCGATATATGGGTGCACCCGTTCTATACTTCTGCATGGGAAATTCAAGGGAATTTTTCAACTGTTCGATATAGCCAATAATTCTATATATTCGGGTTTGATATATCCGGGATTGACTGTGTTTCCGTTCCTGTAGTTGGCCCAAAACTCTCCCTTAAACGAAAGCTTGAGGCTTATTGGCAGAGCACGTGGGATGGGCACACACAAAACTACTCATTACCATACCACACCTTGGTAATCGGTCGCCTGTACATTGTCTCGCCGCACAGAAGTAACACCTACCAGGCTAAGAACAGGATACACACACGGTACACACTCATACCGTCTGTTTAGCGGTGATCCACTTGCTGTGCTTCACATTTTTATCCAATGTTAAGAATCACACAAACTTGAAAGGAAGCACTTCCCGTTACCCTACCTATAGTAAATAGTGTCACTTCATCCAATAATGTTCATAGGTAGGGGTCTGTTTTTCAAACATCATTCATTATTTGCATATTTAAATGATGTGCATAGTCTTCACGTATACCCAGGTAATCTTCAGCATGATCGGTGAACAGAGGTCGTGCGATAACTACGATAGTGAAAGCACCTGTCTCGTGGCCCTTGGACACGAGCGTTGTCGAAGCATTTGTGCTCATACCATTTCTCCATGATTGCATTATCACGACCATTTGCCACTCATTCTTACTGCACACATTTCATGTCACTCTCATCGTTTTAATACTTTTAACCTTAAGCTCGCAGAGTTCTAAGGTTCATATACAACCACAATCATCGTTCACATCTTTTGTCTCGTGAACTGGTGCTATTTGGCCATCAAATGGCCTTTGTACTATAAAATATAATATAATCAAAGTTTGTCACTGTGAATGCTACCTCTGTGTGTTTAAAAGCTCTGCATACGCGGCATCCTCATTGTGTATGCAAAACTTATTCTGGGTAATCAGCTGCACTCGTCAATAATCGGTTGTTTCATTTTACAACACATTGCCAGGGTGTCAGTTGTCATTTGCTTGCAGTGTAGAATATTGCTTACAATAAAACAAATGTAACATGTTACAGTTCTTAAAAATGTAACATGTGCAGGATCATCCTCCATCAGCAGAAAACTCAACATCTTTCGAGACGCCAGAAAACACCGGAGTGCCGCCGCTGCCGAGCCGTTTTCCAGATCCCGATTCACCACGTGCCATCTTGTCTGAAGCGAGATCATTGCTACCGTCTTTGACGACACCTGTGAAAGCGATTCGTTTCGACCCCGAGCGCTTCTACTCGCCTCGGCGAAAAAGGTTCTGACTTTTTGTGTTATACTCATTTATTTTCTAAATGAGTTCTTTAAAACTCCACAGGGTGGACAAAGTGTTACAAAAATCAAATGCTAGTGCCGTTAAAGGCACACTAAAGGCAAATATTAAGTATACATTTATTGTCAAAATGGTGGTCCGGAAACCTCATAGTGCTACTTTTGGGCCAAGGAGGGGCTTATTTTGAAATAAATTCACGTTTTAATAGTCAGCATCGCATTGGTGCACTTCTAATGACCCGCCTGAAATCAGTCTTTCTGGTGTCGTTGCTGTGCTCAATGTTGCCCGCCTTGACTGTGTTGCTGTTGACACCAGTAGCAGCAGAGCGAAAGTAACAAGAGCCTCAGCAGCAACAGCCGTTGAACAATTTTCTGCCAGCTTGGTTCAACTGGGCCTCACTAAATGGCATGACATATCCAGCCTAACAAAGCAAAAATGGAATTTTTGAACCATTCCCCAAGTAATGCCAAGTGGTTCTTTTTTATATAAATCAAACAAACGGAGAAGTAGCATTTCATTATGTCTCTCGATCAGGGTTAATGCAGCTCCTTGAAACCCTTAAAACCCGTTGAATTTGAAAAGTTTGTTTTCAAGGCTTTGAAAGTGCTGGAACTTTCACAAGTCCTTGAATATCCTTAAATTTCTTTTTTTTTAAATAAACATTGTCACACATTTCTTACTCCATTATTTGTAATGCTGTAAATGTAGCAGGTGGCATAAGTAATGTGCTAATTTTAATAGAATTGAGAACATCAATATCTTATAATATTTAGGTTTTTTTCATCCCAACACCAAGGAATAATTGGAAGAGACACCATAGTGGAAGGCTCTAACAAATTTTGACAATCTGGTGTTCTCCAACATGTACTGTCATCACACACACACACTATACGGGGCTGTAGCATGTTGCCTCTATCAAAATTCAACTGCCGTGGCCGTGATTGTACCCACGGCCAGCGAGTCTGCAGCCGAGCACCGTAACAACTACCTCCACCGCGTCAGACAACAGTGTACATATTTGCGAATTCCCAAAAGGCAGGAGCAAGAAGACGAGAAACAGAAAAATGCTGCATCGACAAAGAGGCTGAAGTGCTTACAGGAAAGAAAATGAAACTAGAAGTTACTGCTAAGGAATCAGCAGACACGTATGCAGGAGAGACAGAGGAAACTAGTGACCTGACGTGCATCATCAAGTTAAACAGCCTTAGGAAGGCTGCCAACACCACGCAGCGGAAAATAGTGGACATTGATATGAAAATTCAGGAAGAACAGCAAGAATTGGCTTTGCCTATCTGAATAGTTTGCATCCTTTGCCATACTGCAAGCGATTATCTATGCAACTCTGCAGCTCTAGGAAAGTGATTGAATGTTGTCTAGAAAGAAAATGTTATCAGAGCCATGTTTTTGATGTTTTCTCTAGCGATGCTACTGTTTTTCTATGAATTTCTTATTTCGATCCTCCCCTGAATATATGTCAGTTGGTTTCTAACAGACCATCTGGTCCTTGAAAATTCACACGCATAGCTTAAAGGTCCTTGAAAATCGTTGAAGTTTTGTTATGTAAATGAGCAATAACCCTGTTGGTGCACGAAAGATTCTTTTTTTATTGCAGCTAGTTTTATCAACACTGATTAATTGTAGTCGGACGCTCTCACGTCATCGGGATCATTTACAAAATGTCCCTTTCGTGGCACACGTCGAGTTATCTTAATTTCTCAGTAAGAAGGGCACTGCTGCTGATAATATTGCAGTTTTAGACGTTATCATGCATTAACCTTTTACTCTGCCATAAATTGTTATTTGGCTATGTGTCTCTTTAAGCCACGAGTAGCGTAAAGCTGCAAATTAAAGGGAAAAAAAGAAGCAAACTCTTCAGAAAAATGTATGGTTCGCTCTATAGGTTCGTGTAGCTTATCAACACCTGCCGATGTTTCTCGTTGACAAACTTGCTCAGGTATCATTGCTATGCAGAACAGGTAAAATAAAACAAATAATAATAAAATTAAACCAATACCTTATTTCTGGTATGTCTGCATTGTTGCCTAAATGTAAAGAACCTTTTTGCCTAGAAGCTAAAATTTGTAGCTGGGCTATTGGCAGTACTAATAGTAAGCGATGTAGCATTTTGAGCCACATAATTCATAAATAAAAAAGGGCAGCTTTGAAAGTTTAGCTGGTGCAGTTTTTCATTTTAGGAAGTGATTGGCTGTTATAAGTAATTGTTGTAAGTGTGGCACTAAGTAGGTTTTGCTAGACCTGAGAAGTTGAATTGTGTGATACTGTAGCATTGTAGCTTGTGTAATATATATCCATGTTTGTGCTGATAAGCTGTTATTGTTCTTTTTTTGCTGTGTCTTTCATATGCTTTGCTTTGGTCAAACATTTGCTTTAGGCGAATAAACAGATACAAGGCGAAATTGCATTCAGCTTGCTTGTTGTTGGTTTGATGTTACTGTTGTCTGTCTTCGTCGACCTCAATAAAGCTGAACCCTCTTTGTAAGTCTCCAGGTTTCTGCACCATAGGTAAGTACCAGCAAGATACAGCTGTTATATACCTTCCTCTTGAGGGCTAGTGGTCGATTACCATTCATGATTTGAGAATGTTTGCTAAATGTGATCCATCCTATCCTTATTTTTCTAGTTGCTTCACTCTCATTAACCTTCATTCTCAATAACCTTAAGAGACGAGAAGAAAGCAGAGTGGGTCAGGAAACGAAGCGGGGCTAAGAATATCATAGTTGAAATCAAGAATAAGAAATGGATGTGGGCCGGGCATGTACCACGTAGGTAGGATAACCACCGGTCATTAAGGGTAACTAACTAGATTCCCAGAGAAGACAAACACACGAGGGGAAGACAGAAAGTTAGGTAGGCCGATGAGATTTAGAAGTCTATAGGTATAACCTGGTAGCAGTATGCACAAGATCGGGTTGATTGGTGAATAATAGGCGAGGACGTTGCTTTACAGCGAGCGCAGTCTGGGTGATGATGATGATTATGTCTGTATGCATGTCAAGTTGTTCTAGTAAAGATAAAGGCTGACCAATTTCTTACATTGAACTTTTGCACAGCGACCCGAACTTGGCCATCTCATTTCGCTTTTCTCCTATTCTTTCTCCCTTGCAGCCTCATCCCAAGGCGTCGACTTTTGGCTGGTTTTTCTCCATCTTCCAAGCCAGCCGCAGACTCTGGGAATACCAACTCATCAACTGAAGAGTCTAGGGAGTTTTCGGTATGACTCTCTTGCAGTGCTCTGCATATTTTTTATAGTGATTTAGTGAACTAAATTTGTTCTGATGTTTGCCTTCTGTAGGGCTTTCTATTGTTTTGCTTTCTTGGGGTCATGTCTGTTGATGCTACCTATCCAAAACGAGGTTCTGTTATTGCCCTGGTACTGCATACATTAATAGCATTTCACATTGGTCAAACTGCTTCTCTTAGCAGTATTCATGCGTAGCTCACTTTTATGCTGTTCTTTGACCGGAGGTATCTATGCAAATGTCACGTTTTAAGTAGTAAAATTAAGAAAGTTGAAGTTTTTAGGAATAAAACTACATGCTACTACACATAAACACTACAAGCGAAAGCAGTTGTTTCGCCTTTGGTAAAGGCAAGCCCATTCTTTGAAGCATCGGCATCTGTGAGATCGCTTGCTTGTTCACCGCTAATAATTTCAGTCTCCATCTTCTTGTCAACTCCTGTCTTGAAGGTACAGTAAAAGCTTGTTAATTTGGATTTCACGGGACCAAAAAAACTGACCAAATTAACCAAATTCCTAATTATTGAAAGTATCATGATACAATCAGTAAATGCCTATCACATCTATACCCTATAATTTTTTTAGAAATATGTGAATACAAAAATCATTTTGCATAAAGGCACTGCAAAAGCCACAATTTTCATGATTTGCAATTTGGTTTACTATGTTAATAAACAGCTGTTAATGCGGCTCGATACTCCCGTGTCCTTATCCAAGAAATACGGCCCAACATCAGTCTCTGAATTAGTTGCCAAAGCGGGATTCAAACGGACTTCAGAAGGAAATAGAATTTCTCGTTTGTTGTTCTTCTTTAAGATAGTTAATGGTTGAATAAATAGTAACACAGGTGAATACTTAAAGTTCTCTTCCGGTTACTCTACCAGACAACGTCATAAACACACTGTCGTTCCTTTCCAGCCCAATAATAATACTTTCAAGTATTCCTTTTTTCCGCGCACTGCCAAAGAATGGAATGAGCTTGACAGCAAAATTATTGAAACAGACAGTATCGAGGCATTTGAAAAATTTATATCTGACTAGTGTTTTTTTTTTTTTTTTTCTTCGTGAAACATTTTTTATGTTGTTTGAAGTGCTTTGTTCTGTGTTGACTGCAGTATTGTACTGTTGATTTTGTTGTACTATGTACACCCACTCTGCTATGGCCCCAAGTTGGGGCTAGCAGTATTGCTAAATAATAATAAATAATAAAACCCAATTTAAACACACACCTCATAACGTGCCAACACTGTGATTGTGGATAGTGACCATGCCTTCCTGAAAATCCATGGCTGTTTTGGCTGTCTGTGAACACTGTTTTCATTCCTTTGCGTCACACATTTGTGGCCATAGAGTTTCCCAGTACATTTAGCTGGGGGAACTCTGGCGCTGCAATTGTGGATGATGGATAGTACATGGATTCGCCTAACCTATGTGTTTACAACTTTTAACATGCTTGTGACTTGTTGTGTTTTGGCATCTGTTTCGGATAAAAGAATGGATCATTGCAAACAGTCTGAGCCTGTTCGAATTGCTGAGCCGGAAAGATATTAAGGTGGGGAAATGGAACTGCTGAACCTTTGTAAGAAAGCAGCTCCAGGTCACACGGAGCTGAACATAGCTGTAAGAATGAGGTTTAAACTAATCTGTGTACTAGCCATCGTAACAATTCTGGCTGAAGCGCCATGTGTCGCAGCTTCCATAACCACTAACACTAGAGTTTACTCTGGTGCACTTACAGGGAACCATGTTTGCCGCCCTTTTCGGTCAGGGTGCTCTGAAGGTCATCCAAGTTAAGCGAGTTGCGGCCAGATATGACTGGATTAACGGTAGCTTCCCAGGCTGAAATGTGTAACTGGGTACCCAACTGGTTTTGAGTGATAATCAGCTGGTCCCAGTTGGGGGGGGGAACTAACTGGTCCCAGCTAATTCCAGTTGCAACTGATTCCACTTAGCAACCGGTACCAGTTGGGAACTAGCAGGTTCCAGTTGATTCTAGTTGCAACTGATTCCAGTTAGCAACTGGCACCAGTTACAACTCAACTGGTTCCAGTGAATTCTATTTGCAACTGGTTCCAGTTAGCAGCTGGTTTTGATATCATTAAACAATGCCAACGCTGACCAGGACTAGAGAACGTGGTCAAATTATCCCATTTTTCGAATTAGTGAAAGTCGAATTAACTAGCTTTTACTGTATAGTACAGCGTTCACACAGGTCTTTTCTATTTGTTGCATTTATACTACCCTAAACGGAATGAGACATTGCTCTCGGCTAGTGACCATTGGCATAAGCAGCACCTTGGGCAGTACTGGGCATTCCAGGCTGAGAAATCGGAAAGAGCTCCATACTACCTCGTGTCTGTACCTAAGCCACATGATGCATTCAACAACATTACGAAAAAAGTGTGTGGTGTACATAAATTTTGACTCATCGTGCTATTTAAGACCATGCAACAGACAAATTACAAAAGACAGATTACATGGACAGGCACTCTTGTAATCTGTCTATTATGCGCTCTTAAATACCACTATGAATCAGTGCAAACTCTCCCAAATTTTCATGCTTCTAAATCATGGTGCTGTTTCCTGATTAATCAGTTCAGCCTTACAGTGAAGTTAAGCCAGATTGCAGACGGAGCTGCCTTGCAGAGAATTGTGGTAAAAAGTGATTGTGATGCTTGTTAATTATCAGTTATTGGCAATGCTGCTGAAAGAGGGGAAAAGGAAATTTAGTTGAATTGTCACATACTGACCATCATGGTGGGCGCGGTGCTTCAGTGCTAAGTGAATATAACGATAAATGCTGTATTAAATTATTGTTTCACTCTTTGCCAGCAACTGTACCGGGTCAGTGTTGTGAAGATTTGAATGCTTTTAATGTAATCATTGTGCGGTATACACATTGATATCTTGTATCGAAAACTTCTTTCCCCCCCCCCCCCCCATGACCTTATCTTTTGCATGGTTTGTAGCTCTCGGTTCTATGTGAGGGTGCATTATGTTTGTTAAACAGTGACCTCTCGTGTCCTTACCATACAGGCCCTGCTTGATGAGTTGGTTCACAACTATCCATTTGTGGCAAAGCTGGCCGAGAACATAAACCAGGCTGTGGTTGGCCCTGACGGGACTTACAACGAGGGAACAGCTTTTCGTTTGGAGCCCATTGCTGAAGAAACTCCCACTGACACCGGAGACATGCTGACCTCGCAGGTGATCAAATAGCTCTGGCCTCACTTACCCACAATCAATCTGATGTGCATTCAATGGCTGTTAAAGACCTCTTCCCTTGTACAGGGTTCTACTATTCAGAACACTGGGGAGCTCAGCCATGTTATTAAATTCACCATATTGCCTACTCTGACTGGCTCAGAGGACTGCTACAACGTCTCCGAGTGGCTTAAACTACCATTATTTTTGAGTACCGATTTTGTGTTTTTGTGTGTTGTAGATTCAAGAAAGCATTCCTAGGAAGCCCTGCCTACTTTTTTTTTTTTCTTTTTCTGTCAATGTCTTGTTTCACGGTGTATTTACAGTGTCAATGGCGCACAGCGGTGATCCAAGGACTTGCGTTTACTATCTGTGATTCTTCAGGTACTGTGTGTGAGTGTGCGACTTTCACTAGCACTGCTTTGCTGAGTGCCCCGCTGCGGTGGTCTAGTGGCTAAGGTACTCGGCTGCTGACCCGCAGGTCGCGGGTTCAAATCCCGGCTGCGGCGGCTGCATTTCCGATGGAGGCGGAAATGTCGTAGGCCCGTGTGCTCAGATTTGGGTGCACGTTAAAGAACCCCAGGTGGTCAAAATTTCCGGAGCTCTCCACTACGGCGTCTCTCATAATCATATGGTGGTTTTGGGACGTTAAACCCCACAAATCAATCAATCAATCAACTGCTTTGCTGAGAAGGAAGACTAGCACTTCTTTGTTTGAAATTTCAACCATTTTCATGCCGTAAGGCCATTTCATACATTTGTAGACATGATTGCTACATCTACATGCCGGGCTTTTGTATTTGCAGTGCTCAAACTAGGATAGAAGGGCCCTTAAAGCTCCGATGGGCTACGGTATGCATCAGGGTACTTGAGCATACACAATGTAAACCAATTTCATTTTGTCCAGTATGGTCAGAGTTTTGAAGGACTGCATCGTCTAGCTGAAAATGTGCATACCTTCATTGTTACTTGTTTTTCTGACCTGTAACAGGTGCAGCTGTGCCTTGTCACGCTACAGCTTATGTTGTGCTTTTCAGGAGTCAACCATGCCGGAGTCTCTGATAAAGGAGATATTGAACAAAACTGAGAATGATCCTGTCTTTGAAGCAGCCCTGGCACAAATATGTGGTACGTTAAAGTTTTTATCATAGCAATCTGCAAAACTAACACTCTTAACGAAATTGTTCATAAGGGCATGCCAAAAGAATGTCCTCCCTTTCCCTTTTTTTGCCTGTCTACTAGGCTGCTAACTCAATAATTACGACAAAGCACTTTTAATGTGACACTTTGAAACATGCACCAAGTGTTTCGTCACTGCTAACGTGGAAAAGGAAATGTCGCGTGATTTGAATTGGTGGCGGTCGTGTGTTGTCTTGGAGCATGCCACTTGATTGGTTTGAGACTGCGTCACCAAAAGCTGCGATATTGGCCACTGTAATTTAACACCTCTTCAAATGTGTAGAAAAATCATGCTGTTGCCTCTTGTTCCATCCAGTGCTCCATGGGGCCTTCTTTCGTTGGTGTAGTGGTAGCGTACTGTAAGCAATAGTGTTGCCCAGAATATGACTGGACTGCAATATCGATTTTGGGGGCATTAACAGCTTCCATTGCACATACCAAGCCTGACTCTTGACACACATCTCAAACTCATCTCATTAACACCAGACATATATACCATATTACCGTATAAACCAGAATATAAGTCAAGGTATTTTCAATAAAACAGTGAGCTAAAGTCGCCCCTCGTCTTATATAGCTACGTCTAGCCGACAGTGCACCGCTGTCTGGCAACATGTGGCTTGCATATGCATGAGAAGTTGGACACAGCTATATTCGCATTCAAATCCAATAGCAGGTTGTTTTTTTTCTCTCTTGTCCTTTTTTTTTGTGTTCGTAATTTTCCTCCAATCTGTTCTAAGTTCTCGCTCTGCTTGGCATTGTGTTTCATTTTTAGTGGTCTTTTTTTCGTTCACTGAATATAAGTAGCGGTACGAGGAGGCAGTACTCAGCTGCGTTTAAACTAAAGGTTGTTGAGTTCGCAGAAGCAAATAGGAATATGGCTGCTCAGCGCCACTTTGGTGTATCAGAAAAAAGCCTGCGCTATCGGAGGGTGCAGAAAGGGAAGCTGCAGATGTGCAATTCTTGGAAAATGTCATTTTGTGGACAAAGTGCGGTTCATGCGCTGCTGGAGGATACGCTAAGGAACTTTGTGTGGGAAGTTCATGTGTGCTCGCTGCCAGTGACCGTGGATATCATTCGCAAGAAAGCTGTGGAACTCGCTCGAGAAACTGAGCTCACAAGAGAAGAGTTTTGTGCACCAAACTCTTGGGTGCATCGATTCATGAGACGCAAAGAATTTTCTTTCCGGTGGTGCACATCCATCTGTCAGAAGTTTCCAGATGAGTTCGAGGACAAGCTTATAAACTTTCAGGGCTTTGTGAACCGGCTTCGGGAGCAGAACAACTACATGATGAGGTAGATTGACAATGCCGATGAGACCCCCATGTGGTTTGACATGCCTTCATCGACCATGATCATGCAGCGTGGCGCCAAAGATATGAAGCTGTTCTCCACTGGCAACTAGCACTCGCTCTTCACCGTCATGCTGGCATGCACGGCAGATGGTAGAAAGCTTCCGCCCTTCATCATTTTCAAACGTAAGATAATGCCAAAAGAAGTGTTTCGGCCCGGTATTGTCGTTCACGTCAACAAAAAGGGATACATGGACGAGGCCATGATGCTCGAGTGGATACGGGTAGTCTGGAGCCGTCAGCTAAGTGCACTGCTGCGTCTTTGCAGCATGCTGGTGTTAGATGCGTTTTGTGGTCACTTAACCGACGCTGTGAAGCGCGCACTGGGCGATGGAAAAACGGACCTCGCCGTGACACCAGGTGGTATGACAGCCACCCTCCAACCGATCGACGTTGTGCTAAACAAGCCGTTCAAGGACCAAGTGCGGCTGGAGTACCAAAAGTGGATGTCCGGCGACAACCCAAAGACACCGACGGGCCGCCTACAGAGGCCTCCGCTTGCGACTGTTTGTGGCTTGGTGCTTTCCCCCTGGCGTTCCTTGCAGGTTCCATGGTGGAAAATGCTTTTGAGAAATGTTCCATCAGCAACTCGCTGTATGGCACGGAAGACAACGCACTGTGGGAGGCGGCCAGCGACAAACTCTCGTCTTCAGAAGACAGTGGTGCTTCGTCTGATGAATAGGAACAGTTGCGATGGTGGTTGAGGGGAGCTCCAATGATCGGGGCGTGGTTTGCCCCATTCGCAAATAAATGTCGTTCGGCAATTTTGGGTTTTCTACTTTTTTTTCTTTTTCGGTAACCTAAACTTGAAGGGTCGACTTATGTTCCCACTCGACCTATAGTCCGGTTTATACGGTATCTTGCATATATAGTTTAACCCCTTTATAAGAGGCATGCTCTGGGCAGCAGTCTTGTCTTTTATAAGAGATGTCTCTTATAAGCAGGGTACCTCGTGTGCATTTTCTTATCAACCTGTATTTTGCTATAGGCAGACTGGTGTCTCTTATACCCATTTGTCTCTTATATCAGTGTCTTTTATAAAAAGGCTCAACTGTATCTCACACCGAAAAATTACAAAATGTGCTTAAAAAGTGGGGTTGCAGAGCTCATGTGCAATTTTATTTTATTTTTTGTGTGTAGTTACAAGAAATCCAGCAGTTTTTCTGTGCATTCTTCGAGAAAGTCAGTCGACCATATTATTTACTGGTCCATGGCTGTCCAATAAAAATTTGAAAACTTGACCAAGAATTTCCCCTCATGTATTAAGGTGTCCCAGAGTCGAAAATCGGATGTGGTTTTATTTAGGCATGAATTATTTACAGCCAATTGTGTGTTCAGATGGAGCTCTCATTGTCAAAGGCTGAATCGGAAACATTTAGCAGTCGTTTTGCCTTGTTTTTCATTCGCTGAGCATTGGGATGTTGTTTTACATTGCAAATATGGACACTGAAATGTGACATTTCAGGTGTACAAAATCAGGGCTTTAAGCGCACGCTTCCCCGCATTCACTTTTCAACTCTTGTTTTTGCAGATAAATTGGACACAACAAACGAGGTTCACGGAGTCCTGGTCACACCCTCCAAGAGTAGTTCAAAGTCTCGGCAGCGGAAGGAAAACTGCAGTCCCAAGACACCGAGCCACTCTCGTCGAACACAGTCACAGCCCACAACACCGCAGCTCATGAGCCTGTTCACCACGCCACGCAAGTCAGCAAACAGGTCACCACACAAATCGCCACAGAATTCGCCGCGCAGGTCAGCGCACTCATCTCCAAACGTTTCACCGCATAGATCACCACAGAGGTCCCAGCATTCATCTCCAAGCATTTCACCACATGTGTTGATGCACAGGTACCCAACCACGTCTCCAAATGCATACTCAAATCTGTCCTCGAGCGCGTCCCCAAATTTGTCACCAAACGTGTCGCAAAACGCATTACCAAACGTATTGCCGAACGTGTCACCGAGCAAGCCATCGAACGTGTCGCCAAACGTGTCCCCACGCATTTTACCAGAGATCGCACTATCGGCAACACCACCGAGACGATCTCCAAGAATTAATGCTCGAAACTGCAAGCAAGCGCAACATCCTCCTCCCTCTGCAGCCACAAGAGGCTCAACGGAAAGCACAGAAAGCAGCACACAGAGCAAAGTGTCATTGGGAACACAAGCGAAACCTAAGTCAATCCCGCAAACGGCCAAGGTAGCGCCAGTCAACCAGTCTACTAACGAAGCTGCACCCATGCAACATCCAGCAGAGGTGCCTTCTAAGCTGCCTTTGCCGCCACTGCCGACTAACAAATCTCCTTTCAAGGTGCCTCAAGAACCAACGACCTTCAGGGTTCCAGTGAGCTTACCACTGAAGTCGTTGATAAAGGAGGCCGCAGCGTGTGTGCCCAAAGTAGTGCAGTCACCACCGAAGCCCACCGTGCAAGTTGTTTCGAAGGCCACCGAAAACGGTGAGACAGTGACCTGCATCTCCATCCCTGACCCGCCAGGGTCATCCCCGCCCAAGCAGTGCATGACGTTGGCGGATGTCATCGATTCGGTGTTGTCACCAGAGCGTCGACAGGCCCTCTCCCAAACAGAGAGGTCAGTGCAATGTTGTATTTGAAGTTGATTTGTGGCGAATGCCTCGCTATAACATTTTAAGCATTCTTTAACGTTGTTCAGTGCAATGGCAATAAACATTGCATTTGGTTCTTTATTAATCATGCAGATCTCTCATTGGCAAAAGGGTGATCAAACAAATTTGTTAATGATACTCCAAATGAGTCGTGACTACTGCATAGGGTATATAAGTGACTGACGATCCCACATTTACTGCACATATATATCCTACAAAATGGACGGAGAGGTAACCACCACCGTAGCTCATTAGTAGAGCATCAAACACATTATTCGAAGGTCACAGGTTTGAATCATGCCAGTGGCAAGTTACCTTTTCATCAACTTTGTTTCTCCTCATTTGCATTACACTTTAATAACTATATGTATAGTCAAGTAGATCCTCCGTGAGAAGTCACAACGTGGTTTATTCCGACATTTCAGCCAGGGTCTGGCTGAAACGCCAAAGTAAACCATGTTGTGACTTCTCAAAGAGGATCTACTTGACTACTTGCAACGCTACGGCCGCTCTACCACCATACCTGCCTATATATTGTAGCGATGCTGACGCCGACAGGTTAAAAAAACAAGCGTCTTTATTAGGGCGAACTTGTGCCCACGATTCTAAAAACTATGGTCGTCAAGTTCGAGTAGCCGAGTGGCACAGATCTGACTAACTTCCTCTTCCTCGTTGTTGAACGTCCGAACGCGTGGCGCATGCCAGCCGAGCCGGGTCTTGCTGGTGCTGGTGACGATGATTGTGGCGGGCTACTTGAATGTGGCGAACCTGTCGCAGCATTGCCCCCCTCCTCAGACGCATCGTCCCGATGCTTAAGACAGTGAAAAGATACACGCGCACTCTCACTCGTTTTTCGACGATCTGTCATGATAGGGCTTCATGCGGACTACGTGGACCACTTCCGTGGGATTGCGGCGTCTTGAACTCACGTGTCCAGCGGACCTAACTTCATAAGTGACGTTGCTGATACGGTTGAGTACTTCATAAGGGCCGAAGTATCGGCAAAGAAGCTTTTCAGAGAGTCCGCGGCGGCGCACTGGTATCCATATCCACACTTTGTCACCGGGATGATAAAGTGTGTCACTGCGTCGCTTGTTGTAGCGACTAGAATCGACGTGCTGTTGGTGGCGTATTCGGTATCTTGCCATTTGCCGTGCTTCTTCGGCTCTTTGCAAGAAGTCATCTAAGTCAGGTGGATAGCTGCTTTCGTCCTGTAGTGGTAACATGGCATCCAGCGGGGTGGTCACTCTTCGGCCGAATACTAGTTCGAAAGGGGCAACGTGGGTTGTTTCTTGAACGGCTGTATTATATGCGAATGTTATGTAGGGTAATATTTCGTCCCACTGTTTATGTTCAACATCAACATACATTGATAGCATGTCGGTCAGAGTTCTGTTGAGGCGTTCGGTTAAGCCATTTGACTGAGGGTGATACGCCGTTGTTCTTCTGTGATCGGTATTTGTCATGCGCATCAGGCATTGCATTAGGTCTGCAGTAAATGCGGTGCCCCGATCCGTAATAACGACGATTGGCGCACCATGTCTGAGCACTATGTTGTTCACAAAGAACTTGGCGACTTCGGCAGCTGTCGCACTGTATAGAGAGTCAGTTTCAGCATAACGGGTGAGATAGTCTGTGGCTACGACTATCCATTTCTTGCCTGCACGCGATGTCGGCAAAGGTCCTAGGAAGTCCATGCCGACTTGTTGGAATGGGGCATCTGGAGGGTCTATTGGCTGGAGAAGTCCGGCTGGTTTTACGGGTGGAGTTTTGCGCCGTTGACATTGACGACAAGTTTTCACGTAGCGCTGCACTGATGCGAGCAACTTAGGCCAATAGTATTTCAGGCGAATCCTGGCGAATGTTCGGCTCACACCCATGTGTCCAGATGTTGGCTCGTCGTGGCATGCGTGCAGAATTTCCTTTCGCATGGCTGTGGGCACGACTAGTAAAAACGTTTCACCATTAGGTTCGAAGTTTCTCCTGTAAAGGACACTTCCTCGAAGGCAGAACGCGGAGAGCCCTCTGGAGAATATGCGAGGGACTTGAACGTCGAGACCCTGCAGGTGTTGTATAAGTGCCAGCAAATCCGGGTCATCTCGTTGTAGTTGAGCGATTTTGGATGTGTCGACAACGCCTAGAAACGGGAAGTCGTCCTCTTCAGGTACACTTGGATCGACGGGAGAGCGTGACAGGCAGTCGGCATCGCTGTGTTTCCTTCCCGATTTGTACACGACCGTAATATCATACTCCTGCAGCCTAAGGCTCCATCTTGCTAGTCGACCTGACGGGTCCTTGAGATTTGCCAGCCAGCATAGAGCATGGTGGTCACTGACAGCTCTGAACGGTCTACCATAAAGGTAGGGTCGAAACTTGTTTATGGCCCAGATGACTGCGAGGCACTCTTTTTCAGTTGCAGAGTAGTTTGCCTCAGCTTTTGATAGTTTGCGGCTGGCATAGGCTAACACTTTCTCTTGACCATTTTGCCACTGGACAAGGATGGCGCCGAGGCCGACATTGCTGGCATCGGTATGGACTTCTGTGTCGGCTGTCTCATCAAAATGGGCAAGTATTGGTGAACCCTGTAGTCGTTTCCTTAATTCGTCAAAAGCTTTCTGTTGTTCGCTTTCCCACGTGAAGGGCACGTCGTCTTTTGTCAGTTTTGTAAGAGGTTCCGCAATCTTTGAGAAGTTTTCCACAAATCGTCTATAATAGGCACATAAACCCAAAAATCGACGCACTGACTTTTGTCTCTGGGTGTAGGGAACCTCTGAACAGCGGCTGTCTTTTCGGGATCGGGACGAACACCCTCGGAACTAATGACATGTCCAAGGAATCGCAGCTCTTCGAAGCCGAAGTGGCATTTTTCGGGTTTGATCGTCAATTTCGCTGACCGGATGGCTTCCAATACTGTGCGTAGTCGCTCTAGATGTTTGTCGAACGTTGCAGAGAGTACCACCACGTCATCCAAATACACTAGGCATGACTGCCATTTCAATCCGGCGAGGACAGTGTCCATCATCCGCTGGAACGTCGCTGGTGCGGAACAGAGGCCGAATGGAAGCGCTTTGAATTCGTAGAGGCCATCTGGTGTTACGAATGCCGTTTTTTCACGGTCCCGCTCGTCGACCTCTATTTGCCAATATCCGCTTTTCAGATCTAAGGAGGAGAAAAACTTTGCGGATCGCAACCGATCTAGTGTATCGTCGATACGTGGCAAGGGGTAGACATCTCGTTTAGTTACACTGTTCAGTTTTCTGTAGTCGACGCAGAATCTAAGTGTGTTGTCTTTCTTCTTAACGAGTACTACGGGAGACGCCCATGGACTATTCGAAGGCTGGATGACATCATCAGAAAGCATCTCCTCCACTTGCTTCTTGATAATTTCCCGTTCTTTCTGTGACACCCGATATGGATGCTGGCATATAGGCCTCGTGTCGTCTTGCGTTATAATTCTGTGTTTCGTGATTGACGTGCGCTGGACCTTCGAGGTACTTGAAAAGCAATCAGAGAATTCTTTTACCAACGCGTAAATCTGTTTCTTCTGACTGTCCGGAAGGCTCTGATTGACGGTCACGGATGTGTCGATGTTGCAGGCCACTGGTCGAGTGGTTGATGTCGTTAAGCTGCATAGTTCGGTCGCCATACAGAAGTCGTGTAAATAGGCGATAGCCGTGCCTTGAGCGATGTGTTGAAGCTCATTGGAGAAATTTGTGAGTAGGACATCTGCACGGCCATTCGTCAAGTGAACAAGACCCCTAGCTACGCAGACACCTTTGTTCAAAAACAGTCCTACATTTGTATCCGCTATGCCTTCGCGGTTGTACAATGCATCATTTTCTACGAGCACCATTATACTGCAGCGTGGCGGCACAGTTACGTCATCATGAACAACGCGTAGAGCAGTTAGGCGTCGTTCCTCAGATTCCTCCACAGGTATAGCTCGTTCAGTCGAAAACGACACGCTGGACCTACGCAGGTTAATTACGGCGCCATTAGCTCGCAAAAAATCCATTCCTATAATGAGTTCTCTTGAACATTCTGGCAGCACAATGAAATCGGCCACGTAAATAAAGCCCCGTATTTCAAGTCTTGCAGTGCATCTGCCAAGGGGCGTAATAATGTGACCGCCTGCCGTGCGTATCTGCGATCCACTCCACTGTGTCACAACTTTGTTTAGCTTTTTCACCATCTTGTGACTTATCACTGAATAATCAGCACCGGTGTCGACTAAGGCATTCAGCTCCCATCCTTCCATTCTCAACCGCAAATCTGAAGTAACGTTTTCGTTGCTGCACCCATCTACCGGAAATACACCGTCATCACCCTCAAACCAAATTGGAGGATCTTTGTAACTGACGTTATCAGCGGCCTCACCTCCACAGGTCGCTTGCTTCAGTTTTCCGGGCGTGGGCTTGGAGAGCGATGACCAGGCAGCCTTGAAGGTGTACGTGGGCTGGATGACCGGTAGCGCATAGGCGATGGTGACCGTGACCGGTGTTGGCGTAGAGTTGGCGAGTTCTGGCGCGTCGACAAGTACTCCTCAATCTCCGCTGGTCGTTCGCCGTTTCGGGGGCACGGTGCATATGACGGGAAGCCTCTTAATCCAGCCTGTCGGTAAGGACAGAATCTGTACAGATGACCCGCTTCCCCACAATGAAAACACAGAGGCCTGCGCTCGTGATCACGCCAGACGTCACTTTTCCTGGGCCTACGCTCCACATAGTGATGTGTGCTACGTGCTCCTGGGGGCAGATAGGTAGCTGTCGGTTCCCGTGGACGAGGTGCGCTGCGTGCCGCAGGTGGGAGAGGAGTCGTTGCCATCGCAACTGCTGCATTGCTGTGTACCGTGGGTTGTCTGACAACCTCAGAGTATGTTCGGATAGGTCGAACCGGCTGCAGCTCACGCTCTGGCTCTCGTATCACCTGCCTCAGTTCGTCACGAACAACGTCCGTAACAGATAGTGCAGTTGAAGTCTGGGGCATATGCAGTCTGCTCAGTTCTTCTCTGATAACTGATCTAATTAGCTCTCGCAGGGCTTCAACGTCGTTTCGCACGCCTCCGGGAAATACCTGTGCAGATGCGCAGTTAAGATTCCGGTTGTACTGCCAAGCCCGCTGTTCCAGTGTTCTTTCGATGGCCGTCGCTTCCGAGTAAAACTCAGCAACCGTGCTCGGAGGGTTGCGGACGAGAACGGCGAACAGCTCTTGCTTCACTCCGCGCATTAGATGGCGCACCTTCTTATCCTCAGCCATGTTGTAATCCGCACGCTTGAACAGGCGGACCATGTCCTCAATGTACATAGCAGCACTCTCGTTTGTTAGCTGGTTTCTCGATTGAAGAGCTGCCTCCGCCTTTTCTTTCCTGTCTATGTTCGCGAACGTAGCCACCGCTTGTCGTCGAAATACATCCCAGGTAGACAACGAGGTTTCATGGTTCTCAAACCATGTCTTCGCGAAGTCTTCCAGGGCGAAGTATACGCGACGGAGCTTCTCTCTTTCGTCCCATCCATTCAAGCTCGCTACTCTCTCGAACAGGTCCAACCAATCTTCAACATCCTCGTACGAGTCGCCGTGGAAAACTGGCGGCTGGTGCGGTTGGCTAATGAACACTTGTGCCGGTGTTACCTGGCTAGTCATAGTGGTGGCATCCATCGTTTGAATTCCCCTTGGTATGAAGTGAAGAGGACCAAACTCAGGTGAGTCACCTCGAAGACGGCGACTTGCCCTCTGGTGTACAGGAGTCACTTCCACGGGGTTGATACGCTGGTCATCGGGGCTACGCTGTCTTGAGCTCGTGGGGCTTCGATTCATAACCCAGCAACTCCACCAGAAATGTAGCGATGCTGACGCCGACAGGTTAAAAAAACAAGCGTCTTTATTAGGGCGAACTTGTGCCCACGATTCTAAAAACTATGGTCGTCAAGTTCGAGTAGCCGAGTGGCACAGATCTGACTAACTTCCTCTTCCTCGTTGTTGAACGTCCGAACGCGTGGCGCATGCCAGCCGAGCCGGGTCTTGCTGGTGCTGGTGACGATGATTGTGGCGGGCTACTTGAATGTGGCGAACCTGTCGCAGCAATATATACAGGATGTGCCAGGTAACTTTAGAAAGAGTTTAATAATATGCCGGCACAGGCGATTACAACGCGACCAAATACATGTTGCTCATCGTTGCCTGGAGTTAGTCAGAATATTTTTTGTGTTCTCAAATATTGTTTAATTAGATATGTTTAATTGACTAACTTTTCAAGAAACAGATAGATAAAAATTTAAATGAGAAAGTTCTAGATCAGTTTGCAAAACGTCCGATTGAACACTTTTGGACTTTATATATCTTAGGTATTAGTGTTTTTCTGCTAATTACAAATGCCCACGAAATACAAAAAATACCACGTGACAAACCCGCTGGTGCGCCAGTGCGCACAATGATTCTAGTGCTCTCAGACGTTCTGCGTACGAACGACCATAGCATTTGCCCCATTGTGCTGTCTCGGCAGGGCCGCAACGATGGTGGTGGCTTTACGATGAACATGTTTTGCTATCGGCCACAAGAACGATAACCGCTGTGACTGCTTATCGCTGTCATGAACCGGTGCGAGGGAAGCGTGTTGTTCGTATGCGGAACGTTAGGGAGCACTAGAATCATCGTGCGCACTGACGTGCGAGCGAGTTTGTCATGTGGTTTTTTTTTTTGTATTTCGCGCGCATTTGTAATTAGCAGAGAAGCTCTAATACTTAACAAGTATAAAGTTCAAAACTATCTATTTAGACATTTTGCAAACCGATCTACAACTTTCTCACTAAAATTTTTTATCCATCTTTGTTCCTTCAAAAGTTAGTTAATTAATTAAACAGATCTAATTAGACAGTAAGTGAGAACACAAAAAGTAGTCTGACTAACTCCAGGCAATGGTGAGCAACATGCATCTGGTTGCATCGTAATTATGTGTTCCGACATATTTTTAAACTTTGGCTAAAGTTATGTGGGACACCCTGTATATGCATACTACAGGATACTACTCACTACTCATTTCTACTAAATGAATGTTGCCTTGCGCTCATAATGTCTTAGTTGATAGGTTTTTGCTTTAGACATGGTTTAGTTGGAACGTGAATAGACTGCCCATGTGAGCTTGATTTTTTATTGACAGCAATCGTAACGAGTCAGCGTAATTGGTTTCACATTTTCACAGCTTATACACATAGCATGCAATCGTAACGTTGTGCAGTGAAGCTTGACCTAAATGTGACCAGCATGCTTGGAAAAGAGTGGCCATCGACTTTCGTCACTGTGTTGTGCATTGTTTCTTCTGATTGGAATTTTTGTCACGCTATGGTAGTATCCTCATGATTAGAAGCAGCTTCAGTACGGTTGATGTGCTAGGACATGGTGGACATAACAACAACAACAATAATGCCACACACACCTTTGTTTGATGTTTTGCGTCCTACATACGAATGAAAACTTAAACTTGGAAAGGAGACATTTTCGGTGTTGAGACTTGACCTTACTGCTGGTCGCAAATATGGAAAGAAATGACGGAGAATTTCGGAGACTCAGAAACAGTGCTGTGACTAGGCATGAATTTTGAGGCTGGTAGGCACGTTTGGTGTGCTGGAAATTTAGAAACCAGGTTCCATAACGTTCATCGCATCTGCCTACCATTTGGTGCCCAGATTGTCTTCTTAGGTGTTGCGTAAAGGTGATAACGAAAAATTAGACCATTACGTGTCCCTGCAGATTGAAGTTATTGTTGAACGACCGTTCGGTTGCACTTGGTTGCCTTACAAAGCTACCACAACAAAGGGTTTTTGAATCTTTCGGGTCTGAGTGGAGTTATCACGCGAAACAAGTGCACGAGCGTGCTGGTGGCTACACAGGGCTGCTGTATGCCAAGGAGGTGTTGTGATGGCCAAAGGTTGTGTTGCTGGGTATTTTTGTAGCTTTGAATTTTTTTTTTTTTTGTTTTGACTATGCCGACTGCTACATTTGGCACACACGTGTGCTCCTCCGACGTGTGCCAGCACCCTGTGGATGGCTGTGATACCAACACGAGACGATGCGTGCCATTTAAAATTGTTTTCTGCTACCCTACTGACGAAATCAACCAACCAGTACCTGTCACACCTGTTTTCTGCTTGCGGATATTGCCGAGGAAAAAGCACGCACTTATTTGCCATTGTTGTCACGAAATTATGAAGGCCTGCTATGTACAGTGCAATAATATTTGGCTTGCATGTTCATAGGAGGCTTGATGACAGATTGGCAATGTTTTCTCGCCACATTCACAAATGTGTTGCAGGGCTTCTTTAAAGGGACACTAAAATTAGATAACATACCATGCCAGAGGTTAGTGCTTGAAACCCTCAAAAATATTTATATTATGCAGAAAAGCACTTTAGTTATCAAGAAATCAAAGTAAACCTACAGTTTGCTCATGATAGAAAAGAACATTGCAATGTATTACAAGAAAGAATTAATTGAGCATTTGGGTTTATTTATGGAATAAAGAACTTCTGCACATTACTCTTGAGAAAAACAAAAGTCCCGGTTTCACTGGGCTGTGCACTGCAGCGCCGACTGTCAGTCAGAAGACGAGTGCTACGTCACTAGGTCATTCCTGGAGGTGGCTGGTATGAATTGCACTAATGATAGGCGAACCATTCAAAACATGATTTTCTTTCAAACTAAATATCTTCTTGTCATGAAACAAGCACTACAAGGCCCCTGAAATACTGTTTCAACAATCCACATCGACCTGAATATTGCGTATTACTCATTTTTAGCATAACTAAACATTCTGTTTTCTCTGCCTTGACCAGCTATTCTTACCTACTTTCTCCTCAGCATGGCACCGCCACCACCACCGCCACCACTACCACTGCCTGCAGCTTCCAGCAACGCTCAGACCCCCATTGTTATTATGTCTGACGGCACCCAAGTCATGCTGTGCACCAACGACAGCGTGACCTCTGAACCACAGACACTCGCACCGTCTTCAATGCTGGCCAATTCGGCAGCGTCAAGCATTTCAAACATCATCTACCCAAATGTGATGGTCACGGGCATGCCCCAGCTTGGCTCCTTCAGCATTGTGATGCCCAATGTCCCTATGTCTTCCAACTGCCAGTTTATAACCATGAACGGCAGCACCACAACGGTTATGGCACAGGGCAGGGCACCCGTAGCCAAGAAACGACTGCCCCTGCTGCAGCCTAGGGAGCCCCTGCCTTCGCAGCCTTCTCCACCGTCTGCTTTCAAAGGCGAGGTTCAATTTCGTCTTTTTTATTTAAGACCTCTGGTGTTATAGTCCGATGTTGTCTTCAGTACTGCATGGTCAGTATTTTTGTCACTGTTTAAAGCACTGTTCACACTATTAGTTACTTTTCTTTGTTCTAATATCTTCCAAGTTTCCGCACTTGCACACTGATACCACATGTTGACTCATCGGAGGGAACCATTTTTCGAAAGGTGTTCTTGTCTCAAGGTGCAGAGAACATTCTTATGATCTGTGGTGAAGAATATCATTATGTACTTAAGAATATTTTATTTGACTGAATATAATGTGATGGTGATAAACGTACAACCCATAGATTGAAAGCTGTATCTTTCCAAAGCAATAACAATGGACTGTGTTTTAATATAGAACAGCATGATGCACAGGCTGTTACGGAGGACTGTGGGTGTGTAATGTGGTACATAATGGATTACCCGTCATTCTACATTAAGTGTTATGATGGAGTTTCTAGCTGTATGGCTTAGAATGAGCACATCAGCTTCAGTTCAATTTAATAGTGTGTGTTATTTTGTGTTGTTGATGCTCACTGCAGATACATATGTGCCTGTTGTGGAATTATTATGCAGCAAACTCTGGATAACGAATGGGCACGATGTTGTAAAGACACCTTTAATAGATTCAGCCACTTGTCAGCTTTTTCGTTATCCCGCAGATTTCGCTTTGGCAGCAGATAGTCTGAAGATTTTTTTTTCCTATATATTCAGATAAAACTTAAGAAGTCTAGAGAGGCCCCACCTCGAAGACTGAAGTTCAGCAGCTGATCGCCTTCGCGACTAGAGAAATTGTTCCGCTCGTGCACTTGGTGACGTTCTGTGGAGGCGGCGTGATCGGCCCATCGTTCAAAGCAGGGCAATGTTAACACGCACAAGAATTCACATAGGACCAGCACTGCAGCGCTGGTCCCAAGTGAATTGTTATTCGTGTTTTCTTCGAGCTGTTTTTACTGTGGATAGGTACCAACTGGCTCGCATTCACTTTCTTTAAAGTGATTGGCCGTTCGAAGCATGATGTCAGTCTAGAAAGCCAGCTTATTGGTGCAGACATGTACGCAATTACCTTTGAGGAGGAATTGCCGTAGACATGAGAAGTTGTATTTGACTGTAAGTATAAAAGTTAACATTGACATCGCTCATTGTTTTCCATTTGTTCTTTGTTCCCTGATGCATGGAACAAGTGATCAAGACTGACATACTGTTCTTTCTTTCTTTTTTTCTTTCCTTTCCCTATTTTAGAAGTGGAGGATCCGAAATACAGGTACTTGATGGGCAACCGTTTAAGGAATGCAAAGCGTATGAGAGAAATGACAAAACACGGTGCATCATTGCAACAGAATGGACAGGGTCAGTCTACTGCGACTACAAGCAACAGTGCCACGTCACAGCCGTTCACATCTGCGGCAAGCTCCCTCAATGTCGGCAGGCAGCAACACTCGACTGCCAAGCCGCAAACTCCACCAGGCGCCTCACAACGCTTGTCCAATGAAAAAAGTCCCCAGCTGAAGTCTCTTGTGGCTGTAGCTTCCAAGTGCACAACGTCACAGAATCACGTGAGGGTGTTAGACTTTGGTAATGTTTCCAGTGAACTCACGCAGGACAGCAGCGAGGGTGCCTCTAACGAGGCTTCCAGCGAACGTGTCGTCAAGGCAATCGAATCAATACGGACTAGCCTGACTGGAGCCGTGAACAAAGTGTTGAGAAACAGCTCAGGAGGAATCACCGGCCCTGGTCCATCGAAGAATAAAAGAAAGGGAACACCACACGTAAGTAAGAACGTAAGAATAAAAACAATTCGATTAGTTCATAGCGTGATTTCACAAGGAAACTCCATGCGAGTTTTCATCACGAAAGATACTTCCTAGTTCATTAAAAAATACAATATTTTTGTCTCGGCCTGGGATTGAAACCCAGCACCAATGCCTTTCCGAGGCATTACTGTACCAAGTGACAGATGCAGGAATTTGGTCCAAAGATGCAACTTTAACTTGAATGCACAAATGTCATGCACAAATGTCTTGCTTCTGCAGTCATTAAAACCTTACAATATTATTATATGACAATGTTGCATGGCATACTTTTGAGAGATTTTAAAATAATGATCTGCACAACTTTTTGCATATTTTTCAGAATGCTGGGGCGAAAGCAAAAAAGGCCAAAAATGAGGTATAAAACAAGTTTCGTTTGCTTGAACAGGCTTTTGACTATCTCTCCCTAGTTAACCCAAATGAAATACGTTCTTCTTTCCAGGAATACTTGAAAAGCATGGACGTCAACAAGTTTCTGGACAAGATACATAGCAGCTGATCACTGCCTTTCATGTTATTTCATTAACTGGCACACCTTTGCCTTAAACTTGTACAGTTCATTGTAAAAAAAAAAAAGCCATCTTTCACCATAATGTATTAGCTATACATACTGCATTGTATATTTGCCTGCTTGTTAATGAATGTTTTTATCGTATAGTATGTATATATGTATATGTATATATAAACAACCGATATCTGGACAAGGACACTGGAATTATAATCTCATACAGGTTGTGTCCAGGTTGTCATTTGTATTTAATAAACACAAGGTTTCACAGTTTTAGTTTGTGTTGATAGTCAGTGTAGTTCTCACATTAGGGATGCTGTGTTGCCTCATTACTGGAAAAAGGGTAAGTCTGTCGTGATAGGGATTTGTTAGAAAGAAGTAGCAACTATAAAACAATGTGCTTGATCTCTCACATCTTTGCTCAGTTGTTTCATCATCAGAGATTATGTCAACATAAAAAAAAAGAAAAGAAGATAGTGCAGTCTCTGCCATCCTATTGGTCAACAGTACTTTAATTTAATGTATATTTACTGGTACTGCAAATGCACTAGATTATATTTGCAGACACCACTGATTATGGCTGTACTATTATGAAATATACAAATGTCAATAATTATGGCTGTAACATAATTATGGCTGTAACAACTGCTTGGCAATATTACACAGCAGAAGGATGTTGCTGAGCACTTGTAGATATAAAAATTTGGTGTAGATCTGAGTGATACTATTCTTACACTGCACCACAGGTACAATATGAGTTTATTGTAGTGCAGCAACAGTACTCTTCTGGGCATTGATTTTGAAATATTCGTTTACTGAAGCAATAAAGATGTCAACAATTGGCATCATGATTAGGTGCTTGGCTGTGCTACTTGAAAAGCATATATTCCATAGAATAAGTACAAGAAATAAAAAGGGGTATAAAACTATCAGTGAAAACAATGCCATATTCATCACTTGCAATACCAGTTGTCAAATCGATAATATTATCTCCAACATGCATATTTCGTTCATTATACTTCTGAAACAACTTCATAGCTCCTAGTGAAGTTTCACTAAACACTTCAATTTCTGTGTGCTTTATCACTGACATGTTTTGTAGTGGTTTGGACTTTCGTAAAACAGTCTCACTGAGAAATAATTTGTTAACTGGTAAGTTGGATGTAAGGAACTGAATAGTTTTCATCTAGCTGCCATGATCTACAAGAACAGTGTGTATATATATATACATACACTGTTCTTTTTTTTTATAACACATACAATTTTTATACAATTGTTTCCCCCTTTTAGCAGAACAACATATTAGCACAGCAACATATGTTGTTCTGCTAAGAGGGGGAAAAAATTGTATGTGTTATTTTATAAATTTTTTATGCAGATAAGAGTGCTCTTCCTATCTACGGCTCTGTATTTTGGGGAGTTCCCTTTTTCAGCTTGAATAGGGCATTTATCGAGGTTTATTTCTCATAAATCCTCAATTCTCTTAAATTTGGTGTTTATTTTTTTTTGTATTCTCAATACTTGAATATCTTAATGAAATTATGTCTGAGCAGAAAACATCATAACAAACAAAGCATATTTAAAGTCGTCTGGAATGTTCGAATGCAGAACAGGTATATATAAACTACAAACACCTATGTGTGTGCGTATTACTGAAGAGTTTGCTGTAATAGACGCAAACGTATACTTAATAAAGTCAATATGTTCAGTGTCGTCAGGTGCAGCCCACGGCACCTGACGACACTGAACATATTGTACAGTCTATGGGATACTGAATTGTCGTGAGGTAAAACTTATTCGGGCCAAACTGGCGTATGTATCAATGACCGCGTAGAAGTTGCCCTTTCAAAATGATGGGTAGGACAGGGTGATGTTGACCATTCATATAGGAGTTCACTGGATAAATCCAAGTTGTCAAGAATTTTGCCAGCTAGTGTTCAATGGCATTTTTTTTTTATTTGTCTGAAAACGTATAGCCCTACTTATCATATTGCAAAGAGCATGACTGGAAGAGAAGGTCAACTAGAAAGGTGTGTGCTTAAGCACAAAAGCTTTTTTTCTCATAAAATATTTATTACAATATTGTTTGAGGACCTCACATTCATTAACAATATGGCAGCATGTGAGGTGTTCAACTTGTTTAACTGAAAATGCTTGGGATGTACATGATTTCAGAGATGACGCTCCTGGGTGTTGTATCGTCGAAAGGTAATGGGCATACTGGTGGCAGTCAGCAAACGAAGTTGTGCAGTTTCACATGGTGGCTAATATACCACTGCAATCGTAAATTCTGTGTTTATATTGGCTGGAAATTCTTCAGGTTAGCTTTTCAATGAAAATAACATGAATGACCACTGCAAGAAAAACTGCAAAACTAATATGCAGCAGTATTGCCAGCCTTGATTTGCAGTTACTTGAAGATACGTGGAAATTTGCAGCATAGAAGACAACATTGTTGGTGAAACGAAAAAAGGAATGGGACAGCTGAGCCGTGCATCCAACTAGGACTGCAAAAGTTGCGTCTTTTCCTATCCATCTCTCCATCTCGTCCACACCTAAAGAAAAGGGCGGTGGCAGTTATACGTCATTGAAAATGTTTATGAGAAGCGTTACGAAAGTAGAACTGATTGTCAAGTTGTGCTTCAGCTGGAGCTTGGTCCTTAAAATATCAATAAAGTTGTAGTGACTAAGAACAGTCAGACTCACTACTATGTAACACTTCCCAGAAGGTAGAGATGTGTGCATAAATCATTCATCTTTTTCAAAGTTCGTGCTCTTCTCATTTAACTTCTTTATTTTGGTATATCATGTTCTTGTGAACATGCACTGGTGTAGACACACCTCAGATCTCTAAACCCCTGAATTATAACCTTGTTGCTGCAAAGACATTTCTTCCATGGACATTTATTTCTTTAGTTCAGTGCGCCTCCCTGAACTTGTGCCCCTTCCCCACACGAATTTTCCCCCGCCATGACATGCAGAAATGAAGGAGGTGTTTCCCCCCTAAAAAAAAAGTTCTGGCGCTACGCCCCCGTTCCGTGGTCCTGCACATATGTGCTACAAAGGGATGGATATGTGCGTACGAAATAGAGCTCGTGGCGTGCCCGTTTGTTTTTTCTATTTTTACATGCATGCAAGACCCGTGCTTTTTCTTCATTTATTTCTTATCATGTTATTTATTATTTATTTTTTCGGACCAATCCGTCGGACTGCGCGCAAGAATGTGTAGACCAGCGTAGGCGGTTGAGCTTTCACAAAGCCGCGCGTGTGGAATACAGGCGCTTCCGCCGAAGCAGCTGCGTTTGTTATGAAGAAATCTCGGTCACATCTGCGTAGATCTAGAAATTATGACATGCATAGCGCAAGTTTGATGTAGCGCCTGAAACTCGAGCCACTCTACGCCGTAGGTGCCAGTTCGACGATGAGTGCGCCACGAACGCATTCTGAGAAAAAAATGGCGCTAGCAGAGCATACCTGCGTCAGGAATACTTCCCGTAAGCATGTTATACTGTGCTGCCTAGGCTTGCACCCCTTTTCCAAATGTACCCAGTTTGTCATTTGCGCGGCCGGCATCATGGTCGTGTTCCTGGGTTACGGATACACGCAGGTAAGCTGTCGCACCGTGCTCATCTTTGAGCACCGCGGTCCGGACCGAATTTCTTGACGTCACCCCCTTTCACAACTTGCGCTAGTGAATCGCGACAGAGACATTCGATCCAGATCGTAAGTGTGCGTACGACACCCGCAGTAAATTACCGGGACCGATCACTTTCACGATCTTTCAGGAGCTCATGTTTCACATCGAAGGGTTCAAGCCACACGGCTTCTACCTGACCTTTGTCCAGTTCGTGCTGTACAGCATCTTCGCTTTCGTCGAGCGAAGCATGCGAATGGAGAAAGGCCGCACGTGAGTCTTTTTTTTTTTTTTTTCACATCGGCTACGATAAGGCGCCGCGTTAATCCATTCATGGGATTGCCTTCCTTCGCCGTTTTCAGAGCACCGCTGCGAACCCACCTATTACTATCGGTACTGTCCGTGGGCACCATCGGCCTCTCTAATGCTGCCCTGGGTTACCTAAACTACCCGACCCAGGTTCTGTTTAAGTGCTGCAAACTAATCCCGGTGCTTCTCGGTGGCATACTCATCCAAGGTAATCCGAAATACTACTGCCTCGCAAGCTTCGCATGGTTGATGGCGACGCGTGCTTACGAAACCGAAACTGAATGCCCTCTTTTAATCGAGTATTCGAGTACCGAGATGTCTTACGGCGGTTTGCTCACTCGAACTGCGGAGCTTTGCTTTTCCTGGTCGACCACCATATGCATATAACTTGCATGCCTTCAAACAACGTGCTTCTGTTGCTATCGTGTTTGCGTTCATTGTGATTGCTTGATTTTTTTTTCCTTATGAAGTACAATGCCACATGTATCTGTTAATCAACCCCCAATGTACTCAAGTTGTCTCAGCGCATTTGGTATTTACTGTCATGTGTTTTCCATCCTACTGCATAAATTTCAATCTTTCGAGCGTGCTAAAAGTGTGTAAACTCTCTCTTTCTAGGGAAGAGGTACAACTATCTCGACCTGCTAGCTGCTGTGCTTATGAGCATTGGACTGGCTGCCTTTATCCTGACTGACAATAAATTGTCACCAACATTTTCACTTATAGGTATGTTTATTTTTCTTGATTTTATTCTGATCTCTCAAATGAAAAGAGATCTGACTGTTTTACTACAAAAAGATCATGGATAATATACATGGCTAGATAAGTGGGATCGAAATTCTCCATCTTCGTGTAAGAGCCTCACGTCAACAATATTGCAAAAGAAAACATAGTAATAACAGCAATAAAAATGGACTTTACACTAAGTTGAAGGTTATGCTATGCTTTTATGCTTTTTCTGTAATGTATCCTTTTCTTACTACATCAACTAGACAAACAAACTTCATATTGGATCCAACAAGAGGACTTGATGAGGACAATGTTTTTTTGCCAAAACGTAGGCTCCAGTGACATTTCCTGCCCAGTGACCATCTGCACACAAGTGCGTTGCAATGTTCCTACTATATAGTACACAAACCTGATAACTTTTGTGTTACTTATGTACTTGTTTTGTGTAACTGATGTACTTATTTTGTGCGATCCACTCTTTCACACAAGGAACACTTCCTAATTTTCACGGGCATATCAACTACCATAAGATGTTAAACAACTAATCCGTTTACTTTTGTGTCTGCTACAGGTGTTATGATGATATCAACGGCTCTGCTATTTGATGCTGTCATTGGCAACGTGCAGGAGAAAGCAATGACGGCTTACGGCACCCCAAACTCCGAAATAGTGAGTCCGTGAAAAAGTTGCAGCTTTCGTTTCCCTGTTCAACTTCATTTCTCAACAAACCACTTAAGGTGAGAGCGAACAGGGCTTGACACGGGATGGTAGAAGAAACAACAAAGGCAATGTAAGCAAGACAGCACCTCCGTTCGACGTTTCCTTCACCATCCCAAGTCCAGCGCTGTTTGGTTGGTATGTGGGTTTTAACGTCCCAAAACCACCATATGATTATGAGAGACGCCGTAGTGGAGGGCTCCAGAAATTTTGACCACCTGGGGTTCTTTAACGTGCACCCAAATCTGAGCACACGGGCCTACAACATTTCCGCCTCCATCGGAAATGCAGCCGCCGCAGCCGGGATTCGAACCCGCGACCTGTGGGTCGGCAGCCGAGTACCTTAGCCACTAGACCACCACGGCGGTCCAGCGCTGTTTGTTCTCATCTTAATCATGTACATTTTCAACACGGTGGTCATGGTTGAAGTGGCCTCAGATCGGGATAGTGATGATGTCATGACATTTACAAATGGTAAACTGCTTCAGAAAATTCGAGTAATTGAAAAAAGTGCTTATTTAGTTAATTTGACTCTGTTATGTGCTACTTTACATTGCTGGTGCCACTCTGAGCATGGAAAAGATGTTGCAACTCATGTTGGGTGCGCCTGTGCCAATCAGGCCAGTGCACACTCCTGCAAACCACTCAAGCATGAATACATAAATGCATGAAAGGTACTACAGGTAGCCAAAACTAATCTGGAGTCTGCAGCCATGACATTTTTTTAAAGCCCTTGCACTTAATGCTTTGTAACACTGAACCTGCAGTGATCAGGTCTTGGATTTGATAATGTTTTGTCGTTGATTGTTCGCGACTTGTGCTTAATACTCGTCATCTCGTTGCGGCAGATGATTTTCTCCTACTCCATTGGTTCTGTGATCCTGCTTTTCTTCCTGGTGGCAATGCAGGACTTTACGCCAGCTGTGATCTTCTTTGCACAGGTGGGTAACAGTGCACCCGCAAGCTGTAGGCTTATAATAAATGTGTACAAAGTTCACTGGCAATGGCAGTAAATGTCTTAGTGTTCAAGAAATTTATTACATTACTTGTTTTGCAAAAACAAGTTTGAGTTTCGGTATCCACGAAGTACCATGTTAATAGTAACAGCATGATACATTTGCTCACTCAGTCACTGCAGTTTCTGTTGCTGCTACATGTGAGCTGCTCAACTAAAAGAAACGCATTTGGCGCTCTTTTAGGAGTGAAGCTCCTCTTAGTCTAACTTTGTCATGCATCACGCGTAACCGAGAGAAGAAGAGACGAGAAAGAAAAGAAGGCAGTATCTCCCGAACAGTATAATAGATGGCGCTGTCTCACAGAAATAGAAGTGGCAAGGTCGAGCAAGTCGGTTGATACAGGAGCAGCGCACAACGAGAGATAAGTTTTCCTTCATTTATTTGTGTTTGTGAACACCATTCTTATTTTTTCTCTCCTAATCAATAACTTGCGTTGAGAGTACTGTAGGTGTGGGACACGGGTAACATTGCAGTGACGCCGACCACGTGAACAGGGTAGGCGGCTGTTTTAAGAAGTTTGGGGCGCCCGGTTAGTTGTTAAATAGCTAGAGCCGAACACGAAAGGGACCTAGTGAGAGGCTACTAGCGAAATTGACGTGTGTGTGTGTGGTGTAGGCGGCAGCTTCAAACAGTTGTTGAGGTAGGAGAGTTAGCGGAGGCGGCTGGATAGCGGGGTTAGGGTTGAACTTAGGGCTGTCGGGCGCTCGGTCCGATGGTCGGGCGGGCGATGGCTAAAGAGGCTAGGAAAACCATGGGCGAGAGTGAGCTGGTACAGTGCGAAGAATGCAAGCGCTGGTGCTACTTGGACGAGACAGCATTCACGAGTTTGGCCGACGTGCAGAAGGCGGGCTTTGTGTGCAGGCTGTGTGAGGCACTGAAGGCGGCCGTGCGGCGCATGGAGGCTAGCATCGAGGGGCTTCAGAGGGAGGCTAGGGCGGAATGTGGGAGCAGAGGATAGAACTCCGAAAACAGCTCGGAGCGCCGCATGAGCGGGAGGAGGCTACCGCAAGCCTATTAGAGCAAATGAAGGGCGACCTTCGAAAAGAACAGGAACGTCGGACCAAGCTCGAGCAGCGGGTAAAGGAGCTAACGGCGCTTTGCCCCGGCCCCGAGCGGTGTGAGACGGAAGGCGTGGGTAGCGGAGAAGGCGACAGGCGGGAAGGAACAGGCGAGAAGTGAGGTCAGAAGGCCACAGTGTCTGGCCACAGCACGGAGGCTCCAAGAACATACAGCTCGGTGGTGCAGCGGTATTTGAGCAGGGCAGGAACACAGGACAGACGGCAGAGAGAGAAACAGGTGAAGCAAACAGGGGCGCCATCACAAACAGGAAGCCAGTGATTGGAGCATAGAAGGGTCCTAGAGATGGGGGACTCTAACGTGACCAGGGTTAAGCATGGCGTTTTCACGACAGTGAAGGAAGGTGGGAGAGTGAGGGTGGAGGCCCAGTCTGGGAGGAGCATGGTGGATGCACTGGCCAAAGCTCAGGATGTTGTAGAGGACAGCATGGAGGGTGAAAATCTTGTCATTATTCATGTTGGGCTCAATGATGTGTTGAAGGGCATGGATTAGAACCTTCAGAGAAAGTTCGAGGATGGGATGCGTAAGCTCCGAGAAGCCTCTGGGAGTGTGCATGTGACCGATTATTGCACAGTCCCAGAGGTCTGGGGGCAGTATCGTGGGATTGAAAGGAGAGTAGTGGAGGCCGACTGTGTGATCAAGGGTGTGAGCCGGAAACTCTGATACAGCGTAATGGAGGTGAACCAAGACGTGTACAAGCCCGGCGCTCGCCCCTTTGTACAGGATGACTTTCACTACAGTGGTGCGACGGGCAGGAGGGTTGGTAATAGGATGGGTCGTCAAGCCACAGCTTTTTAGGGGGATCCAGAGCCCTGAGGCCAACAGTGTAGCCAAAAACGGTTCTAAAGGGGCACAAATATTCAAGCCACATGGAGTCCGTGGGAGAAGAAATCGATGTAAGCACAAGGGCCGAGCTAAGTCAGACATAGGCTATATTAACATGCAGGGTGGCAGGAATAGGTTAAAGTGGGAAGTTATAGAAGAGCAGTTAGGGCGGGAGGAGCTGATGGTATATGGGGTTGTAGAGACACATCTTTGGGACATGGAGCAACCACCTTGCAATCCGGACTATGTATGGGAATGTTGCAATAGAACAGAAGGCAGCAAAAAGGGGGGTGGAACGGGTGCATTCGTACATAAAAGTATGGGATGGCAAAGAGTCAAGCAGGGTTGCATAGAACATTTGTGGTTAAAAGGAAAAGTAGCTTGGCAGATGACACTCCTTGGTTTGGTGTACTTGTGGACAGAAGCGAAAGCCAGAGAGAACCAGGCAATGGTGGAGTGTATATCAGAGGACATTAAGGAATTTGGAGGAGAGTGCGGGATAATTATACTAGGAGATATGAATGCACACTTAGAAGGTATAGATGGTTATACTGACCCAACAGGAAAAATGATCATGGATATGTGTGAAAGGCATGATTTGATCATTTGCAACAGTACTGAGAAGTGTGAAGGGCAAATAACAGGGAGGTAGGCTGCATTCGACGATAGATTATGCACTGATGTCACATAGGATGTATGATAGGCTCAGGGGAATGCACATAGATGAATGTGGCTCCAGAATTCTGGGTAGTGATCACAAACGTATCAAGCTAAGTTTTGGAAGAGCAGTGAAAGTGGGAAGGAGGCAAGATGAGCAACTACAGGAAAATTTTTATTCAGATAGGCAAATAGAAATAGCTACTAAACAAATTGAGAAAGTAATCACTGAGGACAATAACACAGTGTGGACATACTCGAATCTAATTAGACTGTATAAGCTAGAGCTTGCTAAAGCACGTGACAAATCGCCCCGGAAAAGAAGACACATACCAAAGAGTTGGTGGGATGAAGAAGTTAAGAGAGCCATAGCAAAACGTCAGGAAGCTTCTAGGGAACACAGACATGCTAAGCAGTGAGGCGAACCGAAAGATGATGTTCAAAGAAAATGGGATATCTTTCTAAGCTGTAGAATGGAAGAATCTCTTCTGATCAATGAAAATATTAGAAGAAAGGGGGCTTAGTGGCTGGCAGAAGTACATAAAAAGGATAGAAATGCAGCTGCGAAATTTTGGAACTGTCTGAACTCCCTAAGAAATGAGACAAGCCTAGAGCAGAGGTTTATAACTACAGCTAGGCTAGAAGGGGACGAAGCTATTGAATATATAAGAACAAGGGTGAAGGAAAAACTTCAACAAAGAAGTGCTTTATGCACCACAATAAACAAGGACGAATCAAGTGGTGCCATGGCTTCATTTTCACGAGAGTGGGAAAGGGCTGAGAAAAGGGTGCCTAGTAGTACATCAACAGGCCCAGATGGCATTCCAATTATGCTGATAAAGACATTAGGTCCGAAGTCTAAGCAGGCTTTGAGAGAGGCAGTGAGCAAAATAATAATCGATAGTGAAGTCCCCGATGGATGGAAACTTGGCAGGATGAGCATGATCTATAAAGGAAAAAGGGACAAAGCTGACATAAACAACTACCGTCTTATAACAGTGACATTAGTGGTCTTGTGCTCAGATTTGGGCGCACGTTAACGAACCCCAGGTGGTCAAAATTTCCGGAGCCCTCCACTACGGCGTCTCTCATAATCATATGGTGGTTTTGGGATGTTAAACCCCACATATCTATCTATCTATCTACATTAGTGGTCTACAGGCTGGCAATGCAGATCATAAAGGAAAGACTGCAGGCATGGATAGAGGATGACGGGGTGCTTGGGGAACTGCAGAATGGGTTTCGGAAACACAGGAGGTTCGAAGACAATCCGTTCTCACTAAGGCAGTGCATCGAAATAGCAGAAAAGGAACACAGGCCCCTGTGGCTAGCATTTTTGGATATCAAGGGAGCATACGATAGCGTGGTTCAAGAGGACTTGTAGGGAATACTGGACACACTAGGTGTGGAAGATGGAGTCACTAGTCGTTTAAAGGATATCTATAAAAGTAACAAAGTAGTTATAAAGTGGGAAAAACTGGTATCTAAGCCCACAGATGTAAAACGGGGGCTTAGGCAGGGGTGTCCTCTGTCACCCTTGTTATTCATGATGTACCTACAAGGATTAAAGGCCAAATTAGAGGGAAGTGGGCTGGGCTTCAACCTCTCATTTGTCAAACAAGGAAAACTCATTGAGCAGGCACTACCAGATGTAGCAGATGATATAGTGCTAATGGTAGACAACAAGGAAGATTTGCAGAGATAGATGGACATATGCGGTAATGAGGGAGGTAGGTTACATTTCAGATTCTTCAGTAAGGAAAAATCTGCAATCATGATTTTTAATGTTAATGAAGGTAGTGAGCTTAGGATACAGGAGGTTACGCTAGAGATAACAGATAAATACAAATGTCTGGCCGTATGGATAAGCAATGGGACAGAGTACCTAAGGGAACACGAAATATATGTAACGACTAAAGGTAACAGGAATGCAGCAGTGATGAAAAATAGGGCACTGTGGAATTACAATAGGTATGATGTTGTGAGAGGAATATGGAAAGGGGTCATGGTTCCTGGTCCGACGTTCAGCAATGCGGTCTTGTGCATGAGATCAGAAGTTCAAGCAAGATTAGAAATTAAGCAACGTGGAATAGTTAGACTTGCTTTAGGAGCTCATAAGAATACACCAAATCAGGGAGTACCAGGTGATATGGGATGGACATCATTTGAGGGCAGGGAAGCTAGCAGCAAGATAAAATTTGAGAAGCGATTGAGAGAAATGGGGGAGGTGCATTGGGCAAGGAAGGTTTTCAGCTACTTGTACATGAAGAATGTCGATACAAAATAGAGGAAGCGAACCAGAAAATTGACGGGAAAATACTTAGAAAACAGCAGGGGGCCAAACCAAAAAGAACTATCGGTCAAGAAGAAAGTGAAGGAAATGGAGACTGAGATGTGGAGAATTGGCATGATTAAGAAGTCCGCACTAGAGATCTATCGAACTTTTAAGCAGGAAATTGCCAAGGAAAGGATCTATGATAATACTCGGGGTAGCTCTCTACTGTTTAAGGCCAGGACGGGAGTATTGCGAACCGAGACATATCGGGCCAAATACGAAGGGGTAGACACGGTATGCAGTGCATGTGGAGAGGAGGAGGAAACTGCCGAACACTTGATAATGTTCTGTAAATGGCTTCACCCTGTAGTTCAGGATGATGGCGCAGAGTTTTTCAAAGCACTGGGGTTTAGGGACAGGGAGGACAAAATAGACTTTAAGCGGGTAGAATTAACTAGAAGGAAGTTATCTGATTGGTGGCTAAAGTCAAGGCACGAGTGAAAATTAAACCCTTCTCTGCAAAGTACCAGTTCTCAATATCACTATTTAAAGAAAAAAAAAATTAGTTGTTGGTTCACTAAGTATTACGGCTAGGTCGCGTTAGCTGCCTCCCGATCTAAAGGGTACAGCCACATAAATCCATCCATCCATCCAACATACAAACTGCAGTTGAGTGAGGATGTTCTAGATGATGCTGTACCGCTACTCTGCGATTGGCTGCTGCGCGGCTGTGCCTGAGTACAAGGGAGAACGAGTGCCTCTCCCAGTCTCCTGGATAGTCGCCATACGTGGCGGATCGCTGGTGAGGCATGGACGAAGCAGATTGACGGATGCGTTAAAGGCGCTTGTGCTCGCTTCCTTGGCTTGCGTCTCGTCGGTGTTACCCGCGCGTAGTCTGCATTCTCAAACGCGATCGGATGCATGGCCGCATGCACGGATGAACACACAGACGGATTAACGAACGAACGCTTCACCCCACTCATCATCATTCACTCCGTGGATATGCTTTGATTTTTCTTTATACTTTTCTGAGCTACTTCAGAACACTCCTCAATTGTGCATAGCACCAGCAAATTTTCTACGTTTTTTTGTGACTTTGGAGCTGTGTCTGTGTTTGGGGACTAGCATTAGCATCAGACTGCAGTATAAATCTTTGCTGATAATTGTAATAGCTTTCATTCATGCCATCCTTTTACATTAAAGGTACCTACAGTGTAGTATGACTTCGCCGATACCTGCCATTACTCTTTGAAACGTAGCCTCAGTGAGTGTCACTTGATATATGTTGCCGCCTTTTCAAAAATCTTTTGATATTTTGATTATGAACTGATTGTCTTGTGTTTGTCTTAAAAAGGGCTGTTAAAAGACACACTTCAAGTATGTTATGTAAGAAAAGTGAAACTAATCATAATTGAATTACGGAAGTTACCCATAATATGTCCACCACACAAAGAGTGATAATTATGGATCGTGTGATACAAAACGAAAATCGCTTGGCAGCAATGCAGCTGTACGATAAAGCTGTGCAATCATCCAGAATATTTGTTCTGTCATGAGTACTAAGTGTACTATGGCCGAAAAAGCAAAAATTGTGCAGTTTCAGATGGTTGCATTACAGACGAAACCTTATAACATCAAAACTTGTTTGTAATTTTCAGTTATCCTAGTTCATTGTACAGAGTAATGTTCCATAAAGAAGCACGTGAAGTTTCATTGAAAAATGTTGGATCCTTTCGAAGTAATAGTTTTTGCACAATAAAGAACAACCAAACATGATGTTTTGAGAAAAACAAGAAAGACATTTTCCAAACGTCTTATGTAGACCATTCGAAAGTTGTCGGACTCAAAAAATCACCAGGCTCATAGCTAGGGCCTCATTTAGGCGCCATGAGTTGACTATTACATGGTTTATTCGCTCCTAGATTTTTTTAAGCTTATTTTTTGTCAATCATTAACTGGTGGCTGGCATTCTTCAAGCGAATTTGGTTGCTGCTTAGACGAGCTACTGTGCTGCTGCTGCCAGGAACAACACCTGTCTGCCTCAAGATATCTATCGTACCATTAGTGTTTCCATTGCTGAGTCGACATATGCAATCTTATAGGCCAAACAAAAAAAAAAAATTATCGGGCCTACATGGACATCTTTAGATGCACACTGCCAAAGCATCCCATTAAAGTATCCATTCGTGTTTTGAATTTTCCAGCACACATATGCCCACAAAATATATAGTCTGAACAGAGCTCTGCATACACATTATTCTCTTTGTTCAGTGTGTCTTTGTAAAATTTTCCCCTGTGCTTGTATTGCATTGTGCCCACAGCTTTGACTCGATTGCAGACACCAGCTTTTCACGCTTTGTGTCTCGGCCTTTGTTTCACTTGAAACTTAGCCATATTGTTGTATTCTGTAAGACAACAATATGGGACACTGCAGTGACGAAGAAATAATTTCGTACAAAACATCGGTGCAGTGTAAGAACGTAGTCACTTTGTGCACCTCCACATGGCAATCAGTGTAACTTGAAATAAAAAAAAATGGCCATTATTATCATTGCTCAATCTTATTAAGGTTTAACATACTTTCCTACCAACTTATCTAAATGTCTCCCATGAACCTAATTGCAAACATATTGCTACGGGGCGCAATATGTTTGTTTTAATAATGAAAATGTAGGTTTTGTTTTCACAAAATATCAGTTGGTTTCAGGGAGGCCTACTAGTAGTTGCAAAAACCAACATAACTATTGAACAAAACTACACAGAGACATCGTTTTTGCAGCAGCACAATTCTGAATTTCCCTGAATTTTTCACTTAATAAAATGAAGTTCACTTTTTTTGAAAAAAAAATTATTTTCAAGGATGGCAACATCTTTGAAAATGATGTTTAGAAAAGGGGGTGTCGAATATTCGAATATATTTCAGATAGTGCTTGCTATTCGATTCAACTTACACTGGAAATTTACTAATCAAAACTATTCGAACTTCGCGAAGACAAATACAGTCAATACGAGATTGGCAGCGGGACCTTCAGAGTTTACCCCGTCACATTCTAGTATTGCTGCAAAGCTGCCTTTCAGGCTCTGCTACTGTGGCTAATTAAGGAAACACCGGTTCCAAAATGGAAATGACAGATGTGGCAGAAGTAGGGCTCAATTCTGTTTTGGACCTGAAATTTAGGCAGGAAGGCCGGGAAGCCAAAGATTCTTAGCATCCAAAATTTTAGATGTCCTTATTTATATCCACGTCCTTGAGGCAGATTTGGCATTCCGGACTCGAAGGAATCGCACCCTTGTCTGCCACATCATTTGGGCTTCCTCAGAAGTGGAAAAAGAAGGAGAGGCTGAGGAAATAGCATCTGCGGCACACTTTTCCTCTTCTGGCAAGACACACTTGGGACATGCATGAACTGGTATATGGTAGTCTGCCGAGGAGAAAGAAGAGGTAGTTGAAAAAATGGTGAAGATGCATTAATAAACCGCGCTGTGTTTTTGGAACTGGATTTCTGAGTGCTACAGTATGTTTGCCATTCGTATGGAAAGTGTTGCAACAGTTTTTTGCCTCTGCATTGACTCATTCTTGATGAGATAGCCATGAAACACCAGACCGCCAGTGTTTCGTTAACCTAGCCAAAACAAACGCTTTCATGTTGATATCGCATAAGAATATGCCTAAGAATTCTCGCCAACTTTTGTTTTTCTGCAATTTCACTTCGAAGTATTCGAAAAGTAGTCTAAAAATATTCAATTCGATTCACACTCGTACTTCAATATTCAAATTCGCTTCGCAACCAAAGTTTTGCTGTTCGCACAGCTCTGACAGAAATGCTTTGTGAGGCTAATCAATGCCCCACTGGCACTGATCATAGCATAACTTCAAGAAAGATACGCCCCTGCCGCTACCATTCGTATATTAAAATGCAGTGGAAGCACCAACCGTCAAGCGTGGAACCTACTGCTGGCGTATACGTATCTCTTTTTTCACTGAAAATGCATGGAAGTCGTGTCAACAACCGAGAAAAAAACAAAAGCCGCTATGTTGCTTTTAAAAAAATAAGGGTAATTAATGTCATATACTCGAAGCTTGGTACTATTTTCTTTTTTTGTGTGTGTGTGCATGTTTTTTTAAATCTTTCACTCATAGCATGCTTTTCCTGTTTTCCCCGCTCCACAGAATCCAGTAGAGACTTACGGCTACGCCACCATCTTTTCCATACTGGGCTACCTTGGCATCCAGTTGGTCCTCACGCTCATCAACATCTCTGATGCCTTCATCACTGTGATTGTCACGACTTGCCGAAAGGCCATATCCATCATTCTTTCTTTCATGCTGTTTGCCAAACCATTCTCATTCCAGTAAGTTATAATGTTTTATTTTTGTCCCATATCTGAAAAAATAAGAGAGCACTGCTCCCACACAATCGGGAATTCACAGAGATGACTCTTGACTAGCTTGGCCTCTTCGGCCGAAGCAGTGGCAGCAATTGATCTCGTTCAGCCGCAGTGAGAAGCGTTGACGCAGCTGCCAACACTTGCAAAACAGGTTTTTAATGGCTACTCTAGTATACCACACATTGCAAAGGAATGCAGCATTGTAAACTGGCCCCTACTATAGTTACACAGCCTGGCATTTAGAAATGACTACATGAGTGTCTTATTTGCTAGCGTAGAGTTCGTAAAAACCGTACAATTTTTTTTGCTTGTGTATAGTATTTTATAAATATGTTATTGTTCATTAGCCATATTTGCTAATCATTTTGTAGCGAAGCCTCCGTACCCTGAAATGGGTCGAACTCTTGAGTACCTTCTAGTGGGGCTACCCAACAAGGGACGCTGCTCGCGCTGAGAGCCCGTGCTTGGCTGTGACTGTCGCCATTGTATATTCTCGCTCGTTGCCGGCTAATAAACGCCTTAACAATTTGGTGGAGAGTGCTGCGATCCCTGTCTATGCCTTTGGAGCTACGATCACGTACCCTGCCATCTACTATGTACCACGACGCTTCTCAGTAAACGCCTCCTCCAATGCCACCCCCTTGTCCCGGTGTCCCTAGAATCCGCGATCCACCCATCTTCACTGGCGCTGATCACACTGACGTGGAGGACTGGCTCGCCATTTACGAGCGCGTGAGCGTCCCCAACAAATGGGACGAGGACGGCAAGCTGACCAACTTGGTGTTTTACCTTGCCGGTGTCGCCAGTTTGTGGTACAACAACCACGCGTCCGATTTTGCCACCTGATCCGATTTCAAGACCGCAATCGTCAACGTCTTCGGCCGCCCTGCTGTTCGCAAGCTGCAAGCCGAGCAGCGCTTGCGTGAACGTGCTCAGGAGGCTGGTGAGTCATTCACCAGCTATATTGAAGATGTCCTGGACCTATGTAACAAATCCAATCACACCATGTCCGAGTCTGACAAGATCCGAAACATCACGAAAGGCATTGACGATGATGCCTTCACGATGCTGCTCGCCAAAAACCCCGGCACGGTGGCTGAGGTCATCACACTGTGCCAGAGCTACGAGGAGCTCCGCCGGCAGCGTTCGATGACCCGACGCTCCCCACCACGAGCTGCAACGCTTGCTGGCTTGGAGGCCAGTTATGACCAAGTGGCGTTGATGGCAGACCTGAAGTCCTTTATCCGTGAGGAAATCGCGCGTCAGTTCTCGCTCCTGCCCTTTGCCCACCAACCTGCTGTTCAACAATCGGCTACTACCCTTCTCCCTCCCATCCGCCGAGCGATTGAACAGGAAATAGCGGAGGTAATGCCTGCTTACCACCCCCAACAGCCTCCGGCTCCTGCGTCCTTGAGTTACGCGCAAGTGGTCGCCAGGCCGCCCCAAGTCGTTCAAGCACCCGCCCCTCTGACCTAGGCTGAAGCTGCTGCACGACCTCCGTCCTTTGCAGCGGGTATGCCCGCTACGTATGTTGACGTAACCCCTCAACCTCAGCTTCAGTCCACCATGCAGCCACCGTTCCGTCCATAGGCCCTTACGACATGGGTGAGACCTACCCTGGTGAACAGATGGCGCACACCCGACAACCGGCCCATCTGCTTTGCCTGTGGTTACACCGGTCACGTAGCCCGTTATTGCCATCGCGTACAGCCGGCTCCGATTTCTTCACCTGTTGCTGGCCAACTCAGCCGTCCTTATCACGAAGAACCGCCGTCTATGTCACCTCGGTCTCGCCCAGGTCCATCTCGAAGATCGCCGTCTCCACGACGTCGTTCCTTGTCCCCCATGCGGCCAAGTGCGGCTGCTCATGAGCGGGAAAACTAGTCGTCGCAGTCCCCGAAGCAAGGACTGCGACGCTATCGCAATGTGAAAGCCCTCAGAGCAGCCCCTCGAATGTCATTGACGTGCTTGTGGACGGTGTTTGTGCATCGGCTCTTATTGACACTGGAGCTGCCGTATCAGTTATGGACGAAAAACTCTGCCGCTTACTTCGAAAACTGACGACGACACTTTCTGGGTTATCCCTCCGTACTGCAAGTTTGCACCGCATTCATCCTACAGCAGGGTGCACAGCTCGCGTTGTCATCCAGGACGTTCTGTATGTCGCCCAGTTCATTATCATTCAGGCATGCTCTCATGACGTCATCCTGGGATGGGACTTTCTCTCCCGCCATGACGCCGTTATTCATTGTGCCGCCGCCGAAATTGAGCTCTCACCCTTCTCGCATTTGACGCCAGAAGACAGTCCCCCGACACTGAGCAAGATTCTAACGAAAGACGATACAACAGTGCCTCCAAACTCGACGACGGCTGTGTGTGTCTACTTTGCTGGTCTCTCCGACACCATTGGACTTGTTTCGCCATCTGACCGCGCTTGCAGCAGGAAAGGGTGGCTAGTACCTTTCGCGACCGTGCAGGTCAACCAGGGCAACACTGCTATTTTTGTAACCAACCCGTCCCCGTACGCTGTTACCTTGCTTCGAGGGGAATGTCTCGGCAGAGTGGAACCAGTCAACGACGCACAAATCCTGGACGTACCCGATGACACGCGCGGTTCCAGGTCGTGTACCATCAATGCTGTTTCCACTTCTGATTCGTCATCTGCTGATGCATTTGGCCCCTCCATCGCTGACAACCTTACGGCCGTACAGCGTTCCCAACTTCTGGACCTGTTGCAAGAATATCGTTCTTCTTTCGATGTCGGGCGAAGTTCTCTCGGTCGCACGTCCATTGTTACGCATCGCATCGACACTGGTGCCCATCCACCTTTACGGCAACGTCCATATCGTGTGTCGCCTGCTGAACGTCGAGTAATTAATGATCAGGTTGACGATATGCTCCGACGCGACATTATTCGGCCCTCGGACAGTCCATGGGCGTCTCCTGTTGTTCTTGTTGCGAAGAAAGACGGTTCTGTACGGTTCTGTGTGGACTACAGACGGCTCAATAAGATCACTCGCAAGAATGTTTATCCACTGCCACGCATCGATGACGCGATTGACAGCCTTCATGGAGCCGATTTTTTTTTCTTCTCTCGATCTGCGCTCGGGGTACTGGCAAGTACCCATGGCTGACGACGCTCGACCAAAGACCGCCTTCGTCACGCCAGACGGCTTGTACAAGTTCAACGTCATGCCGTTTGGTCTATGTAATGCACCTGCGACCTTTGAGCGCATGATGGACACCGTTCTGCGCAACTTGAAATGGTACACGTGCTTGTGTTACCTCGACGATGTCATTGTCTTTGCTCCGGATTTCTCCATGCATCTCCAACGTCTGAAAGAAGTTTTCGCACGTGTGAGCAATTCCGGCTTGCAACTAAATCTGAAAAAGTGCCGCTTTGCAGCACGGCAACTCACCATACTGGGGTACGTCGTGTCCAAAGACGGCATTCTTCCTGACCCTGCCAAGCTTCAGGCCGTGGCCGAATTCCCCAAACCTGCATCTGTCAAAGAACTGCGTAGTTTCGTGGGCCTGTGCTCATACTTCCGACGCTTCATAGAAATTTCGCCACGATCATATCACCGCTGACGAAGCTCTTTGGAAGCAACGGGCCCTTCAATTCGTGGTCATCCCAGTGTGACGACGCGTTCGCGAAGCTCCGCCATTTGTTAACGTCGCCTCCCATTCTACGCCACTACGACCCTACAGCCCCAACGGAGGTGCACACGGACGCCAGCGGTGTAGGCCTCGGCGCTGTCCTGGCGCAGCGAAAACCCGTATTCCCTGAATATGTCGTAGCATATGCAAGCCGTACGCTCACGAGAGCCGAGAAAAACTACACCGTCACGGAGAAAGAGTGCCTGGCGATCGTCTGGGCTCTTACGAAGTTTCGGCCTTATTTGTATGGTCGCCCATTCGATGTCGTCACCGACCATCATGCACTATGCTGGCTTTTATCATTGAAGGATCCCTCAGGCCGTCTCGCCCGTTGGGCTCTTCGCTTACAAGACTACGACATCCGCGTGCTCTAGCGCAACGGACGCCAGCATGCTGACGCCGACGCCCTCTCGCGCTCCCCTCTGCCTGAAGGTGATGTGCTCTGCTCAGTATCCTCGGCTGCTGTTTCTGCCATTGATGTTGACATCATCGCTACCGAACAGCGAAAGGATAATTGGATCGGCCCGCTCATCGACATGCTCTCTGATCCATCCGCAATGCCATCCACGCGTGCCTTGCGTCGTCAAGCTCGCCATTTCGCCATTCATGACGGCCTCCTACACCGACGCAACTACGACGCCGACGGCCGGCAGTGGTTACTCGTGATACCCCACAGTCTGCGGTCAGAGATATGTGAATCCTTTCATTCTGATCCGCAATGCGCGCACTCTGGGGTATTCAAAACCTACCATCGCATTCGACAACGCTACTTCTGGCGCGGGATGTACCGCTATGTGCAGCAGTTCGTTCGCTCTTGCCTCACTTGCCAACGCCGTAAACCGTCAGCCCACATGTCGCACACTGGTCTGCAACCGTTACCTTGCCCTGACCGTCCCTTTGGGCGCGTAGGTATTGATTTGTATGGACCACTTCCTCTGACGTCGGCTGGTAACCGCTGGGCCATCGTTGCCGTTGACCATTTAACGCGATGCGCCAAAACCGCCGCTCTCCCTGCGGCTACTGCGCGCGATGTTGCGTCCTTCCTGCTGCATCGATTTATACTGCGCCACGGACCACCCCAAGAGCTTCTCAGCGATCGAGGCCGTGTCTTCTTGTCGGAAGTCGTCGAAGCCATTCTGACAAAGTGCCATTCTGTCCACCGCAAAACTACTGCTTACCACCCACAGACGAATGGCCTCACCGAACGCTTTAACCGCACCCTCGGTGACATGCTTTCTATGTACGTCGCTGCCAACCACACTAATTGGGATAATATACTGCCCTTCGTCACCTACGCCTACAACACCGCCCCTCAGAGCACGACTGGTTTTTCACCTTTCTACTTGCTGTACGGAAGGCACCCGTCGCACACCATGGACACAATGCTCCCGTACACGCCGGATCCATCTGAGTGTACACCTATTTCCGAGACAGCCAGGCTTGCTGAAGAGTGTCGCGAGCTTGCCAAGACTTTTACGACGCAAGAGCAAGAGCGGCAGAAGAGTATTCGTGATGGCTCCACCACTTCTGAGCCCACGTTCCTTCCTGGTGCGTTTGTATGGCTCTCGATCCCGACCTCTGCAGCTGGTTTCTCTTCCAAACTACGTCCCAAATACGAAGGCCCCTACCGAGTCATCGAGCCCACCTCACCCGTCAACTATCTGATCGAACCCGTTGAACAATCTTCGGACATGCGCCGCCGTGGGCGAGACATCCTCAACGTGGAGCGCCTGAAGGCTTATTATGACCCGCTCATTGTAACAAGCTGTTAGGTCGCCAGGCGGCTCCCTCTTCGACCCCGGGGTAATTGTAGCGAAGCCTCCGAACCCTGAAATGGGTCGAACTCTTTGAGTACCTTCTAGTGGGGCTACCCAACAAAGACGCTGCTCGCGCTGAGAGCCCGTGCTTGGCTGTGACTGTCGCCATTGTATATTCTCGCTCGTTGCCGGCTAATAAACGCCTTAACAATTTATTTAATTCTCCATCACTTTTTCAGAAATTATTGTTAATGCAAGCTATCGCTCTTCGTACCGGGCAATCTTCATTTTCTTTGTTCACAATAATGAATCTATATACAGCTACTGAAATGCACGACGACTCCTCATCAATTCTACATAGATGCACTGTTCAAAGCGGTAACTAAAGCAGGATGTAAAAATTCAGAGAATATCTTACCTTGTTGGGTGAAGTTAATAAATAGGCTGGAGGGTATTTATTATGACACCGGCACCAACTTGGCATCTCTCTTTGGGCCAAATAACGAACGGCAGCCTAATGCAGCTTTATAGAAAGGCTTTCTTTTCAGGAAATGTTGAAAGGCATAGATTATGAAAGGGAAGAAGTGGGGTTGCATAGTCTATTAAGTGTCAATACTGTACAAATGAAAACAGGAGGTCATTGCTGCATGTTGCTTCCTGCTTTCATCTATGTGTGGAAGTACAGTTACACCTTCTTAATCAATAACAAGTTGTATTGGACACACGAGCACCTTATTTTAGAGTGAAGCTTTTAATATACTCGGCGACAACTTTTTCTTGCCACTGACGGGAAAGCTATAGAGGCAGAGCTTCTGCAGATGTAGCACTACGCGAAGTAGTTTGTTCTGGCGTGCGTCTCGTCACACTATGGAAAGTGACTGGGGCACACCATCAGCATTTTATGCAGACGTAGACGCCACTTAGCATTTGAGGTGCACATAAAAAGGCGGGACTTTCTCGTGCGTTCAAAAACGTGAAGTCACAATGAATAAATTAATGTAAGTACGACTATTCTAATGGGGGGAGTTGCGTCCTGTCTCAAATAGCTCCACGTAGAAAATAAAAGAGGCACTTCTATATTTCATGGTGAAAATACGGGTGCTGTTGTGAAACTACATTAACTGGCGGTAGGATGTCCAGGATTTGGCTCTGTAGCCTTCGCTCCAACGCCAAGAAAAGTTGTCGCCGAGTATAGGCGTCCATTCCTGCATTTAATAGTGTTGTCGGTGCAACCAATAAAGCGAATGAAGATGAAAGACAATTGCGGGGTCTGTCATTACCACTATCCCTTGGCCTCTCAACCCCCGCTTTTTTTTTTCCGTTACGCACCCTGGCCGCTCAGTCAGAGATCGTGTGCATGCAGGGCTGGCACATGCACTGGGGCTAGCTTTGTTTATAACTGGGTTGTCGGTATTTTGCTTGGCTCGCGATGCCTGCAATGTACTGAGTGGTGTGCAGTGTGCTCGAACGCTTCCAGTTTCTGCTGCAGTGTGTAACAAATGTGACATTGCTGCAGCTGCGGATAGCCAAACCTTCAAACACAGTCAGCTTTGCCCCAATAGGACGTTGCACTCAGAATTATGATTAGAGAGTGTCATAATCTTGTTAAAATTTTAAACACTCATTATTAATATATTTCTTACTTGTTAACGTCACCAGAATGAGGTACATTCATTATAGAAATGCCTTTATTACAAGCATGTATTTTTAGCATGCCAATATTTGGGCAACATTTGTTAGGTGTTTATGAAAGTATATCTGAACACATTCAAGAGGTTATTTAGCTATTTAATCTCTAGGTTTTATGTGCTGTAACCACAATATGATTGAGGCATAAAGTAGTGACGAGCTCCAAAATAACTTAAGGACATGTTTTAAAAACATGAGTGTTCTTATGCTTCACATCTGTCAAAGGGCAGCCACTGTGGTCTAGAATAAAACTCACACCCTTGGGCTTAGCAGCACAACACCATACCTTCTAGGCTATGGCAGCATATACTGAAAAGGTGATTTTAAAGCAGGTGGTAAGGTTTGGCGTGCACGGCCATGGCTCTAAATTCGCAACAACCCACCAGTAGTATATTGTCTTAGTTACTGCATGGCACATTTTATGTTTTGTTCTCTAGACACTTCTAAATTGTTGTTCTGCATTCATTTTTTTTTTTATGCAATAGGTACGTATGGTCAGGTGCACTGGTGCTTCTGGGCGTGTATCTCCATGCCTACAGCAAAAGGCTTGCCAAGCTGCGGCGTCTCCCCCTTGTTCACCAGGAAAAGCTATCTTCATTACTGTGACGATCCTGCGATAGCTGGACAGATCTAGTCAAAGTAGTGTAAAAAACTGTTTTATTGTGTGCGAGCCATTTATACTCGCATGGACCAGTATTTTACACATCCTAAAGCCAAAAATATTACTTGAGTGATCTATTTATACAATTAAAAGCTCATTATTTGTTTTGAAAACCTGCTTATGTGCAGCTTAATGAAATCAAGAGGTGGACTGTGTCTAGTCATTTTTTTTAACTAGTGCCTCTGTTGATGATCATGGCTTCTGCATAGGCTTTGAGTTATGGCCAAAGACAATGCCAGATTACTGGCACGTCAATTTAGTTGAATGCAATGTCATGGAACTATGTTTGCTGCTAATGTTGAACCCTTGCTTTCAGAATAGCAACCATATGCCTATCAGCATAAAAGTTTTCTCTTATCAATGGCCACAGGATATGTCGTACAAATGTCTATATATACTTCAGATTGAAGTGCTTCCTTGCAGAGTCGCACTGGTTTTGAACCAAGTTTCTGGTTACACTTTCCTTGTGGTTTATCTGCCATTGCCTGAGGTTACAGTGGGAGGAGGGGCAGTGCCAAGACATAGTGAAGTGTGCCAATATAGGCACGCGGGGCTAAGTTGCCAGGCCACACCTGACAGGGGTGTCACAAGTAGCCCGACGTATCGATGCCCGGTTTGAGGCTTGCGGCACAGACATGAAAGCTTTGCTTTTGTTGTATCTGCAAAAATAACACAAGTAAAAATTGGGGGTACCCTTAAGCTTTGCCTTTAAGAGTAGAACGCGATAGCGATATCCCGCCCCTTGCTTGCTTGCTTGAATTTTTCTTTTGTGGCTCTCGAGCCCACTAAGGGAGATTGGCCAAGGAGCCGGTGGTTAATGCAAGTTAATACCTTTAGGTTATCCAGGCTAGAGAAGTAGGATTACTTTGATTTGACTTGGTGGGAATAATTTGGCAAAGTGTGAAAAAAAGGGAAAGAAGAGAAATAATGAAATTTGTTGAATATCTGAGGTGTAATTGTTATATGAAATTCTTCTGAAGAGTAAATACTTGCAGTGTAATACCTAAATAATAAAGGTTAGATTGGTTAGTAAAAATCGAGCACTGAGAAATGGCTCAGCAAGGTAATTTGTGTTACATAAAAATTCGCAGAGAGCCCCGCAGATGTTCCCGTCGCTGTGTCCTAATGAAGCAGCCCCAAAAGACAAAATATTAGGAGTAGTAAGTGATATTCCTAGTTTTTTGAATAAAATTTCGAAACACTTTTTTCTTTGATTTTTGAAACAGTGACATGTGAGAAGAAAATGGTCGATATGTTCGGGTTCATTACAGCTTGGGCACAGAGGGGATGACACCAGACCAGACCTGTTTAGGTAGAAATTAAGAGGTGGTACACGGCAATGTAATTTTGTTGTAGAGACTTCCAATTTACGCATGGGACACCATTTATTATTTCATGTGAAGTGCAGGTGTGAGAAATCTGGATTCGGTATCGTAATTTTTGGATGAGTCTTCAAGAAGGGAAAGTTTTCTGAACCTTGCTGCTGTTACATAGGCTGTAAGTGGCATGATTGGGACAATCGGAAGATCAAGGGAGGCTCGCAGGAGTGAGTCAGCCATCTCATTTATACGTATACTACGATGGCCTGGCACCCATACAATTTGCACTATACGAATGTTTGCTGGGAATAATGATTTAAAAGTTTCTAGTACTGCTGATGCCGATGAGGATGATAAAAATGAACACACGGATACGAGTCACTCGCTATCACAGCTGTCGAATGAGTTGCAGGAAGTTTACGAAGAGCTAGTATAACGGTCGTTAATTCCGCTTCAAATATTGGTGTGTAATCTGGGAGGCGTAATGAAAAGGGCCAAAATAATGAGAGAGAAAAAATACCCATACCTGGCTTCTCGCCACTCATAGATGCATCTGCTGTTATTACTATATTAGTACCTCATTGAGACAGGTGTTCTTCTAATAAGCCGATCAAATATTTAGAGGGCAAGTGTTTAGCATTCATTAGGAAGATATTGTCACGGGGTCGTGACGTGGCCGAAGACAGGAGACTTCGTGTTATGATTTAACTGTTTAATTGGGCGAACCTGTGCTTGGTAAACTGAAAGTCCAATTACAGCAGCAGTCTCGCACAGATAGCAGTCTCGGACTGATAGCGGCGAACGGAGCGTCGGCCTTCGATCAACAACTGACAAGTGGCGAAGCGCGTCGGCATTTATACTCTTGCCGTCGAATGTTCTAGCGTTATCGCTGGCGGTGGCGTAGCTTCCAGAACAATCTGTACCGTTCGCACAGTGGGCGTGATCTTATCGAAATGATCTACTACAGTCCGGAACCTTCTAGAAAACTGCAGGCGCGGTTTGCGCTGAGAATTGTGCGGTGTTTTCGGACGATAACAAAAACTTGGGAAATGGAACGTGGCATTGCCCCCCTCTGAAAAAGGCATCGTCCCGATGCTTTAACTAAAGATGAAAGTACAATAATAATGCAAGAAAGTACAATGAATAAATTACGCTACAACAATAATACAAAAAAAACACTAGTTCAGTTTGTTAACGCGCATGAAACGGCTTGAGGCGCGCGACATGGACGACTTCAGGTCGCGATCGGCGTCGTTGAGAGTTCGTGATGCCGTCGGGGACAACCTCGTAATCAAGTGGGCCGAGCCGTCGAACCACCCTGTACGGTCCGAAGTACCGTCGCAGAAGCTTTTCACTTAGTCCACGTCGGCGTATCGGCGTCCACACCCAAACACGTTCACCGGGCTGGTATTCCACGAAGCGTCGTCGAAGGTTGTAACGGTGGCTGTCGGTCGTCTGTTGATTCTTGATATGGAGACGCGCAAGTTGTCGGGCTTCTTCGGCGCGTTGAAGGTACTCGCTCACATCGAGGTTTTCTTCGTCGGTGACGTTGGGTAACATGGCATCGAGCGTCGTTGCCGGGCTCCTTCCGTAGACCAATTTGTATGGCGATATCTGCGTCGTCTCCTGCACCGCCGTGTTGTATGCGAAGGTCACATACGGAAGAATGGCGTCCCACGTCTTGTGTTCGACATCGACGTACATTGACAGCATGTCGGCGATCGTCTTGTTAAGCCGCTCGGTGAGGCCGTTGGTCTGTGGGTGGTACGCTGTCGTCCGGCGGTGTTTTGTTTGGCTGTATGCCAAGATTGCTTGAGTTAAGTCGGCAGTAAATGCCGTTCCTCTGTCGGTGATAAGGACCTCTGGGGCGCCATGACGTAGGACGATATTTTCGACGAAGAATTTAGCTACTTCGGATGCACTGCCTTTTGGCAGGGCTTTTGTCTCGGCGTAGCGGGTGAGGTAGTCGGTAGCTACCACGATCCACTTGTTTCCGAAAGCCGACGTCGGGAACGGCCCCAGTAGGTCCATACCAATCTGCTGGAAAGGTCGGCAAGGTGGATCAATTGGCTGCAGAAGTCCCGCTGGCCTTGTCGGCGGTGTCTTGCGTCGCTGACAGTCCCGGCATGTTCTCACATAACGAGTGACGTCGGTGGTAAGACGTGGCCAGTAGTACCTTTCTTGTATCCTCGCGAGCGTGCGAGAAACACCGAGGTGCCCTGCCGTCGGATCGTCGTGAAGGGCCTGCAGGAGTTCTGGTCGCAGAGCTGAAGGCACCACAAGAAGGTACTTAGCTCGAAGCGGTGAAAAGTTTTTCTTTTGTAGAAGACCGTTTCGTAGAAAGAACGACGCAAGTGCGCGCTTGAATATCTTCGGGACTTCGGCGGTCCTGCCTTCGAGGTATTCTATTAGGGCCTTAAGTTCCGGGTCGGCCCTCTGTCGTTCAGCGAAGTCGTCGGTAGTTATCGTTCCTAAGAAGTAGTCGTCATCCGGGTCGTCGGGTAGCGGTTGGTCTACAGGCGCACGAGAGAGACAGTCGGCGTCGGAGTGTTTTTTGCCGGACTTGTAAATGACAGTAATGTCATATTCTTGAAGTCTCAGGCTCCATCGTGCGAGGCGACCTGAAGGGTCCTTCAGGGTGGCTAGCCAACACAATGCGTGGTGGTCGCTCACAACTTTAAAGGGCCTGCCGTAGAGGTAGGGGCGAAATTTCGACGTAGCCCAGATGATGGCGAGGCACTCCTTTTCTGTTGTGGAATAATTTGCTTCTGCTTTGGATAGCGATCGGCTGGCGTAACTAATAACCCTTTCAAGTCCGTCAGCCCTCTGCACAAGAACGGCGCCAAGACCTACGCTGCTTGCGTCAGTATGTATTTCTGTCTCGGCGAATTCGTCGAAATGGGCAAGTAACGGAGGCGTCTGGAGGCGATGTTTAAGCTCCTGGAAAGCGTGTTCCTGCGGCGTTTCCCACTTAAACTCCACGTCGGCCTTGGTAAGGTTAGTGAGAGGATCGGCTATGCGGGCGAAGTTTTTCACGAACCGCCTATAATAGGCACACAGGCGGAATGGTGAAATCGGCGCACAGCTTTCTTGTCAGTGGGCGGCGGGAAGTCGGCGATGGCGGCTGTTTTCCGTGGATCGGGACGAACTCCAGACTTGCTGATAACGTGCCCCAGAAACAAGAGCTCCTCATACGCAAATCTGCACTTTTCTGGCTTCAGTGTGAGTCCGGAAGTCTTGATGGCTTGAAGTACAGCTTCAAGGCGCCGAAGATGCTCGTCGAAACTCGAGGAAAACACGACGACGTCGTCCAAGTACACAAGGCAAGTCTGCCACTTTAATCCTGCCAGTACCGTATCCATAACGCGTTGAAACGTTGCAGGCGCTGAGCAAAGGCCGAAGGGCATCACCTTAAACTCGAAGAGGCCGTCCGGTGTTATGAACGCCGTCTTCTCTCGGTCTCTTTCGTCGACTTCAATTTGCCAATAGCCAGTCTTAAGGTCCATTGACGAAAAGTACTTGGCGTTATGGAGCCGATCAAGTGCGTCGTCTATTCGTGGGAGGGGATACACGTCCTTTCTTGTGATTTTGTTCAGGCGGCGATAATCGACGCAGAAACGTAGGGTCCCATCCTTTTTCTTCACTAACACCACGGGGGATGCCCATGGGCTCTTGGACGGCTGGATAATGTCATCCCGCAGCATTTCATCAACTTGTCTCTTCATGGCCTCACGTTCTCGCGTCGAAACTCTGTACGGACTCTGACGGAGTGGTCTGGCATTTTCTTCGGTTATGATGCGATGTTTCGAGATTGGGGTCTGCCGAATTTTCGATGACGACGAAAAGCAATCTTCGTATTGCAGGAGCAGGGCCTTGAGCTGTTTTTGCTTATCGTTCGGAAGTCTGGGATTGACGTCGAAAGCTATGGGAGGGGCTTGGTTCCTCTGAGCAGGTTCCGCAGAATCGGCGAGAGCGAAAGCACTGGTGGCTTCGACGATTTCTTCGATGTATGCGACCGTTGTTCCTTTGTTCACATGTTTGTATTCATTGCTGAAATTCGTGAGCAAAACCGTTGCTTTGCCTCCCCGCAGCTCTGCAATTCCTCTTGCGACGCAAATATTTCGGGTGACCAACAGGTGCTGACTGCCTTCAACGACGCCTTCCAAGTCAGGTGATTTAGGAGCGCCGACTGAAATAATGACGCTTGAGCGAGGCGGAATGGTGACTTGTTCTTCCAGCACATTCAAGGCATGGTGTCCTGACGGCGTGCGCGGCGGTAGTGCTTCTTCTGTGGATAACGTTATCGACTTTGTTTTTAGGTTGATGACAGCACCATGGAGGCATAAGAAGTCCATGCCAAGGATGACATCTCTCGAGCAACGCTGTAGGACTACGAAGTCTGTAGGATAAATACGGCCGTTAATGGTGACTCTCGCTGTGCAGATTCCTGCAGGCGTTACGAGATGACCTCCGGCTGTGCGGATTTCAGGGCCTTTCCAAGCTGTCCTAACTTTCTTTAACTTCGCGGCGAACGACCCACTGATGACAGAATAGTCGGCTCCAGTATCGACGAGAGCAGTCACACTGTGGCCGTCGATAAGAACGTAGAGGTCGCTAGTTCGCCGTCTCGCATTACAGTTAGGGCGTGGCGTCGGGTCACGGCTGCGTCGGCTTGTTCCGCTGCTTCCATGCTGCGTCGTCAGGCCACCTTCGGTAAATGAGCTTTCGCCGTCAGGGCTTTGCCTGGCTGGCGTTGTGTTCGGAAAGCTCCGTCGCGGCGTCGTCGTCGTCGGAGGATCTTCGGTAGTTCGTCGCACAGCAACCGCACCTCCACCTGTTGCTGCCCTTAGTTTCCCGGATACGGGCTAGGAGACCGGCCCCGCGTTGGGCCAGAGTACTGCCGGTGGTGCGGTGACGTGCGGCGGCTGGGCGACGGCGAACGCGAAGGGCTTCGTGGTGTCCACCGAGTTCCTGTCAGGTAGTCGGCGATGTCACGTGGTCGTTCTCCTGGCTGTGGACGCGGTGCATTGACGGCGAAGCCACGCAGTCCCATCTGTCGGTACTGGCAACGGCGGTATGTGTGTCCGGCCTCGCCGCAGTGGTAGCAGAGCGGGCAATGGTCAGGGGTGCGCCAGACGTCAGTCTTCCTCGGTGCACTGCGCTGGGCCGCTGGCGAACGGTATGACGTCGGTGGGGGTGGTGGCGGCGGTGGCGTATGTCGACGGAAGTGCGATGGGGCGGCGTTTTGGCGTGGACGGGGAGGAGCGTTGTGGCGCAGTGCAGCGGCGTAGCTCATAGCTTCCGGCTCGGGCAGCGGTGCGTGGGGAATTTGAAGCGATTGCCGAACTTCTTCTCGCACAATGTCGGCAATTGAATCCACTTGAGGCTGGGCCGAAGGCAACAGCTTGCGCAGCTCTTCTCGCACGATCGCTCGGATCGTTTCACGCAGGTCTCCGGAGTTACTGGCTTGAGCAGCAGCGCAGTCTGCAGTCAGGCGACGATTATACTGTCTGGTGCGCATGTCCAGGGTCTTTTCGATAGTGGTCGCTTCTGCTACGAATTCTTGGACGGTTATCGGTGGGTTTCTCATCAGTCCCGCGAAGAGCTCCTGTTTGACCCCTCGCATGAGGAAACGAACTTTTTTCTCCTCGGGCATGTCTGGATCAGCGTGACGGAATAGTCGGGTCATTTCTTCTGTGAAAATGGCGGCATTTTCATTTGGTAGCTGAACCCGAGTCTCTAATAAAGCAGCGGCCCTCTCTTTGCGAGCGACGCTCGCGAACGTTTGAAGGAATGCGCCGCAGAAAACATCCCACGTTCGGAGCGTGGACTCCCGATTTTCAAGCCAAGTCCTTGCGGTGTCTTCCAAATAGAAGAACACACGACGCAGCTTTTCGTCATGGTCCCAGTGGTTGAGGGCGGCCACACGGTCGTATGTCTCCAGCCAGGACTCCGGGTCTTCGAACGATGACCCATGGAAAATTGGTGGTTCCCTGGGTTGATGCATGACCATCGTGGGCTGGGACGCTGCGGTTGTCATAGTCGCTGCAGTCGCGGTCATGGCCTTCGTCTTCCGCGCCTTGTCTGGTAGAAGCCCGTACTCCGGTGGTAGCCCTTGCTGTCGGCGGCTTGTTCGCTGCTCCTGGTTGGTGTCGGTGTCTTCTCCGCGACGTGGGCTGGGTTCACGGCTTGACGGGGGCGTCCGGTACATGAACGAAGCAGCACCTCCACCAGATGTCACGGGGTCGTGACGTGGCCGAAGACAGGAGACTTCGTGTTATGATTTAACTGTTTAATTGGGCGAACCTGTGCCCGGTAAACTGAAAGTCCAATTACAGCAGCAGTCTCGCACAGATAGCAGTCTCGGACTGATAGCGGCGAACGGAGCGTCGGCCTTCGATCAACAACTGACAAGCGGCGAAGCGCGTCGGCATTTATACTCTTGCCGTCGAATGTTTTAGCGTTATCGCTGGCGGTGGCGTAGCTTCCAGAACAATCTGTACCGTTCGCACAGTGGGCGTGATCTTATCGAAATGATCTACTACAGTCCGGAACCTTCTAGAAAACTGCAGGCGCGGTTTGCGCTGAGAATTGTGCGGTGTTTTCGGACGATAACAAAAACTTGGGAAATGGAACGTGGCAATATCGTCAAATTCTATTTGCACTTGGCCGATTAGTTTGTCAGACGGTATGATTTCGAATATATTAGCATTTAAAGCATCTAGAAGTGTTTGAACAAATAGCACTTCGGGTTTATATACACGGGACCAATGCTCATAGAAAAAGATACCGGGCTCAGCAAAGAATACGAACTGTCGCCTTCTTAAAGTGGATTCAGAAAATTTTAAATAGGTTTTAACTGTTAAAATATGGAATCTGCAAGCAAGAGTGGGTATCCGAGCTTCTTGATACAAAACATTGTTAGCTGTGAATTTTGGCACACCTAAATAAATTCGAAAAGCTTCCCACTCTAAGAGAATCAAGGGGTTTATTTTGTATGCTGGTTTACCAGAGAATAGTACACATCCGAATTCAAGAACCGGACAAACGTACATGCGATAAATCATGATCAGCGTATCTGTACGGAGACCGGAGCCGGCCAAGCCTAGCTATCGTCGAACTTGCTATGCACCCACTACATGGCCTTAAAGGGACACTTAATAGCAACCATCAAATCGACGTTGATTGTTGAAGTAGCAGTTCAAGAACTTTTTAGTGCTACTTTTGTGCCGAGGAATTGCACTGCAACCACTGCGGTCATGTTAATGCATCAGAGGAGCATATTCTTATAGAGTGTCCGCTATATGATCAACAAAGCACTGAACTGAGGGATTGCTTGAACCGACTCAACAGACGACCATTTACAATAAGAAAAATACTTGGACCGTATTTCAATAAGCAAAGGCGCGCAGTGAGCGCCCTCTGGGATTTTTTAATGGACACCAATATAATGAACCGTCTTTAGATCATATTATACCTTGCCTCTATTTGTACGAACTCTCTCTGCAATTTGATCCCGTTCTCATTCATGCATTATAAGCCGTGTAATGTATATAGTATGTACTAGTGCCTCTGATTATTTTTTTACCATTTCATTCTTTTTTCTTGTACATTACTGTCATGGTGTTGGGATAGCAGACTCTAACGTAGCCTACCTTCCAATATTCTGCCAAATATATATGTATAGAAAAAAGGTCCTATAAAGAAAATAGGTGCAGTAACGTGTGTACCTTTTGTAGTGAATGACCGGCTTTAAGCCATCTAGTCATTCTGATAATCACATGTTCTGATGCCCAATGGCAATGTACACTTGTAGAACACATTACCGCAATAGTTTAATGTTGTATTGCTGAAGCATGTATACAGGACGCGTGTGTTTGTAAAGCATGAAAGCTACTTTTGCTGCATTTCCAAGAAGAAGAAGTTATTTTCACGTATTTACGAGCAGATGCATGGCAGTATGGTAGGTTCAATCCTCACTCAGACTCAGAATTTATTATTTATTTCATCTGCATATTTCTTGATTTTTCACTCACAACCAAGGACGCCGACGCCAGAATTTCTGCAAAACGAGCTCTTTAACACTATTGCATTAAAAATGTAAGTGTTAGCAGCTTCCCAACGGCAAGAATAGAAATTGCTCGCTCTTGCAGTAATCTGCTCTGCCAGGTACTGTCGGTCAAGTCTTGAGGCCAGTTGCTTGGGCTGCTTAGGTACTTTTGCAGAAGGGGCAAACAATTAATGGATGCTAAAGGAAACAGACGACCACTTTTGCTGCCCCTTTTTCTAAGGTAAGCATGTATTACTGATGAAGAGTAACTAAGTTAAATTATGTAGTCTTCGCTTACCAAGGCCTGTACAATATAAGGTCTCATTTTACAAGTGTCCGTTGTTGGTGACTGACTGATCCCATAACTCAGGTGCAATGCCACTCTGACGGAGCATGACAATATCACTACTATGTCCTTTCATGGATGAGAGCCAGAAGGTCAGTAGAGGCAAAACGTATGCAATGCTTTGATTTGTTCAGTGCGATGAACAAGTGTTTCAGAAAGTGTCTGTTTATTTCATACAAAATGCGGGTTATTTCGAAACCCTTAGATTCAACCAACTTTTCATTTAGAGAAAAAAGAAAGTGGGAGAGGGGCATCACTGTTTGGCAGCTGGCATGGGTTGACCGGGTGGACCAGGTGGCGAAAAAGCCCTGCACAGTATTCTGCAGCACATGGCAATGCTGCAACGAAAAGCGCGGTGTGCATGAGTTGCAATGCAAGAGTTTGTGAGTCTCTGCAAACATTTGTCACACTCTTAAAACTGGTTGTTTAATGTGATTAAGAAAGTACAGTACGATCACATGAACATGGTGGATCTGCAGTCTAATCTACCTAGTTTATTTGCAGCAGGCAAACTGCTACACACTATTTGGTAATGACATAACACACTGTTAATGCAAACATGGCACCACCTTGGTTACAATGCATGTACGATTGCTCTCTAGACTGAAACAGTAATGCAGGCATGTTGGTCTGTTGCACTGAGATCACAAACTGCAGACTACGCTCATAAGATACAATGTTCAAGAGGAAACTTTATAGTAGAACACTGAAAAAGTTCTGTTCTTTGAGAGTAGAAAATCAGGCCAATCCCACTGTTAAAGGTTGTGTAAACAACAATGTGAAAGTGCCTTTGAAGTTAACCTAAATCTGCCTGTTTCATACCACAAGAATGTGCCGAGATCAGTACACACTCACGGGTTGACTCTACAGCAACTTCTTAACAGCAGTAGTGACGTTGACAAGACTACCTTCAACGAGTTCTAGAGATCGAAAAAAAAAAGGTATGTAGTTTATACCATTGCATACGAACTTAAGTGCTACAGTTTGACACCTTTATAAGTTTGGCATCGTCTTGTTCACAGATCTGTACGACACCAAGCTACTGACCTCAGAACTGCAATCAGTCCTGCTGGCATAATCTTTGATGTGTGTGCGAACCTGTAGCCCATCAAGCCGGCCAACACTCCGGACACCGCTGTAAAAAGAGTAAAAGATATATTTATATCCATGTTCGAAATGCAGGCTGTAAGCGACTTAAATGTTTTCACTATCGGAAAGATGGTGTAGTCTATTATATAATATGCGTTATCATGCAGACTTAATGGCAAAATCTAGTGCTCAAGCCTAGGAGAACCAAAAGTAATCATTTCACCCTTGTATTGTAGTTTCAACAGTCTTGGGTACACGTGGTGCATAAAAATGCATGTTTCGTGGGAACTTGGAAGTCTCTCATGACAGGTAGTTTGCGATTTAGTAGAATGCCGTATTGCGTGCAATGAACAGGTATATGCTAGACGAAATTATTGATGCTGTTATGTAGCTTCTTTTTGCTGTAGCATGGTTATACACACGTGTAGTCATTGGTATCGTTTTCTTCGTATTATAATGCGATGCTTCAGCACGCAAGTAAAGCCCATACAAGCTTCCTCCCCTCCCTCCCCCAACACACACACCTCCCATTCTTTTCATTTGGTTAATGTTGCGACTTAAAACTTCAGTCCAGTAGCTTTTATTCTCAGACACACAAAGATGCCCTTACGAGAGACGTATCGCTGCACAATTAGCATGCTTCACTTTGCATGTGCAGTATTCAATACACCAAGCCATAACTTCGTCAAACAGCTTTGAGAATTGAAAAAAAAAAGGCGATAATCAGGTTAAAAAGTGCAATGCCAATCGTGCCATTCTTTATAAGAGAGCATGCACATAATAGAGCACATTCAACTTCCTACAAAATAAAAGCTGCCGATGTTCACAGCCAGTCGCCATAGGCAGCTCATGTAATGCATTCAAATCGGGTACATAATAGCGCAAACTTGGAAAACCCTGATCAGTGAAAAAAAAGGAGAGAGCAGAAAGGTCCGGCGCTAATGGAATGCACGTCTAGCCGCCCTAACGCTGTATACAGCTAGTACAAGCCAAATTTTTGTCGCAATGCAATCACTGCACGTCTGATACAAAGGCTATTCGGTTACCTACCCATATCTTGCGCATCTCAGAGAATAAAAAGCTACGTTTTATTTGTGCGATCGCTAAGATATGCGTTACCATTGCAAGCTCGCTATCGCGAATACGAAAGCACTCACCGAGAGATAAGTAGTAGTTGTGGGGGTCTTGCGATGTCTGGTAAGCGCCAATCAAGGCGAGGCCGCCGAACACCAAGCCCGCCATCAATGATGGTATGCTACCTGCAAAGCAATCACGATCAAATCAAGCATAAACAAACCAACGTATTTTCCGAAGAGACGCAACTTCCTCGACGGACTCACCAGCTTTCACGTAGCCTATGACACCTCCCAATGCCACGGTGAAGGCGTATCCGAAAGCCCATAAGTCGGTATCCATCGCCGTTCTCTTGCGATAAACAGGCGCGCAAGAACGACTTCTCTACTAATTTTAAAAGGACCCTAGTCGCGCCGAGACTCGACGCACGCTACGCCCACTCCGCAGGTGTTCCCTGCGCGAAAACAGCACTTGGATTGTCTCGGTCAACGTCCCGACTTCCTGTGACTGCATAGACACAAATTAAAGAAGAAACAAAACGAAAGTGAGTTTTTGTTTTGCTGCTTGGTTTGAGAAACGCTCTGCTGTGTCATTTTTTTTTTACTTGTTCCCTTCAAGTTTTTCACAGTGTCTGCCATAAGCCTTGGATTTACCACGAGCCTTGTCCTTGCATTAAATGTGTAACTTCTACATAAACTTCTAAAACGCAAAAAAGAAGAAAAAAAGAGTAAACACGCCACTCGCTTTGCAGTTATCTTATCTGTCGTCAGAAACTGCTATGTTTTGGGCAAAACTTAATGAGAATTTCGCAGTGGTTACCCAATCGCATAATATTTTTTGGTCACAGCATTTGCTGACCATCTAAAAATTTTTGCATGTGAGAAATGCGAATTCGCTGTCCCAAACATTTCTTAAGAGGACGTTATGTAGCGCAAAACTACTGGCGTTGACATTACTTGTAAATATGCTCTTTAGTCTAAAGCCGGCACTCACGCAGAGAGCATACAGTAACTTACTTTATGTCAGAAAGCAGGGCTTTTTCGGGGATAGCTACATGCAGCCTTCTTCCACGGTGCATGCGAACTTCAGTTTCGGTTTCGATTGTACACTCTGGCAACCTAAAATTTACATTCCCTCGGCTAGCTCGGACCGGGGTGCTTTCGCGCTGCTCCATACAGCTGTTGATTGCGTGCGGCGAAGGAACTTCCATGCTTTAACAACTTATAGCGCCTTTATCTCACCACAGAAGCAACTACAATGCCACTGCAAACTACGGCAAGTGATTGGCACCTTCTATCCTTTAGAAATATGAGCGCAATGCCTTGGTAGATGATGTAGTTGGTACTCGCTTGCAGTTATACTGTTTTGCCTGAGAGCTAAAATTCAGTGGAGGAAGACTGCTAATTTGATGCAGCGTTAAACTGATATGATTTACGTGAGAACTTGATTATTATCATGGGCTTCCAATTGATGGACGCCTGTTATATGCAGTCTTTTGATACCTAGATTCACCGCAGACTTGTGTCGCTCGCTTTCCGGTAAATGTAAACAACGGAATATCACCTCGCACAGGCGTATAACTAACCTTTTTAAAAATGATTGATGTGTCTATTTGTTGAGGTGATCCGACGTTCTATTCGTAGAATGGAAGGCGTTGCTGATCACACTGAGCAATTTATAAAATGCTCAAGATAACCCAGATATATTTTGTACCTGAAAACTACATCGTTAGTTGATTGACAAGTTTGCAGCATAAGTCGCTGTTCTTGCACCGTAGATAGAGAAGCCTTTGTATTACTTTTTATGCGTCGTAAACCTTGCGACAAATACTCCCAAATAAAAGTGTGGGTGGGGGGGGGGGGGGGAATTGAACGTGCAGTTGGTTGCGATGCGTGCCGTTTGAACACGTGATCTATCGTGCACGCTGTTCCAGGTATGGCGACAGCTGGGCCGGCCTGTCAGTGACCTGATCGGAAGAAGAGGCGCCAGCAGCAGCCGCGACAAACCGAAAAGAGTCGTCGTCACGGGTCTGGGCATGGTCACTCCCCTGGGAGCCGACGCCAAGACATCGTGGAGCCGGCTTACGCAGTCCCACAGCGGCATAGTTCGACTGGGAAAAGAGTACGATGGCATTCCTTCCAGGATTGCGGGCCGCGTTCCGACCAATGCCTCTCAGAGCCCGTCTCCGTTTGACGTTCATAAGTTCGTCTCCAAGTCGGATCTTCGGAGTACCTCGCTGGCAACTGCGTTCGCCCTCTCCGCAACTAAAGAAGCTCTAGACGATGCCCAGTGGCACCCCGATTCGGAAGGTGACTGCAGGGCAACGGGGGTAGCGATCGGCAACTGCATGTGCGACCTGGAATACGTTGTCGACTGCGGAATAGCATTTAGAGAGAAAGGCTACAGTAAAATTAGCCCGTTTTTCATTCCGAGGATCCTCACGAACATGCCAGTCCGGGATAGTCAGCATTCAGCACAAGTTGAAAGGGCCCAATCACTCGGTTGCGACGGCGTGCACTACAGGTGTACACGCGATTGGCGACGCGTTTAGCTTTATACAACGTGGCTACGCGGATGTCATGGTCTGCGGCGGCGCGGAGGCTAGCGTAAATCCCATTGGCGTTGCAGCCTTTGCGCGGATGCGAGCTCTAAGCACAGCCGAGGACCCTGCTAAAGCGTCCGAGGCCTTTCGACAAGAACAGGGACGGCTTCGTAGTAGCCGAAGGGTCTAGCATTCTCGTTTTGGAAAGTCTGGAACACGCGATTGCTCGTGGAGCGAACATCCACGCCGAATTCTAGGTTACGGACTCTCTGGAGATGCTTTCACATCACGGCAGCCTCCACTGACGGCGAGGGTGCACTCGCCTGCATGGAGTCTGCGCTGCAGAACGCCTGCGTTGGCGTCCAAGATGTTGGTTACGTGAACGCTCATGCCACGTCGACGCCGGTCGGGGATGCCGCTGAAGCTGCAGCGATTCGACGAATATTAGGCGACTATTGTAGCAAAGTTGCTGTGTCGGCGACCAAAGGATCGACGGGGCACCTCTTGGGAGCTGCTGGTGCCACGGAAAGCGCTTTCACGGTACTCGCTGTTCGCGATGGGTCATTCCACCGACGCTAAACCTCGACTGTCCGGATGTGGGCGCCGATCTCAACTTCGTGGCCCATCAGTCAAGGCCGTGGACTACTGAGAACGCGGCTAGAAGAGTTGCAATCAAGAACTCGTTTGGGTTCGGGGGCACGAATGGTTCGCTTGTTATAGCAGAGTACAGAAAATAGAACTCGTTTTTTTTCCTTATATTAAATTTTACTGCACCGAATGTTCGCAAGATTGCTGCTATCGCAGTGTGTTTTGTGAAGTATACCTAATTATTAAAAACACCTGCGTCTGGCAAAGTTGAAGGTGATGTCGAATGACGCCACTCTTGCTGTGACATGGTCAAGATCGTGATGCATACAAACTGTTTCATTCTTTATTCGTGGGCACCACATTTACGGAGATAATTAATCAGTTACGTGTATTTTACGTGACTCTGACTTCGCATGCAAGCATCCGTGCAGTACAAAATGACGACGGTAAACAGCCCAATATGGCAACACTTCAAAGCGTTCGTGAAATGTTTCGTACGCCGTCGCCGTGCTTTCACAGTTCAACACGAATGTGGCCTACGCACATTTGTGTGGTCTTTAAATGCCGTCGCACTTGACGCCAGAAGCATTTGGTAAAAATAATTTTTGGGTTTTGTGACGGAGGCGAAAATGTGGGCGGGTACACTTGCGTGGCGTTTGATGCGTAGCAGTTACTTGGGGAGCCCGTCCGAAAATTCCGTCGTGCCAAAGTATTTCTTCCCCCTTCCCCAATAGCAAAAAAAAAAAAAGATCACGCAATCCCGGAGATAGAGCAGCGCAATGTCTGCCAACAATGACTTCATAACACATCTACCATGTTATTTGAGCTAGGGGGCTTCTGCTTACGCCTCTGCAAAAACGCAAACACAATGTAAAATTAAGGAACTCGCAACGACAAGCACAAGCGGCACTTTTTATTTTTTTATTTATTTAAATGTACTGCAGCCCTAATGCAGGGCTATAGCACAGGTGGATGAGTTATACAAAACTAATACAAACATAGCAACAACAATAAAACTGAAATACATTACAGCAGTACATAAAACATCACTATGGTATGACGATAGTTATAGCGCGAGAACAAAACGACGACACAGAGACAAGAAGGACACGAAAGACACGTGGCTTTCGTGTCCTTCTTGTCTCTGTGTCGTCGTTTTGTTCTCGCGCTATAACTATCGTCATGCCATACCAACTAGCCCAAGCTGCCACACTTCTAAATCACTATGGTATTGCAAACACGATCTTTACCTATTTTCTAAATGCACAATAGCGGCATCAATGCAGTTTTGTAATGATAGTGAACGAATACTGCCGGGTAGAAAATTCCAGAGGTCTATAGTACGTAAAAAAAAACTAAATTTGAATGTGTTAGTACGAGCAGATGAAGGCTTTATGTTCAAGATGTGGGAGCTGCGGGTGCAAGATTCTTCCATAAATGCGATGTAGTTACCACCAAAGATGCCAGGTGAAGAGTTGTTGACTGTATATAACAGTTTAAAAGATTCAATGCAATAACGAGAATGTAATGGTACAATGTTCAGTGATTGCAGAGCGTGTGTTCCCAGTCAAAAATATTCAATGGGTCCAACTGGAAAATTTCCATTTAAAATCAATGGGTGTTGGACCAGTAGGATTTTCGCCACCCATTGAACATTATCCCGTTCGAATCAATGGGTAAACCCTTATATTCCAAAGGGGGATCCAAGTGGCTCACCACTTCAATGCAACTGGTTCAACAGGGGACCCCATTGGCTACCAGTTAAGTGTGGCTGGTGCTGAGCAATTGCCAGTTAGTTGCAATGGTGCGCACCATTTGAAATTGGTTGGTGACAAACTGGTAGCCCCTTTGGCCTCACATGGCCAGCCCATGAAAACGAAATGGTACGCTGGTGGTTGTCCAATTGGTGTGAATTGGCTAACCCGTTGAATCTAACTGGTGGTCAATTAAATATCCCGTTGATTTCAAATGGTCAACCCATTAAGACTAAATGGTACGCAGGTGGTTGTCCACCTGGTGTGAATTGGCTGACCTGTTGAAGCTAACTGGTGGTCAATTGGAAACCCCATTGACCTCAAATGGTCAACCCATTAATACTAAATGGTATGCAGGTGGTTGTCCACCTGGTGTGAATTGGCTGACCTGTTGAAGCTAACTGGTGGTCAATAGGAAACCCCATTGACCTAAAATGGTCCACCCATTTATACTAAATGGTATACTGGTGGTTGTCCACTTGGTGTGAATAGGCTGACCTGTTGAAGCCAACTGGTGGTGAATAGAAAACCCGTTGACCTGAAATGGTCAACCCATTGAAAATTAATGGTAGGCACGTGGTTGCCCGGCAGGTCTCAGTAGACTAACCCGTTGAAGCTAACTGGTAATCCTGTGGTTCCAGATGTTTGGCCCACTGATCGTAACTGGCATTCCAAACAGCCCCCAATTCATTCTAGTTGGTAAGCAAATTCAATGTGGCTGGTAACCACATGACTTCCCACATTGTTGCAAATGGTCAGCACTTTGATGGTAATTGAGACTCCAATGATTCCATATGTTTCAATAAAAGGTTGAGTTGGGCTAGTTGATACATACTTGGATACATGCAGCGCGAACTTAGACAAAGAACACAGACAAGCGCTCGTCTGCGTTGTGACTCTCTGGTCTTCGACCAAGCTGCACTGCATGTATCCAGATGATTGGCCCAGTGACAAAAGCTGGTGTTTAGCCAGTCACCATTCTACCTGGTAAGCCAATTTAATATGGCTGGCCATTAGTTTCTGGTAAGCACTTGGTTGACGCTAAATTGCTAACTGCATTTCAGCCAGCCAGTGGTTGGTATACAGAGAGAGCCAACTGAAGCTAAGTAGTAGTGTAGTAATTGCAGTCTCTTGGCTGACCTATAAACATGATTATCACATTTCTGCGGATGCAAGTAGAAAATGACAATCCTGTAGAAGGCTGGCTGTCATCACACTGCACTTCATTAATTGCAATTTCACAACACAGTGGAAACAGCACAGGCTGGATTACCTAGTGTGAATGTGACATTAATGCACACTCAAATGCATGCACATACAAGATAAAAACAATGGTAGAGAAAAAAAAAATATGAAAGAATGAAAATTTATTCACACATTCCATAATATTTACACTATTTAGAAAATGCACCAATGGTCCTCCTCTGTTAAACTTCCGCAACGCCCTGGTTGTCCTTCGCCCTGCAAATGTTTTGCAGAATTTATACATTTAGTCAGCCACACAATGGCTTACATTCTTCCAAGTCTAGATGTGATTTAACATAAAAACATTAACATAAAAATAGCTATGCATGTTGAAGGGGTACAACAGCTGTGCCAATTACGCGAATTTGATACAATTCCCCGCTTTTGCGCCGAGCTGCCAAAACCATATTGCGCCACGCTGCGCCAAAATGCCAGACGAGCCTCCAAATTTTCTCAGTCTCTTTCTGTACATGCATGTTGCAAGCAGATGAATATGGCCAAGTTTCTCTTAAAAAAAGGGGGGGGGGGGAGTCCTTTGACACAAAGAACACACTTATCTTACCGCTTGGCAAGCTTCTCAATATCTGAAAGCTTCTCAACAATGAAGTGGTTCATCTGTTTGACTGCCAACGGCAGTACTCCTGCAGGCACGCCTTGATGCTCCAGACGTGCTCTGTAGCAGTCTGAAACAACAAAAATTATCAATAAATAGCCTTGAAGAAACCAGCTGCTTAAAGAACTAATAGCATCGATATTACTTTAAGAACACAAAAGTTCAAAATTGAACTTTTAGTCATATTTCTTGATGCAATGAAGTGTTATATGCTGAATGGCCTAGAATATGCCTTAGCAGCACAGGCTTGAACAATACAGAAAGCATTCTCCAGTTAGCAAAAGTGTTCCGTTCCAGCATTATTAGAAAAAGGAAACTGCGAACTTAGCGTGCACATGCACAAAAATAATCTAAAAAAGTAACATTTCACAGCTCTCCACTCGCACCATGTAACTGTGTGGATTTATATAGTGCAGGAAGAAAGCAGAGAACACTATTTCTTTTTTTGTCATTTTTATGAAAGAGATATAAGTTATGATGAAAAAAATGCTGGCAGTCTACACACTAGCTCTATTGTTGGCTTTTCTTTTTTTCGACTATCTTTTTGAACTACCAGTGCATTTAAGAGACTTAAGACTTTCACCTGCCTGCACTCCTGACTAAAACAAATGAATTTAATAGTAAGTAAGAGGCAAGGTGTTGGGTCACATTTTTACAACTACATAGTTTATGTAAAATTGTGTTCATAACTGAAGTCAAAGCAGACAGTAAAGTTTGTAGTGGCTTCAAAATAGACTCAATTGCAACCGAGCTTTGCTGTGATTTCATGTACTAAGAATAAGATTGGTTCAATATGCATTCCAAGAGACTGTCTGCACACTTACCACGCATTACGTCCAACTTCCACGGTGTTAGGGGAGCCTTGCGTGGACGGTTAGGGTACCGTGGACAATGTTTTCCTGCATAACAGATATCCACAACAACGAATTCCCCCGTTACCAACTGACACACACTATGCTTTTGTATTATAACCAACCATGCAGGGAGCGCTCCTTAAGGTTGTCTTTCGACCAGATGGTGACTAGCAGGTCCTTGACAAATAAGGAATCCTTATGATGGGACTGCACATGTTCCCATGCACCTTTCTTGACCATAAGCCCTCGTCCAATGTCCACCTGCACGGAACATATGCATTCTGAAGGCATCCATGTGCAGTGCAACCTGTATTGCATATCATAAACAACAAAGGTCTATTCATTTCACCAGCACTTTGTCAGCCAGTTTTGTGGTGCTGCACTCTAGCATTCTTTCTATGAACTGCACATGGTGGTGTCAGCACCACAGTATTCATTGAGAGAAAGTGCAGCCTTTGTGCAAGACCAGTTTACAAAGTGCCTGCACCTTCTCAGTGAGGTTGTGCTGAATCCGCGCAGCACGAGATGGCTAAAACAGCAGCAGACAAGGCCAAGTGTATTCCTTAATATTTCTGTCCAACAAGTACGTTAGTGAAGTTGTTTTAGTAAGTTGTGTTGCTGACAACGAAATTCATTTTTTTTGGTTGTTCATAAGTTCTGCTTAAAATTTACACATATCTATAATGATCACTGAACTCTTTT